TTATTATTTAATTTATATAGCCTTAAAGGTTAAAGAAGTAGTTATAGTAGTAACCGAGTTATAGGTTATAATACCCCCTCTGTGGTGCATAGAGGGGTACGTAACTTGCTTAACTAACCCCCTGGGTAACTTTCTAATAGCTTCTTCTTAATGCCGGGCTACCTACCGAGACTAACCCCGCTTCCCCATACTCCCCCCCTATTAACCACTAAAGCAGCCTCTATTTAAAACAATCTCCTAACTTTTCACATCTTAGTCTCTGTTATCTCTAGCCCAATGCCAAAATGCCTCCTCCCGCCCATCCGAGAAAGTACGTTTGCCCCGTCTGTTCTCGCCAATTCCGGAGGGCCGACTTCCTATACCGCCACCAGCTCAACCACGCCGATCCACGGTTTCGTTGCAGTCAAACGGGCTGCGGTATGGCCTTTCATCGCAGAGACGTCCTGCAACGCCACCAGGCTCTTCATTGTAAGAGGGCTTCAGCCTCGCCTGACGCCTCTGGAATGCTCGTCGCATCTACTCTTACTCTGCCGGAAACGGTGATTGAGAACAGCGATTCTATGGGCAACAGTATCGCGTTGGTGAATCAATGCGATGGTATTGAACTACATCCTGAATCAACGCCATCATCCAACACGCAACTATCGTACACGGACCTCGATCAGTCCTCGCAGTTTTCAGCGCAAGTATCCGACATCTTGATGACACCCCACCCCTCTACCGAGCTCAACGTTGAAGAACTTTCTCCTCATCAGCTTCAACTATTCATCAATAGCTTCATTCTATACAATATGCGTCGCCTACCATTCATCCATAAAAGCCACTTGGCCACAGGAAGTCTTACACCTGCCATATATTCAGGCGTTCTTGCCGCAGGGGCCGCACACTTTGCTGAACATCGAGAGCTATCACTCCAGCTACACCGCTCGTCTGTTCAGCTCGGCATCTCGGAATTGAAGTTGGTAGGGCGATATTCCCAGGCTCAAGTGGACAAAAGGGACACTGACCTCGATCCAAGAATGGCAATTGCCTTCAAGACTTGCAGTACAAAGTCCTTGCCATCGATTTCGCCTTGTCATGCCGTGACGTGAACCTCGAGGTTTGGGCAACAACCGAATTACGCCACGTCTGGACTGTAAGCATAGGATATTCTCAGCTGCTCATCCGCTGCCATACTAAAGAGTCATGACAGTTTTTAGAGAGTCATCTTGATGTACTTCTCAGTTGCCAAGTTAAAACTTCTGACTGGTCTCAATGGCGTCATCGAGAAGAGCTCAAGAGGTAATCTCCTACGCATTCGATATCACTCTAGCTCTTGAGATGCTAACAAAAAAGAACCGTATTTTCCTTATTCGCCCTATCGGTTGCCGTGGCAAGCACTCGCAATACTGCACCAGTCATACATGCCACCGCACTCACGTTCGACATGCCATGTGCCGACGTCCTTTGGGATGCATTAGATGCCACGGAATGGGCTTGCATACTTATCCAAAATCAGACAAACCAGCCGTCATTACAATTCGCGGATGTCTTCCACTCGCTCTTTCGCCGAAGCATTGAAAGCATTCACCACCAGCCACTAGATTCAAGTTTCGGGTCATACATTCTGATATGCGCCATTCTTGCAACGTTGCAGACCTCCAGTGGTCTACCACTACGACATATGTCTACCCTTCGCCCAGAGAATCTCGACTTGTTCCTTGTTTTCAAAGAAAACGTTAAGAGTGCTGCCGTTCTGTGGAGGGAGAAATGGGGGTCTGACCTAAGTCTGCTTTGGTACAGCGCTCCCAACTCCCTTTGCTTCATGGAATCAGCCATCGTCCTTGAATTTATCAATGTGTGCTTGGAACAGGACCACGCTGCGATAGGGACATTTGCACCTGTTTCTCCAACCACTGGCCCACGGACAGCCACTGATCTGTTCTGTTCGTTATCTAACGTTGGTTTTGTCTATGTAAGTGGTGTGCCCCAAGTTCCTTTCTGACAATGACGTATTTCTCATGCGGATAGACATCTATATTTGGATCGCATCTATTTGGGAGTTTCTCATTCCAGGCCACCGTCACCATCGCGAAGGCAATGTTGAAGTGGCTTTCTTTTGCCTTCACTCTAGCCGGCCAAGATCTCTTGACAGGAGAACCCCAAGAAGAACTCCAACGCATTCAACAAGCTGCTTACAAAGGCATTTGCGAAGTGTCCTTGGAATATGGACTTGGCAGTCTTGACATCAATACTGACCTTCCACGCATTGTCGCGGAATTGTGGTCGGTGGCTCTTAAGACGCATCGATTGTGGGATCCACGACTGCGTCAAGAGTTTAGACAACACGCATCAATTCATCATGTGCAGGGGGCTTCCTACTTACTTCCAGTACCGTTGTTCGTATGAAGGGACAAATCTCCCGATATCTAGACCTGATAGGATATTGAAGATTGCCAGGTGCATCTGGGGAAATTTCAATTTGATATCAACTACTCTCACACTTTTCCACCCTCCACCTACGCATGCAATTCCAAGGCACTGTTCCCATCAACCTTGAGAGCCTTGTATTGTCTCAAAAACCCATTCCTCTCCCTCACCAACGAAGAGTTTATAGTCGCACTGTCAACCCAGTTCCCATGAACTTGCATCTTGGTTCGGAAAGGCAGCTGGATGACAGCCACAGGATGAGAAAAGTCATTGGTATCCAAGACCACGAGGTCACTGCGGCTTACATCGATGCGTTGTACCATGCCCATAACCCACCCATCCCCTTCGACGGCGTCTTCCGACCGCGGGATGAAGATGGGCTCCTCAACCGTGCAGTTAGATCCAGGGTCAAACATGGTCTTTTTTGCGCTCTCCTTTTCGAACATCAAGTACGCATTCAACGCCACGGGTAGGATGGGAGGCAGGGGGCTTTGCTTCGGAGCAATGACGGGACAGAACAGGCGGTCGTACGGACGGGTGAAGTGCCGCTCGTCTACTCGGACCATTTCGCTAGGCATGTCGAGGATGACTTGAGGATCTGACACCTTGCTGTTGGTTGGCTTTGCAAGGTCTATCTCCCATCGGACGTAGTCGGCTTTGAAGTTGGGACTTCGATCGCGGGCTTTTGGATCGAACATCGGGAAGGGGCTGTAAGCCATTCGCGAGCTTTCAATGTAAACCTTTGTACCGTCTGACTCGTCCCATGCACCAGCCGTGTGTAAGAGAAGGGCATGGTCACCATGATAAACACGATACTCGTTTGGAGCCCAACCCGGAGGCACCTGAGAACCCCGTCTAGGCACAACTATGAATGTAGCTGGCCTGCTGGTACTGTACTGCCAATGATGCCCTCCATTCTTCATGCGATTCACGTCTGCCTCAAATGGCCAAAGAATAAGAATGATGTAATTTGCAGTGATGGCACAGTCGTGTATAAATGCCGCCCAGGGTGACTTGACCCATGTCTCATGGTGAACCTGACCTTGACGGTTGAGGGCATAAATGACGACATCATCCGTACCAAGTCCTTTTGCCTCACTTCCGAAACAGACCAGCTCATCCCTAAGGGGATCATGTTTGGGATGGGCGGTAAAAGTCTTGCCGGGGCAGTTGAAGGGATCGTATTCAAGGGTCTCCAGGGTGTCGGGATCAACGGCATAAGGCATGGCTGACTCCTTGAGAGCGAGGAGCTTCCCAGCCCAGAAGATAAGGTTCGTATTCGCGGTTGAGTCGACAGCAGCTCGTACACACGGGTGATGCGAAAAAGGGTTGCGATATAAGCCGAAAAGTCGTTTGTTTGCTTGACGTTCAAGGAGTAGCCGCTCTGTGTCGACGTACCGAGTCTTCATGTCGACACGTCCATCGTGAATACGGAATGCACAGATATTACCGTCGCCTTCGATGGGAGGGTTGTCTTCTTGCAGCGGATAAAACGGGTCGACCATGATGCGGTAAAAGGTCCCATCGAGTTCTTTGGGTACTTGGCCAAAAACAGCCAAGTCGGACACCTCGGCCTCAAAGCGTCCAGCAACTCCGTTGTACAGGGGGGTCATACTTGATAGCCATTGTGAGGGAAGGCCGAAAAAGCCATTTGGCTGAGAATCAATAGAGTCGGGGGTAGACATGATGGTGATGTAGAAGTTTATTATCTTCGTCGTTCTCTTTGCGTATGCGAATTTGCTGCACAATTTAATCTATCGAAGGACAAGAAGACATCTATATATATAGACAACTTTACAAAGGACAGTTTAGCAGTTGTAATGAGATATATCGTGCACAGCCATTGATTGTTGCCATGAGCCCATCCAAAGACATCTTCACAGCTCGTATCGCCGAAAAGCCCGTGCGTAAACAAGGGTTGCATACAGACAGCATCAAGGATCGGCATATAACCCACCACTCCCCAAGCATTATGAGGGACGTAGCGTGGAGTGGGGGTGGAGGTGGAGGTGGAGGTGGAGGTGGAGGTTGCAGCTGAGGCGCATAGGTATAACCCCCTTACCAGGGGTTAGCAGAACTTTATATAGAAATTTAGCCGGAAAGTTAAGGAAGCTGACAAAGCGGACGGACTGGTGAATCTATGCGACTAGATACGGCAAGCAATCTGATCGGCCGGGGCGTGTGAGCCAAGAAAATCACTGCTGCAACATAGGTTCCAGCTTAAGTTGCCATGTCCATACAGTTCAAGCAAGAATTTCCCTCTAGTAATATATTAAGCACGTCTGTATCCATCAGTGGCTTGCCCTTACCTACATGCAACGCCAATCCAACCCACATCATTTATTTACAAGCTGCCAAAGTTGTCATCATGCCTACCGCCAAACCCACAACAAAGCTTAGTGCATTGACCATTACCACCTTCTTTTCTCGCGCCGCCACCATTGTCGGAGACGAAAACGTCTCGAGAGACCCAACCTGGGGCGCTCCAGAAGGTCTCCGTGGCGAGCACTCCTACGGTGACCCATTCCCGCTGGATGGACCACACATCCCCATAGGTGCTGCCAGGCCAGGGACAGTCGATCAAGTCAGAGGGCTCGTAAAGCTTGCCAATGAGCTGAAAGTCCCATTGTGGACCGTGTCTCGAGGGAAAAACCTTGGGTAGGTTGAAGTACTTCCCAGGCATGGCTCAACCAAGCTTTCAAGCCCCTCATTCTAATGATTCCGTTGCGTGCTGTAGGTATGGAGGATCTTCTCCTGTGGTAGCCGATAGCATTATCCTCGATTTACACCGCATGAGAAGCATCATCGAGATCAACGAAGAATATGCATATGCCACAGTCGAGCCCGGAGTAACCTTCATGGACCTTTACGATGAGATCCAAAAGCGGGGGCTAAACCTCTGGCTGTCGGTCCCGGCGCTGGGATGGGGGTCGATTATTGGAAATACGCTGGAGCGTGGTATCGGATATACTCCTGAGGGTGCTCACTATAAGCATCAGTCGGGACTGGAGGTCGTGCTTCCGAATGGAGACTTGCTTAGAACCGGCATGGGTGCCGTCAAAGACAGCAACGTCTTTCCTCTTTATTCGGGGTATGTTGGTTATTTTCTCTCTTACCATACGGCACTAATAGGATTCAAGTGGCTTTGGGCCGGGGTTGGACGGCTTATTCTTTCAATCCAACTTTGGTAAGTGACGCATTGTGTGCCGTCTGACGTTTCTGCATCTACTAACTAGGGGCCAGGAGTCGTCACCAAGATGAGCATTCACATGTCTCCGGCACCACAGTCTTACACCTCCATCCAGGTTGAAACGCTAGATGTATCCGGCGTCGTTCCCCTGGTTGGCACAATGACAGCTCTAATGAGACAAAAGCTCATCCTCAACCCACCCCAGCTCTTTGACAGATCAACACTAGTATTCGCATCCCAAGATCCAGACGTCATCGCTGCACTTGGACCCTATGCTACCCGCGACAAGCACATTCCCGACGAGCTGATCGACCGTATCGGTGCGGACCATGGACTACCAGCTTGGAGGGCCAACTTTGCGCTGTACGGACCTCCAGAGGCCGTGGCCGGAGTGCTTGCCGCCGTCAAAGCCAAGTTTGACGGCATTCCCAGTATCGAGTTCACCTCGCAGACCTGCACTGCCCTGCCTGGCACATACCTTAAAAGTTCCCAAGTTCCTCCCGACTTCTTGCCCCAGAACGGCGTTCCCAGTGTTGAGGGGTTAAAGGCATTCACCTCTACCAAAGACGGTATCTGGCATAATTGCTTTTCTCCTGTGGTACCACCATCGGGCCGTGAACTATACGACTGGTACCTATCAGCCAAAACCATCACGGCAGCTCACGACCTCAATTTCGTTGCCGACTTCCATGTATTCGACCGGTACATCATCGCCATCAATCTCGTCTGCTTCCATCCTTCGGCACACGGGCGTCTGCGCGGGTTACAAGTCGACCTAATGGAAGACTCTCATAAACGGGGCTTGCTCGAGTATCGGACACATATCAGTTTTATGGACATGACAGCGGCCTACCAAGACTTCAACAATGGTGCATTTTCGCGTTTTACAACGCTTCTGAAGAACAGCATTGACCCCAACGGCGTGTTATCACCTGGGAAATCAGGCATCTGGAATTCTGGCAAGTCTGGGATAGCTCGCTCTCAGCTTTGATAGGTTATTGCATTGCTTTCCGTTTTAATAAGAAAACATCATCAAGACCCTCTTCGCTCTACCTATGTTGAACAAATATCTTTTCATCATTCAAGTGATAGCATAGACAAGTTAGGTGCAAAGGTTTAGTAGGTATTTACAATTCTTCTGTAGCAAGGCCCAGTCAAGGACCTCCACCTCTTGCTCCAATGTTCAGTCAATTTCTACCCTCGGCTTCTCGTGCCGGGACTTCTCTTGCGGTGACAGTTTTGGAGAATCCGGCTGTCAACATAACAAGGCTATGAGCCTGATGGCGTGCACTTTAAGGCGGTCCCAACAAAGTCACAAAGTGCCGTGGTTTTCCTTTGTCCTATCTCTGCCGCCCTGACTGCTGTTTTTCTTTACTCAAATGACCAGGATATATTTCACTGGGCGCACTTCTTTTCGTCTAGTGTAGCTTAATGAACATATGCTGCCGAGAAGTGGAAGGTCAGGGTAGTTGGCGATCTTTGGGTTAAGTAAGAGGTACTTGTCGCCTCTCAAGGATTACTCGCGTCATTTCTTCGGGGAGTCTTAGCCATCGGGGAGATTAACTCGGAGCTAAGGGCCTGATATATCGGAGCATGATGCATCCTGACTCGGAGTTTAAGCAAGTTGCCACTTTACTCAATCATCACACCACCGATGGATCACCGAGCTGAATTCGGCCCCATCTTTAACACTCTGCTCTCGGACTCCAACCAGGGCCGCAAGCCCGTACGCACCCATAGCAACTGCCGAACGACCTTTACAAGAGTCTTTATTAGGTCAACGTGTGCCAGTTGCAACATATTAACATCTAGGAGGCACTAACTATTTAGCGAAATTTCATTCTAGTGGTGTTATTTTTCATCATCGAACTTGCGGGAGCTCAACTCCGCGTCGGCGGTTTACGCCCGGTTTGATTGACGACTTGAGTAATGTAGCCTCGCCTCCGATGAAGTTTCTAGTGCCCAACATGGATCTGCTCGGCTCCTCTCTTAATAGTGGAGTTGGTATCGGTATATTCAGTGTTTCATCTACGCCAGGCCGAGGCCGCTCGGGCCTAAGAAACTGACTTCGGGCTGCTAGCACCGAGAAGACCGATGCACATCGACAAGTTCTCCAGAGTAATGACCTGATCTTGCTGTGTAAGGGGTTTCAAAGTTCTATACTGCCCTTTGACCTAGGAGTATTGGTCTATTTAAGCCATGGGCATGACCACCCCAGGCCCAGAAGAACGAAGTAACCAAGTCTACTCGTACATCACTTTTAAGAATCGTATTTCGTCTTGCACCTTCTAAACTTTCATCATGAGTCTCCAAAACGCAAACAAAGTCGACGCCCTCATTGTCGGCGCCGGCTTCAGTGGAGTCGGACAAGCCTACGCTCTGCGCAATCTCGGGCTTTCCATCAAGCTGGTCGACTCACTTCATGATGTCGGAGGAACATGGCTCACGAACACATACCCTGGAGCCCTGAGCGATACGGAGAGCTTTGTCTATCGCTTTTCGTGGGATAAGGAAGATTTGCAAACCTATCCCTGGAACCGTCGATACCTCAAACAGACGGAAATTCTGCAGTATCTGAGACACTTCGTCGAGAAGCATCATCTTCGTCAGTACATGCAGTTCAATACCGAAATGCTCTCAGCTGCGTGGAATGAAGAGAATAATTTCTGGGAGATCAAACTCAGCACGGGAGAAAACTATCAGGCGCGCTATTTCATCGCTGCATTGGGCCAGTTGTCCAGAGTGAACCTGCCTCGCATTCCCGGAATCTCGTCCTTCAGTGGACAGATCACGCATTCGTCCCACTGGCCCGAGGGCGCTGATATCACGAACAAGCGCGTTGGTGTTATTGGGTGTGGTGCCAGCGGAGCCCAAATCATTACCAACGTTGCGCCGGTTGCTGCCTCTCTGACTGCCTTTATTCGACATCCGCAATACACGGTTCGCGGGAATGACAGAGCGGTCACTAAGCAGTACAGAGAGTGGGTGAATGAACACTACGACCAAATCTGGGAACAAGTCCGAAACTCGCAAATTGCGTTCGGATATGTCGAGTCTAACCGTCCGTTCTTTTCCGTGAGCCCCGAGCAGCGTGAGGAGGTCCTGGAGGATCTGTGGAACAACGGGAACGGCATGCGTTTCATGTTTGAACATTTCTGTGATATTACCACCAACAATAAGGCCAACGGCGCAGTATGTGATTTCCTTCGCCGGAAGATCCAGCAGATCGTCAAGGATCCGGAGAAGGCTCGCAAACTTATTCCCAACGAGCCCTTTGCTAGGCGCCCCGTGGCCAATGACGGTTACTACGAAACATACAATCGAGAAAACGTGGCAATTGTGGACCTGAAGGAGACCCCGATCGCTGAAGTCGTCCCCGAAGGGATCCGCACTGAGGACGGAACTGTGCACGCACTGGACGTGATCGTGTTTGCCACCGGATTTGACGCTGTTGATGGCAATCTGAATCGAGTGGACATTTCCTCCCGGGGTAAAAAGCTCAGAGACATCTGGGCGCATGGCCCAAGAACGTATCTTGGAAGTTTCTCAGCCGGATTTCCCAACATGTTCATGGTAAACGGGCCTCTGAGCCCATTCGGGAATGTCGTGCCAGCGATAGAAGCCACTATCGAGCTGATCACGAATGTCATCGAGCGTGCGGAACTTGCCAGGACGGAGCACGGCGCCGGAGGAGTTGTTGAAGCCACCCCTCAGGCCGAGGATGAATGGGTTGATAAGTGCAACAAGGCCGCTGAGGGGAGTCTATTTAACGATTTCAAGGATTCTTGGTTCTCGGGAGGCAATGTCCCTGGCAAAGCTATCGGAGTACGAGCGTACTTTGGTGGAATGAAGAGCTTCCGAGCCTTCGGTATTGATGCCACGAAGAATACCTGGAAGGGATTCAAGCCACTCAACTAAGAGGGCTCGCGTTAGTAGTACCTGTTTCGTTCTAGGTCAATATGACCTGGCATTTGTCTTTATGTGTCCAGCCAAATAAAATAAAGAAAGTTGAAGAAAAAAGTTAAACAGAACCCGCTGTGTTTGTGATCCCTGGGCCAGCCTGTTGTTCCATTTATAATCTGCACCATGTACTCTATATAACCTACAGCTTGGCGGCGGATTGGCCGGGAAAAGTAACACTTATGCCAAAAGAAAAGATGCATGGAAATGCTCTCTTTTTACGTAGATCCGGGACGATTGGAGAGTATGTTTGTATTTGCCGAACCCAATACCTACTTGCCTCCTCGGGTTATTCAGTACGTGGACCAATCAGCAAGACTTGGTTCATCTGATAATAAAATCTCCGACGCGGCCCACTAATCAATCTTATCTCCGCGGACACGGTTTAACCATTCTGCGGCCATATCCTCTAATTCCATCCGCCCACGTCTACACTACACCAACTCCGGAATCAAGCAACTCTTCAGCATTCACTCAGTCTTTACGCATTATTTAGCTGTCGCCATGAATTCTACTCTCGATTCTAGTACCGCGTCAGTCCGTCGGAGACGCCGACCGGCGGTGTCGTGCACGGAATGTCGTCGCCGGAAAGTCGCTTGCGACCGTGGGAATCCATGTAGCAATTGCACCATGCGCAAGTCCGCCTGTGCATATCGGAGGCTGCCGGTCAACGCTGACTCCCTCGCGCCCCTTCTCCCGACTCCATCCACCATAGACCTAGAATACGGCAACGTGATGGACGGATTGCGGTCGGATGCGCAATCCGAGTCCAACACACCCTCGACGGTAGAAACAGCGCCCCATAACGACGCCAAAAAGGCTGCAGGCATTGCTACTCAGACTGGGCCTAAAATAGTCTGCCGGTGCACCAAGTCTCGCTTCTTTGGCCAGAGTCACTGGATGAACAAACTTCATCGGGTCAGAACCAGTCCAGTCCACACCTGCGCCCCATCATTCGAGGCTTGCTGCATATTCAAGCCATCATCTTATCAGAGGCTGACCTATTGCTTTTTAGTTTGTCGAGATTCATCGGATAAGCCATAGCTGCTACTTCGACGACACTTCTGATGGCTACAAACTGCAAGAGAAGTGTAAGCGCTTGGCTCGCGCCTTGAAAGGCCCTCATGTGCCGGAGCCCTCCGGACGAAGGATTGCAAACATTGATCTTAAGAGCGTGGTTCCATCCAGGGCGGTATGTGATCACCTCCTGGGTTTGTATTTCCGTACCTACAACTCGATATACCGCGTACTGCACAAGCCCACCTTCGAACAAGAATTGGATGTGTATTGGGCTGATAAGAAAGCCGCAGGCGACTTGTTTGTGTATAAACTCGTTCTCGCTTTGTCTATTGGCGCGACCTTTTACACCGGACAAGACGCCAGAGCGGTCAGAAAGGCCGTGTCACGCGCTGCTTCCGACGTCGTCCTGGCCTGTCAGACCTGGCACTGCGTCCCCCTCACTAAACACGCTCTTGCGGAAGGCACCATTCAACTATTCATTCTCTCCCTACTTGCCCGGCAGACTAATTCTGTGTCTGTTGGTGGAGACAATGTCTGGATCTCTGCCGGCGCCCTGCTCCGCACCGCCACGATGATGGGGTTGCACCGGGATCCATTACACCTCTGCCATGTCTCAATCTTCAGGGGCGAAATGAGGCGACGACTGTGGTACGGTATACTCGAAGTCCTCGTACAGGCGAGTATAGACAATGGCCAGTTGCCAATGCTGGCGAGCGACGAGTGGGACACGGCGGTTCCCGCCAATGTCGACGACGAGGAGCTTACCGAAGACATGCTGTTCCATCCCATCTCCAGGCCGTTGGACAAGGTCTGGACACAGAGCTCAGTGCAATGTGCGCTTGCACGCTCGCTAACATTACGTCTTCGAGTCGCCAAAGCCTTGAACAGCTTTCACTCCGAATTGTCCTACGAGGAGACTCTGCAAATGGGCAAAGAGTTATCAGATGAGTGTGTTGCCAATAACAAGCTGTTTGGGCCGTGCAAACTCTCGTGCAATGAGCCGGATGAGCTGCGTCATAAGCTGTTCCAGCTCCAGCTCCTCGATACGCTGACCCGCCGTTTCCTCCTTTCACTACACACCCCATTCGCCTACAAGAGCAGCCATGATCCAACGTATTACTTCTCGAGGCATGTCTGCCTAGACTCAGCGCTCAAGTTGCTAACCCACGTAACCCCCACTCCCATGCCTTCCCCGTTAGAACAAACACCTTCTAAGCAATCAGATCACCGGCAAAGACCTCGGATCTCAGAGGACGAATACAACCTCATGAAGTTGCGATCACGCGGAACCTTCAGGAGTATTCTCTACGATGCGACCACAACTGTCTGCTTAGAGCTGACTCAACAACTACGAGAGGACCCTTCTGCTGCCCTGTTCGGAACCTCACCGGAGTCTCGATCACTGCCACCCATGCGGGGGGAGCTGTATAGCACGGTCAAGGCCGCGGTGGAAACCCAAAAGAGCAGAATCTGGGAGGGTGAGACGAACGTAAAGGGCTTTGTCTTCTTTGCAACCGCCATGGCACAGGTGGACGGGATGATCCAACATAGTGGAAAGGCGGGCACCCGTGACGGCGGTGATGATGTTTCTATCCAAGAAGACCTCGCTCGGGCGCGAATGGAGAGTTTAGAGGAGGCTTGGAAGATACTCAAGAGTTTAATAGTCGAAAGGGAGGGTGAAAACGCTACTGGGGAGGTGGATAATGACGTGATGCAGGATGAAGATAAACGAGAAAAGACCATGAAGGCTAACGAGAGTGGAAAGGATGAGCGCAGCGAGCTAGATGCGAAGGGTTTATGTGGCGATTCCTTCTTGAATGTTGAGGTTGGTGAGGAAGATCTATTGGATTCGTTGTTTTACCTTAACTCTGATCCGAGTGGAGATGCGCTAGGCCCTTGGTTTAGTATAGAGCTTGACGAGGGCGTTATGCAGTTTTAATATTATTTATTATATTTTATAAAATAAATATTTTTATTTTTTTTATATATTATATACTAAGAATTAAATTAATAGAAATATAATTATAAATATAAAATAAAATAAAATTATAAGTATAAAGTTAAGATTACTAATATTTATATTTTATAAATAAAACTATTATTTATACTATTATTATTATTATAATATATATAATAAGCAAGTATTATAGATAAGCAAGTATTATAAAAATCCTAACCCTCCTTAGGAATACTATAATAAAAATACCATAAATTATCTAATTAATTAAAATTACTTACTATACTCTTCCCTAAATATCTTAATTACTACCTAATAGGTCCTTATATTATAGCTAGGCTAGCCATAGATACTATAACGCCGAATACCTAGTCGCGCTAACCTTCCTTAATTACTACTTCGTAATAATTCCGCTACTACCTACGTATTAGTATCTATTTAATTAATTACTTACCTTTTTTCCTCTACTATTATAACCCCTCTTTTCTATAACTAGGTTCTTTTTGCCCTCTGGCGCCGACTAAGTATCTTATTTACCTCCCGAAGGTCTTTATTCTTAATAGCTAATAAGGTAACCCGATGTATAATTACCTTTATCCCCTTCTTAAGAGACCTTAGGGCTTTAAGGATTAACTCTAGGGAGCTACTTTAATGCCTTTTAATTTATCTTTTAAGGTATTTAGACTAAGATTAGGCCTTAAATATAGTCTTTAGGGTCCTTAATACCTAAGAGGTTAATTAATTAAATACCTCCTTAACTAGTATTAATATCTATAGCCATATATTAAGCTTTAAGATTATACTTTCTAGATTAAGAGGAATAAGCCTAGCCCCTTTAAATAATATCTTAATATTTCTTTTCGTTATAATAGCCTTATATATTATATAAAAGGCTAAAAAGAACTTAGTCTTTAAAATATAGGTTATAAAGTATCTAATTAGATATTTTATTTCTTAATTATAAGCTTACTTTAGTATACTAAAGTACCTAATATTAAGGGGCTAAAGTAAATAAGATAAATAAGGTAATATATAAAGCTAGATAATCTTATTCTCCTTATAATATCTCTTAAATTTAATAAAATAATAACTTTTATAGCTATTAAGGATTAAGAGATAATAAGAATTAATTAATTAATTAATTATATACCGGTTAAAGTACTTAAGCTACTTAAGATTAATCTTATTATTAGTCTAGCTATTTTAAGTTATTATAATAGCTTAATCGCCTAGGAGGTTATTTTCTTGGTATTAATTAGCGAGGTAATATTAGCCTAAATTAATAATAAATAGCGGGATTAACTAGCCTTTCGCATTAATCGCTTAGATTACTATAATCTATTCTTAATTTCTAGGCTATATTAATTTTAGCTTTAAATACCTTTCTAAGCCTATAATAATTATTCCGCTTATAATTATACCTATAAGGAAGCTAATCTTATTAAAGTTATAAATATTATTTAATTAGATATTATACTTCGCGATTATATTCGCTATAAGCTAAAACTAATTATAGATAATAATTAGATCTTTATACTTAGCTCTCTAGTAATTATATTTCTAAAAAAAATATATCTTAAGCTCTAGGTATTACTTAATAAAGTTATAAGCTTAGCGTATATTAATTAGTAATATATCGCAGTCGGTAAGTAATTAATTAGTTATATCTTTAATATTATATAGCTATAGGGGAAATCCTCGTGAATCTAGGTCGAGGATAAAGTAAATAAAGATATCTTCTTTTAGATTAAATAGCTTATATAAATTAGGGATAGTATCGCGTCGAGACTAGATGCCTTATTGCCGGCGATATAAGGTATAATAGTAAACTATATATATCGCTGCGGCGTATTAGATACTTAGTTTTAGGTTATTTTGGAGGGCTTAAAGAGCTAGAAGAATTCTAGCTTTAGTATTAGAGCCTAATATGCTAGGTGGTTAAGAATTAATTAATTAAATAAAGAAGATATAAGGTAAGGGATTTTTATGATACTCGCTTATCTATGATACTCGCTTATTATATACGTTATCTATATAAGTTAATATATATATAATATTAATTATTATTAATTATTATTATATAAGTTAAAAAAAAATCTTATTACTTAGTATATATTAAATTATATAAGTATTAATATATAAAAGGAACTAATAATAGTACTATATTATACTTTATAGGGATAATTATTAAAATGGAATAGTAGCTGGAGAGATTGAATACCTGACTAAAATCCTTGGTCCGTCTCGGGCGCCGTGAAAGAATGTTCTGTTCTTAGCATGATTAGTGATCAGTCTCGCTAGTATCCCCCTCGGTGTAATGTAGTGGGATGATCGGCGTCTCACGGTCGAAAGTCCGGATGAGAACATTAAACTTTCCATTTCCCGCTCCGCAATCACCCTTAGGGATGAATGCCTGACATGTCACTTCCGCATCAGTGAGGCTGAGATGAGCGTTCTGTTGTATTTATTTGCGTTGGGCCGCTTCGTTGGTTCCTCTCGTCATGCCAACGCAACGCTGAACCGATACTGACACTATGCGGTGCGGTAACCTTCTCGCGTGCTTCGCGCCCTTGGCAGTCGCCTCGGCCTTCAGCTCCCCTCCTGGGACCGCAGCGGCAGCCTTGGACAAATTCACCTTTCGAGTACCCGACCAGCATATCAGGGAATTCCAAACCATCCTCGCCGTGTCCAAAGTAGGCTCCAAGACGTGGTACGACGACCGCGACGACTCGACGTTTGGAACGACACGACGCTGGCTAGCCGGGGCAAAACAGGCCTGGCTCAAGCTCGACTGGCGCAAGCAAGAGAAGCGCATTAACTCGGTACCCAACTTCAAACTCACCGTCAATGACTCCGACGTTGGACCTACCACCCTTCACTTCGCTGCTCTCTTCTCTACCAAGGAGGACGCGATTCCTCTCCTGCTCCTTCACGGTTGGCCCGGGTCGTTCCTTGAGTTTCTCCCTATACTGGATCTACTACGCGAGAGATATACCCCAGAGACCCTACCCTACCACATCATTGTACCGTCACTCCCGCACTACGGACTCTCTGGCGGCCCATCACATGTGGAGCTCACGTTAGACGCAGCAGCGCGCCTCTTGCATCAGTTGATGGCAGACCTTGGATTTGGCGACGGCTTTGCTGTCCAGGGTGGTGACATTGGAAGCTTTCTGGCTCGGATTTTGTGTGCCGAGTACTCGGCATGCAAGGCGTTTCACAGTAAGGCGCCCCCATAGTGAAGAGGAACTTGGTGCCTGGGCTTTCACTAACGAGAAATAGTCAACATGCTGGCTCCTGCGTCCCCGGATGAACTCCTCAGCCCCGATAACCTAACGCAGGAGGAAGTAGATCACGTCCAGCGCATGCTGAATTTCACCTCGACTGGCTCGGCGTACATCCTAGAGCACGGCCAGCGACCCTCCACCATCGGCCTAGCCCTCTCCTCAAGCCCTCTTGCGCTACTGTCCTGGTGGGCTACCCCGCGGCTCTTGGCTTGAAACTGTGGCTGACCCTTTTTAGGATTGGCGAAAAACTCATCGAGTGGCCTGATCAGCGATATCCCTTACCCCTTGAAACAATTCTAACACTGGTGGGCTTCTACTGGTACACTGACACCTTCCCGAGGAGTCTGTATCCGTACCGTGCCCTGGCAGCTTCTGCATCCTCGGGGGGGTACTTCTCGGTCCCAACATCCAAGGAGAAGCCGTTCGGGTATTCGGTCTTCCCGGCAGAGAACATCCTGGTACCCGAAGCGTGGGCGGAGCAAATCTATCCCAACCTAGCGTTCTATAAGAGACATGACAAGGCACGTATCGTCCCCATTTTGAGTTTGTATCGCAAGTGCGACCTTCTTATCTTACTATAAGTACTAATACAATATCTATAGGGTGGACATTTCGCGGCACTGGAGCAGCCTAAAGCCTTGCTGCAGGATGTGGAAGAGTTTTTAGCAAAGGCTTGGCCCACCCACGCTGAGTAAAGCGCTGGGCTCGTAGTGGGGGTTTCGATTCACACTCTCGACCAATTACCACAAACACTAGAGCCCAGGTTGAGCCCAAGAACTTGAGTCCTTGGGCCTTCCCATCCTTCACTTCGATCTTCTGGCTCAGTTAACCCATCAAGGGCTGAGTTTCACCTATAGTAAAGAACCCATTCCATCCTTCACTTCATTCCTTCCTTTTCTAGCCTGTTTTAGGTTACACATTGCATAATTGCCCAGTTAGTTAATACACTTGGTTGGGTCGCTATACTAAGGAGTAATTTAAATCTTTGCAGAGAATCTGGCCATTAAGCAGGCTATTAACATCCTACTGAACTTAGCTAATAAGCATACGAAGAGGTAGCGTGAAGCGAGTGTTCGACGGAGGATTTGAGGGAATGAAGGGGTCATGGCACACGGAAACAACTTAACAACCACGCCGATCAGAATTTCTTCCTAAGCGTATCAAGTTCTAACGAGCTCTTGGCCTCGTTGCATAATCAATCTGTCAGGATGGCGATCACAATTACCCATTTAAAACTTTCGGCCGAAATTCCGGAAACGGACGAAAATTCGTTTAACCTGGATCGGCAGATGTGAGAGACGGTGAGTTCAAAGTGCCGAGCACAAGGCGATTCCGCCCTGCGTGCCTTAGGTATGGTGCAGTGCGTTGACGACATAGACTACATTGTCGACACTTCGCGGGGCGATTACATCTACTCCTCCGATTCAGATGGGCGACTTGAGATGTTGTAACACGATCACATGGATACATCATAGCCCTAAACATTTCTCGATGACACTCGGGGTACAATTCATACGAAACTGTTCATCCCTCCACTTCTTCCTCCAGAAGGCCAGCGGCCCTGAGAGTCGCGATTACAAGTCCTCGTCTTCGTCAAACCAAACTTGTATGCTAATTCGCACCTTTGATGGCGTCCAAACTCATAGCAAGATTCCCCGCCATTGGGGACCATCCCACACCTCCCTGACGGAGGTCTTCGGTGTTCATCAAAATACCATCTTCCAGAGACGTCCACCCTGGTCTTCCCAAGTCTCGCAGAAGCTGCTCGGCCCTTGCTTTCGGCTTGATCTCACTGAGATCCTCATCGGGCTGGAAGTTGTCAATGAACTTTACGCCTGGATTCTGCTTTCGTAAGATATCTAGGACCTTGTCCCAGTTGAAGGGTTCCGCGAAGGCAAAGATACGCTCGCCTTTAACATCGGGGTGGACGGCCGCGGCAACGTGAAGGATCCCAGTATCTTGGACGTCGACGAAGTGTCCTTTGAGTGAATGTTAGTGAATTGCCATGATGATCAGGGTAGTTGGGGGCTATCATACGGGGATCGAACTGTTTCAGGATCTCCAGGTTCTGGTTTTGCCACAGAAAGACGAGGAACCCCGACGTAGACGGGTGTCCTTGGTTAACAACGTCGAGACTCTTGCCAAAGTTGCAGTCTGGGACAACTTCTATTTCTTAGTGGCGGAACTCGTCCTTTGATGGCATACGACTCACCACTGTTGACAACCAGGTCGGGTCGTTTGCCTTTATTCTCTTTATAGAACTTCCAAACTTCCTGCTCTGCTTGAGTCTTGCTGGCAGCATAAGTCAGATTAGCCTGCTCCGCAGAGTAGCTCGTGGACGACCAGGCTAGCTTGACGGCTTCATCGTTCCAAGTATTCTCTGTCACGACGATTCCAGGCACATTTGGCTTAGGCAGCAACGCAGCCGTCGAAGAGGACGTGTACATGAAACGCTTGACGCTTGGCTCCGCGAAAGCGGCTTTAAGTACATTGACAGCGCCGGCAATGACAATATGGATAACCTTGTTAGGGTCAGGGTCGAATGTCATGACAGAGGCCACATGGGCAACAGCCGATACGCCTAACGAGATTAGCATCTGGTTAGCACGCTGGGGGAGGATGCTCGTGTACCTTTAACAGCTTCGATAAATGCGTCATTGGCCGCCATATCTGGGATGGATAGCAGCTCAAATTGGCCCGTTCCGTACTTCTTGTCGAAGACTTCGCTGAGCCAGGCGCTCTTCTTCGTGTTGCGAGCGGTGCCGCGGACTTTGTACCCAAACTGAAGGAACTGGTCGGCAACATGAGAGCCTACGAGACCGCTGGCACCTGTGACTAGAACGGTCGAGCCTTTGGGGATCGCGAATTCAAGGGTGGACATGGTTGCGGCGATTTGTTTACTTGGTGATCTAATGTGTGCGGTTGAGGGAGTTTTGGAAACACCCACGACATAGATCGAAGCGACGTCGAGGGATATTTAACGCAGCGTCTGTTCTTGACTTATTCTATTGTATTCCACTACGTATCATTACTCACATATGCGAAAACAAGATCGAACTCAAGTGCCGGGTAGATTGGGCCTCCAGCTCCGGGCCTCGGCCGAATTCCAGCGCTTCTTTGGTACTAGGGTAAAGTATACGTAGATACCTATGGACTAGGACAAGGTATACGCGTATAGGGGGTAGTCGGATCAACTATTGGGCCGTCGGGGTAAATGAAACTACTAGCTGAATCGAGCGAGAAAGGATAGACGCTTCACCTACCTTTGACCGGCTCGGTGGAAGAGATGGTGGAAAGACGTATAGAATTGTCAGCATGATACAATGTAGGCAACATACAGCTTTCACTCGGCGTCCGTTCGGAGAAGTAAAGACAGAGTTAGCCTACAATCAGACTTTGGGCCGCCAGACTATCCCAACAGACTCAGGTTAAAGTCGAGGCGCAAGATTCTTACGTCTCGTTGATTTCATGCTTGACTTGGCCTTGTTTCACCCCGTCTTCCCACCCAACTGAAATCCCAACGCTGCAATGAGTCTCCTCCTCCCCGCCTCCGCCATCCTTGCCCCCATAGCATACGGCCCACCACAGTACACCGACCTCGTATTGCAGAGCCCCTATCTTTCCCCAATCATCGGCCGCGGAGGCGTGAAAGCGCTCCTCGGCGCCGCCCTGGGTCTGGGCCTCACCAAACTTGCCAACAGAGCACTGAATGCGTGGGCTTTGAACAGTTGGCGCGTGACGGCCTATCCCGGCTGGAACTGGGATGAAGAGGTTGCTGTTGTGACTGGGGGCTGCGGTGGCATTGGGAGGGAGCTCGTCATTGGCCTCATCCACAAGCAGGTCAAGGTCGCCATCCTCGACGTTATTCCACTCCCCGATGATATGACGGGACACCCCCTGATCCTGTACGCCAAAACCGATATTACGTCGGCGGCCGCCATCGCAGAGGCAGCGGCGACGATCCGAAAGACCTTTGGCAACCCGACCATCCTGATCAACAACGCTGGGGTTGCCGCGCCTCATACCATTCTCGAAACACCCGCCGAGTTCCTCCCCAAGATCTTCGGTGTCAATGCAATCGCTCTTTGGTTATTGACCAAGGAGTTCCTGCCTAGCATGATCAAGGAAAACAAAGGACAAGTCGTTACCACTTCAAGCGTCACGGCCTATATGGCACTGCCAAGAATGGTCGACTACTGCGCCTCAAAGGCTGCTTCCTTGACGTTCCACGAGGGCCTGAACACCGAGCTCAAGACCAAGTACAAGGCCAACGGGATCATAACCACGATAGTCCAGCCCAGCTGGGTGCGGACCCCGATGTCCCCTGACAACGCCGACGAGATTGAGCGTAGGGACGGCAAGATGCTTTCGCCCCAGGAGGTTGCGGGCCGTACGTTGAAACAGGTATTTGCCCGCCGGGGTGGCCAATTGATTCTGCCAGATAACATGTCCTTCTTCAGCACAATAAAGGGCTGGCCGAACTGGCTGCAAGAGTTGCTAAGGGACGCCATGGGTCGAAGCAGCCTGCTGTGATTTCTTTTTCACTTTATCTTCTATCTTTCTGTCTTTGATCACGTTGTTATTCTTTACTAGTCATCGGCTCCAATGAATGTTGAATTCAATTCTGTCTAGTCTTGATATATTTCCACCAGCTGCACCTATCCCTCCGCTGATCCACTACTCTGCAGAACTCGCTCCCGTTCACCTCATGTACTTGGTCCACTCATCTTGTTTGCCTTCCTCTTCCGTACGTACTCGAAGCCCTTATAAGTGAGGTGTGTGAGGTGTGTGAGAAATGAAGCCGTGGTGACTATTTGTAAAGGGCCAAGTTAAAAACTCATCCAAGCCATTTCAAGGGAGGAAAGAATGCCAACATACCCGACTAGTAGAGCTTCATGCCCTGAGCGTACTGCACAGGAGAATGGCCGTTGATGTTGTAGCATTGCTTGGAGTGGAAGTAATCTCCATTGTAAGAGTACGTGTCATATATGAACGACTCCTGAGAGCAGCTAGGTTGAGCATAGAATGCAATTCTCTGCCCGTTGCTCGGTCCAAATCCATTTTCCTTGTAAGATTGGAATCGTTGGACGTCAGGGTTGCAGGCTGCATTATGATCAACCTTGAGAATCTGTTCCGTGCCGGTGCAGTCACGACCACTGTAGGTCTTGACTCCAACTGCAAGGCTGCCTTGGATGAAGACGGCGGCGGCGGTGACGAGGAGCTTAGAGAAATGCATTTTCAAAGATGTTCAAAGTACGAAGAAGGTTTTTACTGAATGTAAGATCGAAAGAATGGTTTCGGTGATGTTGGGAATGTTTGGCTTTGGTGAATGAAGGAATACTCTTGACTGAGATATGAACGTTAGTTTATATATCTACAGTCGTGACGCTTTGATCCACAAGCCTCCGGGTACTGAATCATCAGATATTATTCAATCCTCAAAGTACATTCATTCTTCCAACGTATGCACCCTTCAACGGAGCGTATTGAGTCATCAGAGCGTATTCAGAATTTACAGCGTATTCAGCGTTCAGAGCGTATTCACCCTTGAGAGCATATGCAACCTGCAAAGAACGCATGCGGGTGACCAACCTCACATTGTCTCACGTAATGTAAGCGCTCCATAACAATTGCAACAGAATGCAGATTCCCGGCTTTTACTTCACTTTGATGTTGCAGTAGCAGTACAGATGATTTACATTGCAAAGCACTCGCACCTACACGGCTATATCGGCAAGGAAGCTCAATGAATCGCTGTTATTTTACGCCGAGTAATGCCGATGACGTGCGCTGTGAAGCAAACGCACTTGAGCGGCCCGGCAAGCAGATACGGTAGCAACACCAACGTACCATCACAAAGCTCAAGCTCAGAGCTCACAGCCAAGTTCTTACGATCTTTGAGACTCTCTAGGTGTACAAGGGAGGTTGTAACGCCTTCTCTGACTTTCACCTTCAAGTCAACTAGTAAAATTCCTTCGCTATATCTTGCTTCGGCGCTTCTCTCTATCTCTCAAAACCCGTCTGAGAATCTTTCCGCTTGGACTCTTTGGAATAGAGTCTAGAAACTCAACACCACCTTTCAGTTGTTTATACGGGGCTTTATGAGCCGCCACATACTTGCTAATATCCTGCACAAGCTCTTCTTCAGCAGCTGCCTCCGCAACGGGGCTTCGCACAACAAAAGCCTTGGGCACTTCTCCAGAGCGCCCGTCGGGTACTTGTATCACTGCACAGTCTGAGACAGAAGGATGTGAGAGGATATGCGCTTCGAGCTCCGCGGGGGCAACTTGATGACCCTGTAGCCTGTCAGTATGTATTGCCAAGACATGCTAATCTGGCTGACCTTGACTTTGATGAGTTCCTTGATTCGATCAACAATGACGAGTTGCTCGTTACCAGATGGGGCTAGAGTAAAGAGAGCCTCGTCTCCTGTCCGTATCCAACGACCATCAGCATCAAAAACAAACGTCTCAGTTGTTGCTTTCTCGTTGTTAAGATAGCCTAGCACAACGGAAGGGGCCTGGACCAGAAGCTCTCCCGAGCAATCATAGCTAGTGATCTCGTTGCCCGCCGTGTCTACGATTTTGGCTTTGGTTCCTGGAAGTAAAGACCCGGAGGCTTTCATAAAGATGTCGTGCTCACTCGGCGATGAAACAACCGTTGCTGTTTCAGTCATGCCTTGAGTTCTCAAATCAGCAACCTTCAACGAGATGCCATTAGCAAACTGACCGTACGCTTGACCAACTGTCCATCCAGGATAAATGCTTTTCAGCTCTTGCATGGTTTCCTCAGCTAAAGGTGCTGCTCCGCTATATAGAAACTTGACACTGCTCAAGTCGTACTTTGCGCAAGTATCCTTCAACTGTAACATCCTGATGATGATAGGCGGTACCTGACTTATTAGCACTGGGTAGCTTGGTGGAGTGGTAGCTTACCAGTAGAAGCTGACGAATTTCGAATCCTTGAATTGATTCGAGAAAAGCCTTTAGCTCAAACTTGGGGAGAACAATGACCTGATCGCCCCTCCAAGTACTAGTATGACATGCAATGACCAAACCGTAGATATGGCTAAAGGGCAGAAAGCCTGATACTGCTTGCGTTTCGACACCTTTCCTTGCTCGGCCAACTGAGTCGTAGGTGACATGCTGCAGCACGTTTGCAATGACATTAGCGTGGGAGATCATGACCGCTTTCTACCCGTATCGTGAGCCTTGGGTTCTCCGTGATGAGGTAGAGCACTCACTGGTAGCCCTGAAGTTCCGCTTGAATAGCACAGGAAGGCGGGCTGCCGAGCTCCTTGTCCCGGGACCCATCTGAGAGGATCGAGCTCGGGAAGATTAGAACCTTGCTTGACGAGGTTCTCAATCGTCCTGTGAGTGATTTGCGAAGATGTTTCCATGCCTGGAATGTCGAACAAGAAGATGTTCTCATCAGGTATGCATGCACTCCGGGCAGCCGCGAAAGCAGTCTCTGCCAAAGGGGCGCAAGTGACCAGAGCCCTAGCTCCTGATGACTTCAATTGATGTGCCAATTCTGCAGCCGAGCTTGCAGCGTTGACTGGAGTAACAATTCCAGATAGCCTGTGAACTCCATATATCGCCGTTACGAAATCGACCTTGGCGAGTCAGTAGTGAGCTCCTCTCATCAAGTCGTCATCTTGTCACGTACTGTATTGAGCGAGAAGATTGCCAGTACCTTATCCCAAGCAGTGCCTTGGTTCACTTCCCAGCCAAGTCTCTTAGCTAGGGACCTAGCCACATGCTCGGAACGTTGAAAGAGTTCGGTGGCCGAGTATGTGCGACCAGTGATACCACAGGTGAAAGGGTGCCTGCTCTCAGAAAGTGGACGGCGGCCATATGCTTCGTTGCTCATGAACTCTGCAATTGGAATCGAATCCGGGGGCGCTAGAAGTCCGTCAGCAGGAGAGTCACGTCAAAGATTGACCAGATGACCCTGACCAATCGGGAGTTCTGGAACCCAGGCGGGAGGGTGGAACACCATGATGTTAACAAGGGCGTTAGCCTACCTCGTCTGAAAGGGACTGGGTGAGCTTGAGACAAGTTGGGTGAATACCAACCAAGCAAAATATACGGCCACGGGAGATCATGCTTGATAGCATCGTGTGTCTTGCCGCTGCTGTAGTCAAATCAAGATAGATGCGCTAAGACGGTTGAGGATAGCCGAGCATGAAGCCGGTTGAGAGCAACCCCGCCGGCATCCCGGAAATAGGCGCCCGAGAGCTCACCTCCTGCATGGGTTAATATCTAAGTAATGCGCTGTAGGGAGAGGAGAGTAAGCCAAACCTCAAGTGATAGTCTGTTGAACAGTGATAGGTAATACACACAACAAGCCATGACCACTACGCAGTTGCCCGCAACCATGTTGGCTTGGAGGAAGCATAGAGGAAGCAGTAAACCAGTACGAGGCGGTCCAAAAACAGTAACGAAGTCCTACGCTAACAATCAACGAGGTCTTTGAAGAGGTTCCCGTGCCTAAAGTCTCGCCTACGGGTGTTCTCTGCAAGATGTTAGCATCCGGAGGTAAGACGAAACACCAGACATGAGATCCTAAGCTCTGACTGGGCCACAGTATGCAGAAGCGATCATTCACTACTTACCATCGACAAACAGGCATCTTGGTTTGAGGAGAAGTACACATTGGTGAGAAACTTGAGAAAGAAACACAAATTCATCTGGCCTTTAACTAATCACGAAATATCAGGGCCATGAAGGGTGTGGGCAGATTGTTGAACTTGGCTCAGCCGTTCATCAGGACAAGTTCCAAGTGGTAAAGTCATCTCCATCTGAGCTTCCACAAGAGGAGGCTGACTAACTTCCATGTAGGGAGATATTGTTGCTCTTCACGCTGTGCCTGGCTGTGGACACCAAGATTGCCCTGAATGCTCCCGTGACTTGAGTCAGCTTTGTGAGAAGGGTCATCACTCCGGGATAGGACAGGATGGATTCTATGCACCATACGCAGCTGTTGATATCCGAGGCGTAGTCAAGGTTCCCTCAGGTGCGTAATGTCAAGAGACAGCCAGGAAATAAAACAAATTGAGCTGTGCTAACCCATGTTCTGCCAGGCGTCACGTCAGCGCAAGCAGCGGTTGCTACGGACGCCGTCAACACCGCATACCACGCCATAAGAAGGAGGGCAGAGGTCAAGTCCCATGAGACGGTTTTCCTCTTTGGCCTTGGCGGGTTAGGTTTCAATGCCTTGCAGATCCTCCTGCACATAGGACCCAGGATCATTGTGTCGGATATCAGACAGGAGCGTCTGGACGAGGCCCAGACGCTCGGGATACCGCCTTGTGATATTGTCCCGATAGGAGCATCACCACAGAAGTTCGTCACCGAGGCTAAACTTGATGGCAAAATTGATACGGTGCTGGACTTTGTTGGCACTCATCAAACTTTTGAAGATGCTCAACACATCGGTAAGAAACAGTACGAATCATGCTGAAGCAAGAATCCTAAACTGACTTGGGGGCATGCATTAGTTCGACGGGGCGGGAAGCTGATCTGCATTGGAAGTCTCGACACAGAGAACACGATTCATATGAAGATTGGCACAAGAAAGAGGTTGTCCTACATATTTTCTTACGGAGGACAGGTGAGGGATCTTGAAGAGGTCTTGCAGTTGATTGCCAATGGGTCTATCACACCCCAAGTCGACACGTCGAAACTGGCCGAGTTTCCTCAAGTACTCGAATCTCTTGTAAGGGGCGAAGTTCGGGCGCGTGTAGCATTGACCCATGATTAGCTAGTGTTAAATGAGCTCCATGACGCATTTGGTTCGGCTTGACGAAGGTCGAAGAAGGGAGCCAGAGCAGCACAGCATGAGTAGCTCAATACGCAAGTTTCAATACACAACAAAACGACTTTGTTACTACATATTCATATTTCACAATGGTCAAAACTCATCCGTTGACACTGGCGCTTGCCGGCATGCCTATTCCGACGGCAGCGGTAGCTCCAGCATCCACCGGCAATATCGCTCCTGTGATCCATCTAGCGTGATTACTCGCGAGGAAAACAACGGCACAGGCGGCATCCCATCCTGTTCCCTCAGTACTCAGCAAGCTTCGGGCTTTCCTGGCTTCCCTAGCCTCCTCGGACATACCCTTGGCGTACATCATTGGTGTGTACAACATCTAGACGCAGTCAGCAGAGCTCGCCACAGGTTGCAATCTACTTACCCCAGGACAAACGCAATTGACTCGGATACCGTCTTTGGCGTGATGAGCTGCCATTGCCCTGGTCATGTTGACGACGGCGCCTTTGGCAGTAGGATACAACAGATGTGGTGTCCCACCCTTGAGCCCAGCTACACTGCCCATGTTGATAATGGCACCTTTAGCCTCGCCCTTGTTCTTCATCATAGCCGGGATTGCATGTTTGGCCATCAACACCATGCTCGACACGTTGACGTTGAGACCTGTCGACCAATCGTCCATGTCGACTTCGGTTGCTGTTCCTCGAGCACCCGCTATCCCGACATTGTTGACAAGAATATCCAGACGACCAAATGTGTTCAAAGCCAGAGAAACAGCCTTCTCACAGTCGCTAGAGTTGGTGACGTCTCCTTCCATCGGGACAGCCGAGACTCCTTCGTGTCCAAGGATAGCCATCTCGGCCGTTTTCGATGCCCATTCCAGGCTCATGTCCAGACATACCACATTGCAGCCCTCATCAGCTAGCATGATTGAGATTGCTCGTCCGTTGCCAATTCCATCTCCGAAGCAGCCAGCGCCTGTAACTATAGCGACTTTTCCAGCCAAAGATCGCGATGGTGGTTCTGCAGGGATATCAGGAGCCATTGTTGGGATGTTTGTTACCTGAACCAATAAACTGAGTAACTCTTTGACACAGTATCATAGTCTAATTACACTTAGATGAGCAGCAACACCGTGATTATTAGTTGGTCCAATGATGGTCACCTTCTGGTTAACCTAATCAGGTATACCGACATGATGATCGGACGTGCCTGCGGGGTAAGCAAATGAGCCGAGGCAGATCAGTAGCAATGGCCGACCTCAGTCACGTCTCTTAGGTACTGGTTGTAGAGTTGAGGGTTGGCATTTTGGACTGTCCTTGTTACTCGAAACCCTGACGATTCTCCAAGAGTTGACGCTTCAGCAAGAATGTGCGACTTTTCCGAGTACGGCGGCAAGTCTCCCGAATGGTTGGCGGTAGAAGCAACTCTTCCGCCTCCTCCCACCTTTGGAAGCCTCGAGGAGCGTAAGAGGGTGGTCAACAAAGGACGAGAAGAGATCTCAGCAAAATCCATGGAGTCTTTGTCGCATCTTGTTCACATCAACGATTACCGCATTGGCACACGAGACGGCGCTACGGTTGAAGCTCGAGGCTACCGACCAACGTCAGCAGACCCAGCCACTCGCCTTCCCATCTACATCCATTTACACGGCGGGGGATATCTGTTCGGATCGCTCTCTTCAGAAGATGCCATCTGTACTCGCATCGCCAGCGGTGCCATGGTAATCGTCATCAACGTCAACTACCGCCACACGCCTGAGGCCACCTATCCAATGGCTTGGGACGATGCGGAGGATGCATTTCACTGGGTTCACGACCATATTGAGGAGCTCTTCGGAGATGACAGCCAGGTCTTAGTTGGTGGCATCTCGGCTGGGGCTCAGCTTGCGGCAGCGTTGGCCCTTACGCAAAACCTTTCACCCAATGCTCTGTTGCGGCCCGAACTTGCCGGTCAAGTTCTAATGATTCCATGCCTCATCCATATGGACTGCTATCAATCACAGCTCGAGCAGCTGAAGGACCCTTCAGTCTCATCGTATCTGGAAAATGAACATGCGCCAATTCTTCCCACAAAGACGGCCAAATTCTTCACGGAACTGCTCAAGATCACAAACCCAAACCCCCAAGACCTTCGACTAAATCCTGGAAATGCCTCGGAACATCAGGTGGGAGGCCTACCACCGACAGTCCTTGGAATAGCAGGCCTTGATCCGCTACGAGATGAGGGACTGTTGTATGGAAAGAGACTTGCTGAGGCAGGGTGAGCCATCCCGTTCAAGGGTTAAACCATTTGCTAACTATCACTTGGGACAGAGTTTCCACAGATGTCCACGTCTTTAAGGGCCTCCCTCACGGCTTTCGTCGATTCGGTGAGCAGTTGACCGAGTCTGAAAGATGGGACAAGGTTATGGAGGAAGGAATCCGTTGGGCCTTGTCAAAGCCTGCTCCGTCTTCGAAGATCAGGATTCAAAGTTGATGTACATATCTTGTCCCAACTTGCGTGAAAATGCCTCCAATCTTGAGCTAACCCGCATCTCAATATATCTCTGTCCTACTGGTGTCTTATTACAAAGTCTGAATACCCCCTCGCCTTGACCTCATCACATCTCTTACGGTACCCAGGCGCTGGTCCATTGTATCTCGTCATCGACCTCTTCTGCTTATGGGGCAGGTTCTTATTCACTCCAGTCATCCACGAATCGACCTCGTTTGCCAGCAGTCCCTTACCACAGTCATGGACATGCTCCGTCCACTGGTCCATGCCCTTCTCTGTGGCTTCCACGTAGGTAATGTTGGTGTCTCGGGCGTGTCGCATAAACTCGGCTACCCAGTCCACGGCGTACTCGATCGAGCTTTAAGAGTCAGTACATCAGATATAATAATCATAAAAGTTCGAAAGGTGAGCATACCGTGGAATATTGCCAAACATTTGGTGAGGTCCCATTATCATGAACATGTTGGGGAAATCCTGGACGGTAAGGCCAAGGAATGTTCTAATACCGTTGTTCCAGACATCCTTGAGCTTGGTCCCGTTCCGGCCTTCAAAGTCCACAGCGTTGAAAGACCCAGTGACGGCATCGAAGCCAGTGGCATAGATGAGGATATCCAACTCGTGAGTCGATTCGCCAGTTTCAACACCCGTTTCAGTGATCTGAGAGATAGGGTTCTCCCTTATGTCAACCAGCTTGACGTTGGGTTGGTTGTAAACCTCAAAGTAGCCGCTCTCCAGAGGCACTCTCCTAGTTCCAAACCCATGATTCTTTGGAATCAGCTTTTCTGCCACCTCCGGGTCATTGACGCGAGCTCGAATCTTGTCGGCGTGAAACTTGCTGTATAGCTCATTCGCCTTGCGGTCCGTGGCGACGTCGGATGAGATGCTCAGAACCTTGGCGAACCCTGGAAGAGAGTATAGTTTCTCCCAGTGTGCTTGCCGCTCCTCCTCTGTCATTGAGAAGACGCTTCTGGTGTCGCTCACGTGGATAAAGCATGAATATGACTCGAGACATTTACGGAATATCTCAGGGTAGCTCTTGCGGATCTCCTCCATCTCCTCGGGGCTGATCTTGGAGTTCCGAAGAGGCACGGTCCAGTTTGGCGTCCTCTGGAAGACGATCAGATGCCCAACCTTGTCTGAGATGGCCTGAATGGTTTGGATGGCAGTTGCTCCAGTGCCAATGATGCCGACGCGCTTCCCTTGGAGGCTAGAGGCATCTTCGGGCCATCGCGCTGTATGCCAGGACTCTCCCTTGAAGTTCTGGACACCTGGAATGTTGGGAAGCGTCGGCTTATTCAAGATGCCCATAGCTGTGATGAGATAGCGACTGGTGTAAGAGTTGCCCTCTTCGTCTTTCAACAGCCACGAGGAGCTCTCTTCCTGGAAGTGGGCTGACTTGATCTGCGTGTCGAATTGCATGTCGCGCTTCAAGTCAAACTTGTTGGTGAGGAACTGGATGTACCGGAGGGTTTCTGGCTGAGGAGCAAAATGCTCTGTCCAGTTCCACTCATCAAGAACCTCCTGCGAGAAGGAAAAGATGTACGAGTAGCTTTCCGAATCAAACCGAGCTCCGGGATATCGATTCCTGTGTCAGTGTAAGCAGCTGCTCCGGTACACCCAGGCCTGTCGCTATCCTTACCAGAACCAGGTACCACCTTCAGCTGGGCCAGCCTCAAGCACCCGTGCTCTCAAGCCAAGTTCACGCATGCGGTATAAACTCAAGATGCCGCTGAGTCCAGCGCCGACGATGAGGACATCATAGTCGAGACTGGAGTCATTGAACGTGGATGCTTCTCCATTGATACTTAGTGCTGAAGGCATCGTGAGGCTGTTTTAGTTGCGAAACCTTGAAAAGGCGTGGTTGTGAGAACTGAGAGGTAGAGAAGATTTCCCACAGTTGAGTTGTACTTGATGGCAAAGTGCTGTTTCAATGAAGCATCAAGATCGACTCAAAGGCTTGTTAATTAACCTGCTCTACCCGCCGATCCTCCCGGGTAACCTTGCCCTCAAGACCGTCACCCTAGGCTCCCTCTCCGCATTCGCTTATCCCGAAAGAGGATAACCGTCTCATTGCCGAGCACCCAAACCCCGCCCAGAGGCCAAACGGCTCTCATCAGGCGACCTCAGGTCGGCTCGGTTAGCTGCTTTTAGTCTTGGCAGATGAGCTAGCTGACGCACGTTAGGGGGAGGGCGAGACCAGGATATGAGTCAGAGTTGATTCTGCAAGAACAGATGTATAGAGTTGAGATAATGTAGTTAACGTCAAGGATGACTAGTAAAGTCCTTCCGATCTCCAATAATTCTCAAGATCACGTAGGAATGTCCACTTTAGACCCTTTCCCAGGCCCCTTGCCTTCCAGTCGTTCAGGCTCCTCGGGAAATGCGAAACCCCATCCCTGATTGTCGAGTCGTGAGCTATGATGACAAAGATGTCTTGATCGCAGTCAAGCTCCTGCAGCTGGCCAGTCGTCCTCCTTGCAACTTCGATATCTAGGCCAAACGTCAGGTCGAACAGGCTATCAGTCGATGCTCTTCCGCGTGACTTTTGCAGCCTGTCAAAAGCCTCACCAGGGCACAAGACAGTGTCCTCGGTTGCATGACATGGATGAGGGGTGATACGATCAGGGACAGGGAGATAGCTGGATGGTCTGAAAATGCCCGCGTAGTGACAAATGTCGCCGCCCAAGAGCACAAACGTGGGCGGATTGTCAGTTGTTCTAGCAAGGCCGCAAAGATGTCCGACAGCATGCCCAGGGCTATCGAGAAGGTAAAAAGACCCATCGCCGAAGTAGTCAAAGGCGGGAAACTGGCCAATTCTCGGTGAATCATGATCAAATGTAATCTCACGAAGGTTTCGGCCCCTGATGAGTGTTAATGTCTTTTCGGCATCTCCGAGTCGTCAAGGGTAGCTACTCGTAGTCGCTTTCTAGGATGGGTGACTCAGGGTTTGAGGGAGCACCCGGAAGCATCGCCTTCTTGAAGCCAGGTCCGACTACCAAGTCTGTAGTGGCTGGAAATGTTGAAGGGTCACCGATGTGATCCCAATGCCAATGACTGGATAGGATGAGCAAAATCGATCTTGGTCTCAAGCATCGTGATGCCCATGCTTACCTCCAGATTACGGCTTCAATATCTCCGAGAGACACGCCATTGTCTTGCAGTATGTCCGTTACGTTTCCCGCCACCTCAATATTGTAATTGGTCGTGGGAATGTACTTGGCGATTGTGGGAGAGTAGTTCTCGTAGTCTTTGCGGATGCCAAGATCAAAGACCAGCTTTCTTCCTGAGTCATGTTCAAGGAGAAAAGAGAGGGAAGGGCTCGATCGGAATGTCTCAAGACCCGGGACGGGAGGTTCCATGAATCGCTTGATGATCGCAGGCCCAAAATTGACTGGGTTTATGAGCTTGACTGCTTGTAGTGCTTTTCCATGAGGGATGGAGATGACTGGCGGGGTTTTCGACATGGCGTCAAGAACTGCGGGCGTCGGTTTGTTCAGCGGATTGAACTCAATCAAAGTCTCTAATTCTTATTGCGTACGAATGGTGGCTTGAGCAGATGTACAGGCACAGGTGAGAGGTGTTTCTATGCAGTGAATAAGCTACAAACCACCGACCAACTAACGTTAGTTCAAGATCAGATGACCTCCAGTTGGTGCGGAGTGCAGGCCCCAGAGTCCTAACCCCTCAATCAAGTATCGGTTACTCTTTCGGCAATCCTAGTTTGGTAAAGTCGCCCAGCCCGCCGCGCCGGGAGACTCGGTGTGCCCTGTAATTTGTAGCCAGCCTCCTGTACCCCAGACTACCCCAGATTGCTCCCCATGGGGTTGAGCTTTTATGTACATAAGTAACAACAACCGCTCAGGGGGTGTCCTTGTCAATCATCAGACGCTCATCGCAAACAAGCATCAGCAGCAGCAATGTCGGACAAAGAAGCTCCTGTCAAGCACCAAGAGAGCGTCGAAGATGGCTCTCTCCAGGGTACACAGACCGTTGACACCGTCCACAAAGACGAGGCCCTCCGCGTCTTGCAGGCGTATCAGGGAGACGAAAGCTGGAGCGACGAGGAAGAAAAAAAGTTGCGCAGGAAGATTGACTGGAAACTCATGCCCGTCCTGTGTGTAACTTACGGGCTTCAATACTACGACAAGGCCATGTTGGGCCAAGCGGTGAGTTGCGATTGTCATCTTTGATCATGCCAGTGACGTGACCCGTTTGCTGATATTACCATGATCCAGGCTCTCTTTGGTCTGAGGGAAGATCTTGATCTTCTGAAGGGCAGCAGATATTCCTTCTCGGCTGCCATCTTCTATCTTGGCTTCATTGTCGGCGCCTATCCAGCCATGATGCTTGCTCAGCGTTACCCCATCGAACGAGTCGCCTCAGGCATCGTCACCGTCTGGGGAATATGCTTGATCCTCACGGTCGTCTGCACTGGTTACAAGACTCTTTACGTTCAGCGGTTCTTCCTTGGGCTACTAGAAAGTGGAATCAGTCCCATGTTCATGCTCATCGTTGTAAGTACACGTGAACCCCAGTCGTCAAGTGCTGGGTTCCTAATCGGACACAGGGAAGCTTCTACAAGAAGAATGAGCAAGCCATGCGCATGGGGTAAGTTGCGACTGTGCTTTATCCATTGTGCACGCTGACACGTTGCAGCATCTGGTATTCTTGTACCGGATACGTCTCTGTTTTCTCCCCCCTCGTGAACTACGGCTTTGGTCTCATCAATGGAGGCAAATCCTCCTGGAGATACATGTACTACTTTTCCGGCGCCATCACCATCGCTTGGGGTATACTTCTCGTCCTTGTTCTCCCCCCAGACCCCGTCCGTGTGAGAGGCTTCAACGAGAGAGAGCGGTACATCCTCGTGGCCAGACTAAGGAGTAACAACTCTGGCGTCCGCAATACTCATCTCAAGGTTTCTCAGATCTGGGAGCTCCTCCTCGACAGCAAATTCTGGGTCGTATTTGCCATTGCGTTCCTTTCCATGATTGCCAACGGACCCATCTCGACCTTTGTTCCCGTCATCATCAACGGCTTCGGCTTCAGCACTGTCAACTCCCTACTCCTCGTGATGCCCGCTGGGGCTTATGCCGGCACTCTCATGCTCATCATGCCTTACCTGGCTTACCGGTTCATGAACATCAGATCATACCTGGTTTTTGTGGCACAGCTGGGCACGACCTTTGCAGCCCTTTTGCTGTGGAAGCTGCCACAGTCGGCAACAGGCGGTTTGCTCTTTGCATGCTACATCCTGCCGTCTGTCGGTGCTGGTTATGCGGTGCTCATGGGACAGCAGATCGCCAACACTGCTGGCTATACCAAGCGCTCTGTCGCCTCTTCTGGTCTCTACATTGGATATTGCCTGGGTAAGTTGCTTCTCTTTCAAGCTAAAACGGATGGGATGCTCATGTATGGTTTGCAGGCAATTTCGTTGGTCCTCTGGTCTTCAAGAAAGAGGATGCTCCCCGTTACACCGAGGGGTTTATTGTTGTAGTTGTTACCGCTCTTGCTGCTGCCGTCCTCGCCATTGTCTACCGGTTTCTATGCATGTGGTCTAACCGCAAGCGTGATGCCGCTGGGATCATGGAGGGATTCGACCATGCCTACGACGATGATCTTACTGATAAGAAGGCAAGTCATGCAGCGTTCATCCCATATAGAAGCCGGCTAACAAGTCAGAACATGCAATTCCGATACATTCTCTGAATGGTGGATTACGGCTTGGTGGATGGAATTTGGAATCATGTCTGTGGTGGTCTGGGTTATCTGGCTCAGCCGGGAAATCAGGAGATAGCTCCGTATGCTTTAATCGACCGTTATTCTTCCGTGATAGTTCAGTATCGTGTGATTGCAGCAACAAAGAAGTTGATATAAACCACGTAACCGAGGTTAATGCACAAGTCCGACCAGCACTTGCGCCAAGGATTAGCACCGCCTCCGCTTTCAATCCGCGGAGCCAGCTAGTTGCCGAGACCTAGTCTAGTTACGTACCTCGATGCGGTTATGTTTTTCCCACCCCATTGTTCCCCCGCATTCTTCTCGGCAATCTACCTTGGGTGCAACTGTCCATCCGGCAACACATCATCCATCAATCCTCCACCAAAGACCGACTCTTTCACCGTGCTCGGCAATGTCAGACAAGTGGCTCCGCTTTGCAGCTCATCAGCCGAAACGGAAGCGTGCTGAGGCCGTCTGCTTCTTCTGCCACTCTAAGAAGATCAAGTGCGACTTACAGGTGAGTTCAGTGGCCTCTTCCAGCGCGTCCGAGTGTGCTGATTTGCTGCTTTAGGGTCGAAGGACCCAGGGTGAAGCAAGATGCACCAACTGTGAGGTTCAGGACCAGGACTGCCATCTCAGGCCCTCGAGGAGAGGGAAGACGCGCCAGAGGGTGACTGCTCAGAACCAAGATGAAAGTGAGGCTCAGTTCGACCATTTGGCGACTATTGGTGAGCCCGATTTGTTCATGATGGTTACCTTGCGCTCTTGCTGACAGTCAACATCAAGACGATGGCCAAGTTGATGCACCACTACCCACGGTCGCAGCCCCTAGCAATGATCTAAGCAATGGAGCCATGGTCCCAACTCCGTCCTCTATCAGAGCCACTCAGCCAGAGATATCGTACACAGCGGTATCAGCAGAGGACCCGCCCGGACCAAGCTCGTACCAAGGAACACAGCCAAGCGCGTCACCCACTGAGGGTGGCGGGCGAAGCCATGGTGGCGATGTCGACACCGGATTTCTACAAGTCTACGGGCCTGAGAACCAGCTCGACGCGGAGCAACAAGAGCTTCTGGCCAGTCTAGACATGGAGAACCCATCGTCCGATCCTCGGCAGCAAGAACTCCAACAGAGCTTTTCAGAGACCTACTTCAGGTACTGCTATGCATGGTGCCCCGTGCTTGACCGCGACACCTTGGAAGCGGATCTAGAGAGGTCACCAATGCTAGCTAATGCACTTGCACTCGCCGCAAGTCATGTTCAGCCACCTTTGGTCAAGCATGAGGGACCAGCTGAGTATTATCGGAAAGCTCGCATGATATTCTACAACGACGAGGAGGCAGATATTATCACTGCGTTGAAGGCCATCTCACTATTTTACTGGTGGGCTCCCCGTCCGCCCTCGATAGCACATCGTCATTCCTCTTGGTGGTGGACGTCAGTCATCATCAGACACGCTCAGCAGATGAACATACATCGTGAGCCTACAGAGGAAGTAGCACAGGCCGCAGGAATAGACCTAGGCCTTCGGCGGCGGCTGTGGTGGACAGTATTCGTAAGTACCTCCCAAAGCTGGGCGTGCTGCACACTCTAACTCATCACCTCACAGGCACGAGAACGTCTCACCTCGCTCTGCCAAAGCAAGCCCTGCATCATCTGCCCAGAAGATATGAACATCAGAGAGCCACAGTCGGAAGACTTCCCGAGTGATGCTACATCTCAAAAGAAGGGACGCATCTTCCTTTATTGGGTTCGACTATGTGCCATCATCGGCAAGGTCTCCAAGGTCTTGTCTCAGTCCTCCAGCGCTCCTTTCCCTGCGGACCTTAGACAAGAGCTCGTCAACTGGGTGCAGACTCTACCGCCAGATCTCCAGCTCTCTATTGGCTCCAGCCGAACAGTATCCTTCAATCGAGATGTCCATCAGCTCCATCTACCATACCTCACTACTGTTATCATCATCCACCTACAAAGGACGGCGCCAGACTTGCCCCAAGCTCTCCCGCCTGCCATACTAGCCGCGTCGTGTATTGCAAGGATCCTCAGGGACATTTTATCACGTGGTAATGCCCGATTTCTGATGGCCATCACCTGTTGGTACTGTGGTACTGCCTTCATTGCGCTGCTTCAAGCCAGTCGTATCAAGCAGTTCGCGCAAGAGGCAGAGGAGGGTCTAGACATCTTGGAACAAGCGGTTGGCCAGCTACAAAAGATGTGGGCTTCTGCAAACGTCATCCGGCAAGGCTTTGAACGATTACGCAGTCTACCAAGAACAACGATACAGTCTGGTAGACCAAAGCCTGCGGCAGCTCACGGGGATGACCTGTCTGATGAATTCAACTGGATTCTGCTTTTCCCTTTCGTAACCAGGTCAACGAGTAGGATTGCTGATCACTTGATTGCTGATAAAGAGCTTGGTACTACAGCAACGGCACTTCCATCACCTGAGAATGGTGTTTTTCATCATGATCTTCTAGAAGGATATCAGGATCTCCTGGAACCATTTGTCGACTACACATTTGACTTTTCTACCCTGGGATTTGAGACTTTGTAAAGCTTTCGATAATAATAATGGAATGAAAATATACTTGTGGGGTGTTGCAGCCTTCCGCTGCTGAATGTTGTTGGGTCTAACAGGTACGGTTTTGTAGCCTCCTCCAGATCATTTGTGTTGTTACTAGATAATTCACTAACCTTGTCTACCGTCGAAGAGAGAATGGTGTTGAGCCGTCACTTGTGTCTCAGCATTCAAACCAATCACTTCAAGTCGCATATATGCCATGTTCCTTCGAAGCACAGCCCTCGTTTTCATTCATCAATTCTCAAAAACAAATCTTTGTATCGTAACCTAATTCTAGTTATCTCGCTCCTCATCCAATTTGCTTCTCTGCGTCTAACTTCCAAGTCTAGATTGCAAGAGTTTCCGCCTTCTCTACGTACCACGACAGGTCGCTCTCCGGGTCCATCTCAAAAGCCGTGAAGCCATTTCCCATGAACCGAAAAGAGTTTCCTGTGTTATAAGTAATGTCAAAGTCTTCTGCTCGAATGTCCTGGAGTAAGCGGTTAAACAAATGAGCACTACCGCCAAACAAGGACGTGACTCGGCCGTCGACTGTGCCTCTCTTGTACCAGCTGCGACATCCTCCGCTCCAGACAAGCGTCTTGTGAATCTCATCACAGTACTTGATGAAGTCATTCACCTTGTCTTGCTTGGGGACAACGTGCTTGATATCTTCAGTGGCAATCTTCTTGATCCACTTGACAAAGTAATCGCCCGTCCAGTTCAGTGACTCAACGAGGGAGCCATGTCCGCCGAGACAGTTTGGCCCCATCATCATGAAGTAGTTGGGCATCTCGGGGACTGCCACCGACATGTACGACTCTGGATCTTCCTTCCACTTCTCCCTGAGATCGGCGCCCTTGAGGCCAATGATGGGATGGCGAGGCCTGAAGGAAACGTCGAAGCCGGTTGCACACACGACTGGGATAATAGTCAGCTTGCTAGTCTCATGTCAAACAGGCTACAACTTTACTTACTGACGTCGCATTCATACTCCTCGCCATCTGCCGTGCACACACTGTTCTCCGTCACCTTTGTGATAGGGCTATCTGTCAAGTGGCAGCTTGGCTTCAGGAATGACTCCAGGTAGCCTGGCCCTGGCGTAATACGCCTGCATCCCAGCTCCCACTTTGGAATCAGCTTGCTACATAGCACAGGGTCGTGGTTGAGCTTTTCGGCCATCTGTGCAGCGGCCATCTTCATGCCTGCGTCATTATTCTCTCCCTTTCGGAAGATGTAAAAAGACTTGTTTGTCCGGGAGACAATGCCCTTCCGATGCTCAAGATGAAGCTCAGGGTCCTGGAACCGAGCCTTTTCTTCTTCCGAGTATCGTGGGTTTGGGTCGTCATCTTCTCGGCCGAGGTGCTTTGAAGGCGGTGCTCGATAATAAACCCAAGCCGGACCACGAACAAAGTTGACAACATCTGTTCCGGGGAGCTTGGCCATTTGAGGAACAATCTGGATTCCGGAAGAGCCGTTGCCGATAACTGCTATCCTCTTGTTTGAGTAGTCATAGTTGTGATTCCAGTCGGCCGAGTGCGTTATGTGGCCTTTGAAATCCCGCAGTCCAGGAACCTTGGGCCATGATTCATGGCTGCCAATGAGATTAGGCCTTGTCTATAACGAATAAGAGGGGGCTTTAGACTTACACGAGGACTCCTTTGGCGGAAATAAGAACATGACAGTACTCATCCCTCTGAGAGCCCGCATGTTCGACAGTCACCTTCCACTGCGCCAAATCATCCTGCCATTGGGCACCGATGACGCGCGTGTTGAGCTGCAAATCTCGGTCGAGATTCCACTTCTTAACTGTAGCTTTGATATAGGCCAGGATATCACCTCCGCTGGCGTAGAATCTCTCCCAGCTGGGATTGGGATCGAAAGGAAACGCCTAGTCACTGCTATCAGAACGGACCTTGTGTAGGGATCTCCACGGGGAAACATACGTAGATGTGAGCGGGGACGTCACATTGCACGCCAGGGTAGTGGTTTGCCAACCAAGTACCACCCACATCGCTCCGAGCCTCAAAGATGGTGTGGTCGACGATATCTTGCATCTCGGGAAAGCGGTGCTGGAACTTGTGCGCCATGAGCAGACCAGAGAAGCCAGCGCCGATAGTGATGACCTTGATCTTGCGCGGCGTGTAGGCAAACTTGGGGCTGAGCTTGAAGGGGTCTGCCGTGTGGCCATTGGTCGAGGCTGCCGCGTTGGCACTGTGCCTAAACTTGTCTCTAATTCCAGCCACCTCAGGAGGCTCCGTTGACGGGGTCTGCAAGACATCTGCGGCCTTAGCCACCAGATGCGCTGTCTCTATTGGTGTTTCAGTAAGGGCGGGCATCGTGGCTAGCATATGAAGTTAGGTGAGGAGCTTCTTGGCGAGTTTTCTTCAAGGTTCAAGGCGTTGATGTCCAGGAGTATCTGGATGTAACGTGTCCTTCACCTGACGTCTTGTACAATTGTATATCAAAGATGAGAATGAATTAACCCGTCAGAGGAAAAGGCAGTACGCGTTCAGGGTAGCCGGCAATGGCTTCGGGTTTCAACATTCAAGGTGTCTCTGATTGGCTCGGCATCCCCACATTCTCCATGATCGGCCGGTTATCCCAAATAGGAATTACCGGTCGTTGTGATGGAACCGAACACCAAAGCCGAGCACCGGCTTGTCAGCTCAACCCTGGCTTCAAAGGCGGGGGGGACCAAAGAAGGTGCCGTCCTTGATCAAGAAAAAGCGTGCCATTCTCGTCCCATCTTCTTCTACGCGTGTAATTAGAAGTGACACCAGGTGTTCGACAGTTGACACACTCACACGTCAAACAAGATGAGTATCGATCGCTATAGCTACAATGGCCCCATAGACCATACAGCTCCTCTGCGGCTGGACGCCATCCGAGGCAAATCAGTCATCATTACAGGGGGTGCAAATGGCATGGGTGAGACCTGTGTACGGGAATTCGTCGCTGCTGGCGCCCACGTCACCTTTGCCGACGTCAACGAACAACGAGGTCGATCTATCGAAGCAGAACTTAACGTTGATGGCAGAAAGTGCCTGTTTGTCAAATGTGATGTCCGAGACTGGGATCAGCAAAAGACTGTCTTTGAAGAGGCAAAGCGCAACAGTCCAAGTCGCAGTGTTGACGTTGTTGTTGCCAACGCTGGCATCAGCAGAAGCTCTGGAGATAGTCTCTGGAACTTGGACGGTGAGTCAGAGGGCCTTTAACCATAGGGGATCGACTCTGACTATCCTTCGATACCTGCAGACCCAAATGGCGAGCCAACCAAACCCAACCTCAACATTGTCCGAGTCAACATTGATGGCACCTTTTATACTTGGAGACTTGCCGTACACTACTTCCGCAAGCAACCAGTTCAAGATGACCGAGATCGTTGTTTCATCATCACCGGGAGCATGGTTGCGTACATTGACTCGCCGGTATGTTCTTCTGCTGCTCATGACGATTCATACTCTGACTATAATCTACCTTTGTAGGCCAACTGGGAGTACACATCAACAAAGTATGCCCTGCGCGGGTTCATGAAAACGGTTAGACGCTCCAGCCATGAGCAGAACATACGTATCAACTACGTTGCCCCTTGCTGGATCAAGAGCGCCATCCGCACGGCAGAGTACGAGAAATGGCTACTTGACAACGGCATCGAGTTTGGCGAACAGGAAGACGTAGCAAGCTGCATGCTACGAATTGCCACCGACAAGAGCATTAACGGTAAGTCTGCCTATCCTATTGAAGGCGGCAACTAATTGGCTAGGTCGTTCTCTCATGATCACCCCACGATCTATTGCTAAACAAGGGTTTATGGATGTCGATCGGGAGGACTACAAAGATATTCCTAAGGATGAGTATTTCAAGAAGGTACAGGCTAGCCAGCTATTTATTATTAAGGATAAGTGGCTAGATGACTACAAGGTACCGATATATAAGACAGAGTAGGCGTATGATTGTAGGATGAGCTCTTTACCGAAGCTCTCAGATAACTGAAGTTTGAATCTGTTATTCTGGCTGCTTAAAGGCCGGGCTTCAATTGTAACAAAGAGCACGTTAGGGTGTGACGATCTATTTCGAGATCAAATACCATGTATCGTATTTTCATGGCCTGTATCATGTATGAATAGCCGTAACACAATAGCCTGTCTAACAGTCGGTTCCTATTTACATATGAAGTATGTACGGAAGAGAAATCCCATCAAGGGATGAAGGGAAAGTTTTGCTGAGATGCAAGACTTGCCTGGCTCGACACATTACTCAAATAGTGCCAAATCCAGCGCTAGTCGAGAGACCAGTGACGGTCGAGTAAGCAGCAGCAGAAGCGACGTTCTTGCCCTTGAAGTTGGCCAAGAAGTCAGTGTCGCTGCCAGAAAGGGTGCCAGAGCTTCCGAAGCCGTTGACCTGGCAGGTGTGGCCAAGGTAAGAAGAGCAGACGGCGTTAGCAGAAGTGCTAGGGCTGGAGAAGAGCTTGCCGGCGAAGCTGGAGGTCTCGATAGGAGCAACGACATTCTGGAAGACATTGCCCTCGGCGACGACCTGGCCACCGGAACCAATCTCGAAAGCGTGGCCGGCGTTGTCGTACCAGTAGTTGTTGACGACGTGGAGGAGGGTGTTTCCACCGACCTTGGGGGCACGGCCGGAGGTCTTGTAGATGTAGTTGTTCTTGAAGGTGACGGTCTAGTCGAGAGTTAGCATCAGGTAAGCAAGAGATAAAGGGATATACATACATCAGCAGAGCCAGTGAAGTAAAGGCCCCAGTAGTGGTAACCGTTGCAAGTAGCAGACCAAGAGGTAGCACCGTCGATCTTGTTGTTGGAGATGGTCACTCGGTTGCTGGGACCGTTGCCGAGAACAATATGCTGACGGCCAATCAGGGAGGTAGTGACGTGGTCGATCCAGACGAGGTCGGTGTTATCCAGGGCAATAGCATCGCCACCCCAGACGTACTGAGGGTTAAGGGTAGTGATGTGAATGTTCTGAATGATGACATTCTTGGCTCCCTTGGCAATGTAAAGGCCCTTGCCCTTGATAACACCCTTGCTGCCGACACCAACAAGACTCTTGTTGGATCCAACGACAATAGGGTTCAAGGCAGCCTTGTCATACTTGACGCTGACCTTGGGGGCGTTAGGCTGGTAGTTGTTGCACCAGCTGTCCTTGTTGATAGCGACCTGGCAGGCGGCAGCAGTACCGTAAGGAGCGCAACCAGTCTCGGTGGAGGTGCCCTCAGTGCCAGTGAAGTCAAAGGTTCGGTCCAAGATGATGACTCGGGCAGACGAGTCGGTAAGGTAGGAGACCAGCTGTGCAGTTGTCGTGGGGTAGACGGGACTGGCTGAGCCACCTCCAGTAACGCCCTTAGCAAAGCCCTCGGCGGCACCAGTGACGCCAACGGCCGAAGCAGTTCGAACAAAAGCCGCAAGTGCGGAAGTGAAAACGATTTCGAATCTCATTGTGCAACGTAATAAAGAAGGTAAGTTGTTTGGAAACGACAGACTGATAGTGATCCTCTTGGCAGCTTTACGGCGGCTCGTTTGTTGGCTTTTGTATCAACAGTGCTGCATGGATCACGGAACACGGCATTGGGGCCCACAGCATGATCGGACGATTGGTACCAAGATAGCTTGGCGTGTAGATAGTTTCAGGGTCGCGCTCCAGACCCTGAACCACTAGCTTCGGGGTAGCATTTTGAGAAAGGCTAGATCATAAGGTGCCAGCTCGGTATTCCCGTTCTCGAAGATTTCCATCCGTGGGAGTAATACCGAGGTTGACGTGATAAATTAATAAGGACTGGGCTAGATGACGACGCAAGACATGGGTGCTCGAGCGTAAGTCTTCTCTGATTGATGCATAATTAATCGGACAATTTTTAGTACCCACGCAGGGATGATTTGAAACCATTGAAGTCAATATTGCTGGATGCCTGACCCTCGTCGTCGCCACAGAGTCTTCCTTTGTTGGTGGTCAGATAATTGAGGGTGTTTCCGACGCCCCTTGATTTCTAACCGGTATACAGTTTTGCCTTGATTAATTAACTAAACATGGAAATTGTGACAATCAAATAGTTATATCCACAGCCTAGGGGGGCTCAGAAACACCCTCAATTATTTACCTCTCCCCTTGAGATCTTGCCTTTTGAACGAATAAGTCGCTAAGATATGCATGTAGCGCTGTCAATGTCGTCCGCGGGTATCGTCCCTTCGAACGGCGCCTATGTAGGGGAAGTGTGGAAAACATACATCCTTTTCCTAATGATTCTCGCCCTTATCAACAGTGTCTAGCTATAGGGTAACGAGATGCTGGGTCTGTGGAACAATCTCGCCTGAAGGTGACATAATCTCATGTATAAGGCTCCGTTCTGAGTGGTCCCTCTTAGTTTATTGATCCATCCTCAGCATGGCCATCATTGACACTCTTCTTTTTAACAGCGGATGAAAGCAGTGCTCGCTTTGTCTTCACTGAGTTTCCAGATGTCTCCACAGCTGGGGCCAATCGCTTACCGGACACACAGATAAAATATCGACCGTAAGTGACATATTTCTTACTATCCTCACTAATTATGGACGCATAATAAAAATTAAAAGATGTATTGGCCATTTAATAAATGAAGAAATGAACCAAACTTAATTATTAAGTCTACTATTTTATAACCTCTATATAAATCAAGTCTACTGTGATCCTCGCCTTTTCTGACTTAGGTTAGCTAAGGCTCCCCCAATGTCGTGTCCCTGGTGTCCGGCCGCCTTGGAGCTCTATCGAACTGGTCCGTCTCAACAGTCGATAGTGAGTTATTTCTCTCTTCCATCTGCTGTAAAGTCTTTGAATTTAAACCCGTTCTGCTATGGAACCCGTAGTTATTGGATCCTAATTGTATCTCCTCAATCTCATCTGGTTTGGGGAATAGTAAATTGCGCCAGTGAGCTAGAGATGATTCGTTGATGCCGTAAATGACAGCATCGATGAAACCCTGAAGGACGATGCATGACTATGTGGCGAATGTTATTAATCACAAGGACTTTGGATCATGTCAAGAGCCTTAGTGTCTCACCTTATCGACTGTCTGTAAAGGAAAGGGAGCACGAACACCACGTGTCGCCTGGTAAATTCGAATAGCTGTTGGCAATGACCAGATAAGCATATAGGCCAGAGGATATAGGAGCATACGCCGTGCAAGCTGGTATCAAATTAACAACGTCTTGAAAATGGGTCATAACCGTCACGTACATTTTTCATCTTGGTGCTCCTATCTTCGGCCTCGGCAGGATTTGACGACGACGGCTGTGGATTCGCTGAAGGGCCAGGGTGTTCTTGAGGCTGTTGAAGCCTTTCTGCGTTGCATTGCCTCGATACACCCTCTGATGAACAGTATCTCAACGACAGCATGCGCCTGTGTGCCCGACGAAGGATGTAATAAAGGTTGCCATACATGAACAGTATTGCGAAGATGATGGTCCAGCGCGGAATAAAGTTGACTAGCAGGCGAATCTGGTCGGATGTGAACCAGCACCCTACCTAATGATCAGTAAGCGTCGATGGAAGTATCGGAGTGATGTCGTACAGGCACCGATGTTGCCATAGCCTGCAGTTCCTAGCCCGATGCTCGCCCAGGTGATATAAAAGATCCATGGCAGAGCTGCGAGTATCAGGCGGTGATCCTGTACCCAGGACGAGGGTCTCTTGAAGCCTGCGAGAACGAAGTAGGTGCAGAGGGATATCAAAAATACCCAGTAATCGGTCTGGATGACGAACACCTGGGTCATGAATCCACTGAAGGAGCACAGGGCGGCCTGCTCTGGCGCAGCGAGATCTCTCCCACTAATATTTGAAGTAGTGGACAAGACAAAGTTGGCAGCCATCAGAAAGTCGCTGAGCGCCAATCCACTACCTATTGTTACGATACCATCTTATAGAGGTGGGCAGTCAACTCACAGGATAAGCTGGTGACGGAATGATCTCAGACTTTTGAAGCACTGAGGACCAGGTCAGCATGACGTGTGTAAGTAGTTAAGCATGACAGGCCATCATACAAAGAAACTGAGTATCATCCACCCTGCGCCAAGCAAAGACAGCAACGACACGACAAGTATCACAACACTCTGAGTCCATGCTTGGCTCCTCAGCGTCGGCACAGTCAGCGCTGTACGCCGATCAACATTGACGAATACTGGTATGATCATGTTTGACGAGAACACGGCCTCTAACACAACAGGACATTACGTAGATATTTGAACTCTAGCAAAACGCCACATCTTGACAGCCCATGCCTCGTCATCGGTCGAGCCTCGACGCCCCGTGGCTACTGGACTGAACCAGTCGCGAAGCGGCTTAAGGGAGCGCGCCTGAGTTGTCGATTTATGAGGTAGGCCCAAAACGCTTGTGGCTTAGGAAGGGGGCACTTGTTTTCATCCGGCGTTACGCCCGCTTCTTATCTCATGGGCCCTGAGCTAGGAGAATGTTAATCTTGAAACTAGCCTCAACCAGCAAAGTCGGCCGAAAGGGAGACGCCCATTCCGGGACTTGGTACCCCCACCTTCAAACTCTGACTTGGCGGGAAAGGCCTAGTGGGGGGACAGAAAACACCGAACCTGGACTAACCATGTGAGTTCGTTGTTTATTGTCCCCCGCTAGAAAGCCTAGAAAGAAAGGCAAAATGCCGAGATTCATGATAACGTGATCCTTTGCTGCCGAAGGACCGGGTCGGAATGGCGCGGCGTCGCTCCCACGACACGGAGACAACTTTGCAATATGGCCAACTAAAAGATCAGAGTCCAGGCCCTATCCTGTAACAGTCGATGCCACGGGACTGGAAGGAGAAAGACACTGATAAGGTTACTAGAACCGCAGTAATCCAGATGGCTGTTCGCCAACGCCATCACAGCACGCACATGCGCCACTCCTCATCTCCTCGCCGTTGAGCCGTACCCAACGTGCGCAGCTCTCCTTTACTGCACACTCTCGTGTCTCTTCGAAACGTAGCGGTCATAGAATAGTAGATTTACTTATGTGCTCTATTTTGAGCCATTCTTATACAATACTAAACTCCCGAAATGACATGACAGTCAGTGCTTGTATAATCGGCCCATCTACAAACCCGCGAACGTAGCTAAGTCGTCAGAACAAATCCGATAAATTCAAGTACCAGACTTATCATTCGCCAATGTAGCGCCAGGTATCTCCATTGACCCCGAGAGCATACGCAACACCTCCACCGAGAAGAATACAAATAGCGTCGTCAGGCTCGAGTTCAATCGGTCCTAGGCCAATGTAGCCAGTATCAGTGACAAAAGATCGTCTGTTAATTTGCTCAATACGACGCAGCTTGCAATATTCAATCTGAATTCAAGCGGCCCAAGTGCTTAAAGGATTTTGAAGCCTTTCAGATGTGTCGAGCCGAATTAACTAAAGATATTGGATAATCCTCACCAGTTCTATAGTAACTAGAGTCAGGCAAGAGAGAACGCCATCTGCCCAAAACGGAACGTACTGAGTCTGGCCACTTGCTGCTGTCTTGGCCCTTCCAATCTGGCGCTTTCTCGCCGACTTTCTGAACTGGATCAACAACCAGTCCCTTCAACACCAGAGTCGAATCATCGTTCTCTGTACTGATGGAAGGCGGAAAGTCGTCAAAACGAGACGCGTCATAAGGTCGTAGTGAAAATATACAAGTATAAATAGTAATATTAAAAAACCGAAAGCATATGGCTGTATATATACTGTATATAAGATCATTTAACATTGATTAAACTACCAACTGGTATTCAAGAAGTATAGAGCCAACTATGATTCTACTGCGTCATGTCCCCTGTATGCGTCCCCCTTTGGTACTACATTTAACCACACACAATTATGCCTTTAGTACAGTAGAATACCGTCTGCTAGCTTTCGGTTTCAGCCGTCTCAGTGATTCTGGACCTCGATCGCATTGTCTAGCGGCTGCTGTTCGTAAACGGTGTCTACTCCAAACCATTAGACGTCGTTAACCTTGAATTCCATGGTTCTTTGTTCGCTTACCAGTCTGTTGAAGATTGCATTCCTCACTCCTTGGCACGGTGTCGTGTGCACTATTCTGCCCTTCCCAAGTGTAGCTAGGTGGACAGTTGTCATATCCATAAGTGCAGGGAGCTTCTGCGGATTGCGAATATTCTTGGTTGGACATGTCAGGGGATAAGGAGTAATTACCTGCGGACTGAGAATGATCGTGGTTAGATGTGTCAGGAGGTAAGACGTCGCTGCTAGATTGAGTGACTGCCTGTGGTTGCGTAGCATTGACCATTCCGGGATATGCATCATGATTTTGGTTGTGGCTGCGATGCTTGCCTCTTTGGCCAGCAGATTGGCGAATTGGAAGTGCCGGACGTGGACGATGATTAGCACAATAGGAGTGCGTGACACTGGCGTCGAAAACGCTGTGTCGGGCATCGTAACATGCCTCCGTGAGGCATACATCTGATGATCCATTAGCTACAGATAGATCTACTTCAGGGCGTTGGTGGTGCTCCGAAATACTTACGTGATTTGCAGTAGTCTGACTCAATACCGCACACCGCGTCAAGACAGTCCTGGGCGCGGCAACGGTGCTCATCACAAGCTTTGACAGGTCTCCAGCAGACCGCTTCGCATCCTTGAAGCTTGCAGACACGGTGGTTCGCACAATATACGCCAGTCTTGGACTCTTTGGGCTTAACGCAAGCATTGGCTTGACAAGTATGCAGACGGCAATAGACAGGGGCGTCTTCTGACAGGGCATAGGGACACTCTGCCAGGTAGCATGTGGCCACATGCAGTTGGCAGAACCGTTCCGTCACTGAGCAGCTACCCTGGCAGTCTTTCTTGCTGCATCGCTGATGACTTGCACAGTAAGCCCGGCCCTTATCACTCTGCGGGCCTTCGGTGCAGTTATCAGCCTGGTAAATGTGCTTGCGGCAATACTCACAGTCCGCAGTGACAACCCATCTGCTCGACCACTCATCCGGCCAGAATGTGTGATATCTGCTAATGTAATCCTCCCAGTAGCCATATTCATGTCTCTCGCTCCGGCACTCTGGCCTGATGCAAGAGTTGGCGTGAGCACTGCAGAATCGATCCGTGTTGGGGTTCTTGAGGTTGAGGCTATTGATTGTGCAAAGTTAGCTTCACTCTGTCCAAGATCAAGAATGAGGCAAGGACCTACCATTTCGTCTTTCCACAGATTGCGTGCGAACTACAATATGAACGGGCGTTTTCCCGAGAGTACATGCACCCTGGGGCATAGCAGCAGTGGTCCTTGAAGTAGGGAGGGCCCTCGCCCCCGCCCTGGGTCCAAGACGAAGCCCTCGAGCAGCCATCCATCTCGCAACGGTGGGTGGTACAGTACTTGAGACCATTGTCGTTTGGCTCCTTACATCCTGCTGTGCGGCAGTAGTGGTCTCGACAAAAGGGGGACGTGTACCCAGCGTTCTGAGCCACCATGGAAATATTGATGCACCCATGCCGGCTACAGCCATGGACATGACAATAAGAGATGCCTTTCGGGCAATCCGCTCCGAGCTCGGCACAGCCGGAAACGTGACAACGATGGTTGGGACAGAGGCCAGTGGCCTCACGTCCGGAAGGCCGCAGCTCCGAACAGCCCTCGGCTTTGCATGTGTGGTCTTCGCAGTAGGACGATCCATCTACCATATCATATATAATCTTGTAGCAATCCAACTTCTTGCATGTCCAGTAGTGCTCTTCGCAGAAGGGATAGGATTCGTCGTCGGGGTAGTAGCGTGGCGTTTGGCAGTCGGTCTTAAGGCAGCGAGTGTGGTTGACGCAGAATCCCCCATGTCGAGTCCTCATCTGTTGGCATGAGGTTTCTCGGCACCGATGGCGGTCGCAGTACCATTCTGTCGTTTTCCGGGTACAACGCGACTTGTAGCATCTTCTCGAGCCGGGCATGATGAATAGAATGGACCCAGGATGGATGTGGTTCGTAAAAGCCCACGACACCAGGTCAGTGACAAGAGAAACATCTCTTTTTAAGCATCAGGCTGGACTAAGGTACTTACCCCGCTCCGGACCATCGGCTATCAATATCAATGATCAAAAGGTTTCCCACAGCCTGATAGCTTATACGTGCAGGCTATGTGTCACGGGATCCGATGTAGAGTGGTTAGCCATCAGCCACAATAGCAAATCGCGCAGTCAGCAATACGTGACAGCATTGAACCTCAATGCTGTACAATTAAAGGTCTCAGAATAGAGAATTCAATCAATCTCAGGGGAACCGACGCTGGTTGAGTTTATACGTCGGGCCAGGTCCCGGCCACTGACATGCCACAATGCTAAGCCTTAAGCACGTAAGGACAGGAAGACTGGTTAACCCTACTCAGAATGAGATAACACTCACGTCACTTTATAGCTTGCTGCTTTTTTTAATCCTATTTGTGGTAACCATGAGCCGTCTTGTGGTCAAATCTCTAGCCAGATACTCGATCATGGCGCATCAATGGAAATGCTTGTGCAACGGCTCCAAAGTTTATCTGTACCTCAGCTCTTCTCTCCCCTGAGTTGCTTGAGAATAAGAACTAAGATATCTAGGGAAATATCAAGATTCCTCCCCCACCGTCTTAGAGCAAACCTCGGGGCTTTGACTGATAGGGTTCAGGTTTGGTGCAATCGTAGCATCTCCTGTCGTATCCCTCAATACTTGAACTGACCTGGCGCAAACCCTTGATTTAGCCACCTAGATTGTTGAAGAGACAGTAACATGGCGTTGAGAGAATACTGAAGCACCTAGTTGAGTGAAGGATTTGATAAACGAAAAAGAAGATTGGTACTGGCATTTACTTTCAATACATAAACACCGAATATACTCCAAGACGAAACTCAAGCATGTCAAAGTTTATTTCTCTTTCTACAGCATTGTACGCAGGGGGGGGTAAATGGGATCGCACCCCTAGGGTTTTCGGACCTCCGGCTCATGTTTTCTACCTTTCAGCCTATCGTTTCACCTCGGCGTCTGACTCAGTATAACTACAGGTTGGCCCTGCATGACTGAGGGCCTAGGTTAATTCTATCTAGTTGCGGTCCATAGTTTGTTGCCGTGGTCTGCGCTACCACCAGATTGTTGTAAATTGACCCTATTGCAAACCGCCGCGATTAATTAAGCAATAGCCCGTACGGGGTGATGCTTCAATGTATGCAATCATAGCAACGAGCGAGAATAACTATTTAACCCCCAGTTATGTAACGTACTCAATACCACCCTGTCAGGCATTGCCACATCATGCAACCCGACCAACAGCCCATTGCAAAGACGATATGCATCTATGATATGTCCTCGACAGGGATCCTACTGTGGAGACCCCCTCATCAAAGAGACATTAAGGCGGTATTTTCTTTCTCTCCCTCCCCTCAGTTCTACTCCTCGGGCCGTAACATTTCAAGAAATCTTTCTTCTTCATCTCCTATTATATGCTACGAGAAGCAGCCTGAGGCATCATGTCCTCTCCAAAGTCACGACAGTCCAACTCGCCGACCTCACGGTCCCCGCCAAGCCATCAGTCGCCTGCCGCGTTGGCTGAGGTGACCGAGGCACAGGCAGCGGGTGGCCATATTGAAGTTGTAGGGTCCCCACGATCGTTTTAGGGCTTACCCTTGCTCACCACGGTGTTACCGGGTAATAGGATGAAGACTCCGACTCTTCTTACTCTCTGTCGTAAGCTGAACCTTGAAAATCAAGATACGCGAGGAATTATGACTGAACAGTCAAAGGACTAGAGTCACTGATACCGAGTCTCTGAGGTCTTCCATTCTTGAATACAAGTGGGAGAATGGGCGACGGTATCACTCTTATCAGGACGGGTCTTACTGGTGAGCACTCTTGAGACTATGGTTGGTTCTTCTTTGTGTTACGACGATTACTGACATAAACACCTAGGGCTCCGAATGATGATCGGCAACAGGAAGCTGAAGACCTCATGTAAGTTAGGCTCGTCTACTGCTTCTAAGCCGCTAATGTGTTTGTTTGATTAGGCACGAGGTTTACAGAATCATCTTGAACAACGAGCTCTATGAGGCTCCCATTGGCGATAATCCGCAAGTGAGTCTTTCATCCCAAATTCACATAAACCAGTGGTCTAAGTACTAGCTTAGAGAGTCTTGGACTTGGGTTGCGGCACTGGAATTTGGGCCATGTGAGTGTTTGAGATGTCATTTTGATATTGGTTTAGCTTCTAATGACGGCAGTGAATTTGCCGACTTGCACCCATCTGCAGACGTTCTTGGTGTTGATCTTTCGCCTATCCAACCCAACTTTGTGCCACCAAATTGCAGGTTTGAGGTCGATGATATCAATCAAGAGTGGACTCACCCGGATAACCACTTTGATTTTGTCCATATCCGCGCCATGATGGGCTGCATCCCCGACTGGACCGAACTATACGAAAAGGCCTTCAAGTTTGTCAGCCCCCGCAATGATTCTAATGAAGAGCTTTAACCCTTGATAGACATACTCAGCCTGGCGGCTGGATAGAGAGTGTTGAGCTTTGGGGTGCCGCCAAATGCGATGATGATACCTTGAAGCCCGATTCGCCTCTATACACGTGGATAGACGTATTTAAAAGGATAGGAAGTCTAACTGGCAAGCCTTTCTTCTGGGATGACAAGATGGCCGACTCTATCAGAAAAGCTGGCTTCATTAATCTCACGGGCAGGGTGATCAAGGTTCCTATTGGAACCTGGCCTAAAGACAAAACGCTCAAGCAGTGGGGTGCCTGGAACCGCCAGTTTCTGTTACAGGGCCTTGAGGGGTTTTCTATTCGAGGTCTTACGGAGATGCTAGAGGTAAGTTCTATTCCGGGCAGTGCAACTGGGAGATATGGAACCTGATGAGTGGTGATGTAGTGGAAGTACGAGGATGCACAGCTGTTTCTGGCAAACATGCGCAAGGAACTAACTAACCCAGCGGTCCATGCCTATCTCAATGTGTAAGCTCTCCCTGGTTAACCTCGACTTCTTCTCTATGGGACATTTTAATAACAGGAGGTGTAACCCAGAACCGTCTTCCATGGCCAAAAGCCAGAATCTGAGCAGGCGGGGACTTGATCTATCATGTTACTACCAAAATACCAAAGGGAGGCATGATGGACAATGGAATAACTTTTGGGAACAAACTTGTGGCCACTGCAGTTGGATTTATGAGTTGCGTCGTTGTCTTTGACCACTGTGGCACGAATCCGGTTCCACACAATTCAAGAACAAAGTAATCAGCAAAGCACTTTAAAGTTATTGTAATGAAAAGGAACCTGATGCCCATTAGCCTCTAATATATCTCGCGATGAGGCAGTCGCGCTGATCAGCTTCGACACGGCGCATTCTAATAGACGCTGTAGATTTGTCATCGCTCAATTCCCTTATCCCGTATTTGAGCTGTTTGCTTCCGAGGTGCGAAGTGCGAACGAGACAATAGCACCCCTTAGATATCACGAAGTCCTCGATCTCAGGGGATTGGCCAGTTGCTTGCGCTGAGGCGACGAATCAGACGGCGTTTTGATGAATGCTCTTCGGTATAGGTATATTTCAAGTATGATGAGAAAGTGGCTCATATGTATACAAAGCCTCCCTACTAGTCAAAATGCCTGTGGCTCGACTAAGTGCCACATTGTCACACAAAACGGCGCGGCTCTGGATGTGCCACACCAACACATCAACCCAGTCGCTTTAATGCATGTTCTACTTTAGATACTAAGATATCATGCCAGTTCGGATACTCTGCGATGCCTCCCATAATATATTGCCTTCTTAATCTTATTGTCTCTATATAGGTCCGCTTGGAAGCAGCACAGTATACTGCTTAAACCTTCCATTCTTTGAGGCATGCTCCTTTGCTCTCTCGACGTCCTCTACCTGCTCAAATGTTGTAAACTCACCACCTGTTGACTTTCCAATCTTGAGCTGGCCCTGATTAATTAAGTCAAGAACTCGGGTAAGAGTTGCTCGTGTACAGCACCATCTCGCAATCACCTGCCAGTTATTGTGAATGGACTCTGCGTACGGAATATCCGCTGATCCCCACGCTGCGCCACTGAGCACGACCTTTCCCCAGGCCTTCAACGTTTTCAGTCCAGCCTGAAGAAAGAGTGGCTTCTCTATCCATCCCGGCGTCCAGTCGTTGAAAACGTCGGCTCCTTTCCCATCGGGAGTTAGTCTCAAAATGGCGGCGGCGTCGGAGTCAACATCCCCTGTCATGACTGCATACTTTAATCTCTCAGGGTTTCCCAATTTCTCCTTGAGTTCTGCCAGGGTTTCTTTGGTCCGACCGATGGCAACCACGTTGGCGCCACAGACGAGGGCAAGCTCCACGGCGGCACCGCTGAAGGAGCCTGTCGCCGGACCGATGACGACGGTCTGTCCAACCTGGAGATTTGCAATCTCCAACATGGCTCCGCCCGCGACAGTATAGAGGATGATTGTCGTAAGCTCAAGCAAATTGTAACCCAAGTCTTTAATCAGCCGGTTTGTGTTCAGAAGATGGCAACTCTCGAGAGGCACCTTCTGATATTGTTGAAAAGAGCCATCTCGCCATTCACCCTGCATCAATGTTCGTCCACGTTCTCCAAGACCACCGAGATGACCTTGAACAATAACAACGGTTGAATCGTCCCGACTAATGATGGTGCTGTCTGCCCAGACCAAATCGTCCGGTTTCAACAGGGTGGCATCAGGGCCCACCTCGATGATGCGGCCAATGCAGTTTGCATTTGGCACCAGTGGTAGCATTAGGTTCGCCTGCTGAACCCCTCCTTGATGAATCTGGGTCAAATAGGGAAGGACAAGAGTCGCCAGGACCTCGACAACGACACTGCCACTGGACGCCTTTGGGACGGGGAGGTCAATGATCTTTCCCGGTTCGGAGAAAGATGAGAGCCAGTAGCCTTTATTGGAAAGCTGAGCTGCCATCTTAAACACCGTTGATGTAAGGACGAGTTATTTTTCTGCGAGAGGCTGGGTGAAGGTATTGATACAGGCTTCAGTGTTTAAATAGATACTTCGGATGCTGTGTGGGGGAAAGTAAATACCATGTCTGGGCCTCGACCAGTATGTACATCTCGGCATTGAGTGGGGTATAACCGGTGGAGTGTTTTCTGTTATATAGCAAGTATATTTCCTCCCGCTCCCTTGCGCTGTGAAGGCCTAGATGCCCCGTCTTAAGGACGTCGCTGCAGCCAGGGTTCGTCAACCTGTTTCAGTATTGCGCCACACTTAATGCCGCCCGAGGTTTGTACGTTGGCAGCCCCAGCTACCTGTCCTCATGACAAGACCCTTTAGGTTTTCAATGGCCCTGAAATGGACCCTGGAGTTGCTCCGTGCCGAGTGGGGTGGTCCGGGGATTGACAAGGGAAGGTTCAGGTGCGAGGATCTTTAACCTCAGCACGTCGACAAGCGGCGTTGGGCAAACCTGATCGACTTTCATTCACTACGTGGTTATGATACGGCTATGTCATTGACTCTTTAAGAGTCAGTCGAAACCTGTGATCAGGGTGCATTACCGGTGGGGTTTTTTTTTTTTTTTTTTTCATTGTTGTTGTGCCCCTGTACGTGATCTTCAAGTGCTGGTGTCGATTCTGTTCATAGCTTCCCAAGAGAACAAATGAGAGACCTGATTGAGAAAATCTTTTCCCAGCCCATCCCGCTTTCTGAGACATCTACCATCTCATCTCAGGCCGGCATCTGCCGTTGTTCTGAATTAGCGGAGCCCCACTTCTGTCGGCCGCCTCGGCCCACCAAGGCTCCGGGGTCCGAGCTTGGGGGTCTCGGGTCCGTGGATTCCGGACCCGGTGTCCGCAGCATCCGCGGTGTCCGGCTCTTAGGGCTAACAGCGTCACTGCAACTTTAATTCTCATTCCACCCATTATGATCAGGAGAGCGAGATCATCCCGGATATGGCTAGCTCTAATTACGAGCCATTCCTGCCACGCTCTTAAACAGACGTACGTCTCCACCAGTGTCTGCAAACTATCCATTTGTGCGTGCCAATCAAACATTAAGCACCATCAGTGCGCCAAAGGTCTTGTATTTCCTTGAGCTCCCCCTACCTTGCTCAATAATAGCCCTGGTCTCAGCATCCGAGATTCAGCTTTAGTCTGTAGGTTGCCCTTGCCAGGGGCTTCAACACTACAATATCCAGCGCCAGAGTTGCAAGCTTTTGAGCAATAGTGTCCAAGAGCGCCTTGTCCTCTTCCGGTCGTAGATGTGCCGATATCTGCAAAAGATGTCGTGTAAGATAGGTATAAGGCAGATCGACCCGCAGGAAGTTCAACAGTGTGGACACCGTACCCATGCCAGCGTGCTTCTCTAGCAGGACGTTTGATGTCTTCAACATGCGCCGACAGGCTTTCAGTACCAATGGTTTCTTTACCATTTCGATGTCGACGTCTTCTGGCTTATCGGCCTTTCGCACCAATGCAGTTGCATAACGAAGCATGCAGACCATACTAATCGGCGCAAGCAGCGCGACTTCTGATGTCATCCATGACTTTCTGAACTGCTCATGAGCGCTCAGAAGCCTTTCGTCCTGATGCGTGTTCTGTTAGCTTCGAGCGTCCGATATAGGACATAGGACTCAGGGGAAATGCCCACCATGTCCCGTTCAGAATAGATCTCCTCTATCTTCTCGCACATTTCGCCTGTCTTGGCCAACACTTCAAGTCCAATGTAGGAGCTATTTGAACAATCGATAAATTGGAAAGATTCTGCAATGATGAAGCATATTCAAGCCCTGGTCAGAAAATGTATAGCCGGCATGGTGTTTTGCCCCCCTTCGAGGCTTGTGCCAGCCCAGGGAAGGTTGACTTTGCACGAGTCAAGCCTCGAACTGATGGCAAGTGGTTGACTGGGAAGCAATCGAAAGACGAGGTCCAGCTTCACAAGCTCCCAGAAGCCCTTGCGATCCTCGTCTGAGATGGGCCGGCCTAGGGTGCTGTGCGATCCTCCGTGTTCGGTGTCTCCGCCGCCAAGATTCCATAACTGCGCATGGTCGCATGCGAGGCGATGGAGACTGAAGCACAGGGACATTTCAAAGTGTTCACAGGCCGTCTTTGCCCGTGGGTGTCGTCAATGAATCATGCCCTGGATCAAGCTGCGGACAAATATAGTTCGTAACATAGCATCAGCATGGCGGCTACCATGTCGGCTGCCGTGCTCGAGGCGTCGCGTTGCTAGCTTAGCATGGACTGAGGGCTACGACAGTAAAGCTTCAGAAGCCATTCGCTCTGCACTGGCTCTCTCACTCCATGGATACACGCTCCTAGGGAAAGAACGCAATAGTACACCTACATCATCACGGAGTCTACGTGCACATAGGGAAGCTCAAGGAGATACGGTATTCGTCGAAGAAGGAGGAAAGAAATGATATCAGGAAAAATCTTTTTGGGGGCTAAATTTAGATAGCCTGTAGGCGGTGTATGAGACATGTTATTTGCCAAGGGAAATGGCTTGGAGCTGCCATACTCACTTTCAACCCATAATTTCGCCAATTCATTAGGAATATTGCATCCATGCGTGAGGCTCATATATCGAGAATAGTCTTGAGCCACAAGCCCACTGAATCTTGTTGACTGCGGTTCGGATCGCTTGGGTCTTGTCCTTTGTTGAGAGTGTCGCCAGAGCCAAAGAGGCATTCTCAGTAGGTGATGTGGCGTGGCGTGAGGAGCTTGACGACAAGAATGCACTTGCATTGACGGGATTTTACCGGATCCGATGCAAATCCTTTATTGGACAGGGTCGAGTTAGTTGTGCACGGGAGATCTCGCTGGGCTTCCTCGCCACTTGCGGAGTGCTCAGATCTCAGCGACGCTTGTTGACTGTCAACTTGGTTTTCGCCGGGAAGAGAAGCGCACTGAGCCTCAACACGCCTGAGACGTTCCAAGAGTGTTGAGATCGAAGATGATTCTGTCTTCGCATTCCTTCTACAGTGTTCCGGCATCAGCCATCAACAGCTTCTGCAAGTAGACGTCAAGAGGTCTCCGGGATTAGGTGATAGGAAGCATGGCTCCAATGTCTTACACTTCTGAAGCCCTCGTGACATTCCGTCGCCTTCTCGCACTACAGCACAGTTAGGAACAAGTTAGTAACGAGGTCAGAATAGGTTCTAAAAACTCACCGAGAGATGGTGGAGTGGAGGAAGCTCCATAGTCTCAAGCGGACAATACACGAAAGGCCCCAGGACCTAACCAAAACAAAGTTGGGCAGGCTTGACATAAGAGCTTGGCAAGTCTGAGTTTTCGGCCCCCTTCTCTGCTAGTGCATACGCTCTGTCTATAGGTATCCATCCCTTCGGGGTCTCATGTTTTATGCCAAGGTCCGGGGATCTATACAAGCCAATTCACGCGCGCACAAAACTAACCCCCGAATGTCCGACACGGTCTCAAAACGCCAATCAAAAAATGATGAAAGGAGCCCGAGGGTACCGCCGATGCAGACTTGCTCGAGCCCCTATGTATACATAAAGCCTCAACCTCGCTTGCATTTACTTATTCGGACCACTGCTACAGTTGCGTTACTTCTTCTCAAGAGTTCTTTCTTTCAATCTACCCCGGCCTCGCTGCTTTTACACAGTCAACGCCAGTGCCAGGATGGCTTCAGACAACCCTTCCGCCGAAAGGGATGCGTCCTCAATGAAACCTCCTGACCCGGAAAGTTCTCGCCTTTCTACTTCCTCGACCACACTTGAGCAAAGGGACTTGGACGAGAGGGCCTCGGCCAACAATGACGAAATAGAGAATGCAGAAATACACCAGCTAGCCAGACGAATCACGGCCCGGTCTAGGAAGAGTGGCCACGCCCCAGAGTTCATTTTCCCTACCGCCGCGGACGGTCCCCTCGACCCCAACAGCGAATCCTTCAACGCCAGAGAGTGGGCGAGGGCTTACTACGCCTCGCGGGCTGCTGCTTCTGATGGAAACGCTGCTCGCACGACCGGAATCTCATTCAAGAACCTCGACGTGTACGGTTACGGAACCCAGACCGATTTTCAGAAGACGGTTGCCAACGTTGCCCTCGAGGGCGCCGGTCTTTTCAGGAAGTTCTTTGGTGACAAGGGCCAACGAATTGATATCTTGCATGGTCTGGAGGGAGTTGTGCACGCTAGGGAGATGCTCTGCGTGCTTGGCCCTCCGGGTTCCGGATGCTCGACCCTGCTGCGAACTATAGCAGGCGACACGCATGGATTCCACGTCGATCCCAAGGCGACACTGAACTACCAAGGCATCCGGCCCGAACAGATGGCCACGGCCTACCGGGGTGAGGCTATCTATACGGCCGAAGTCGACCACCATTTCCCGCATCTGACGGTTGGCGATACGCTCTACTTTGCGGCCCGAGCCCGATGCCCCCCCAAGGGCAAGATCCCCAACAACATCGACCGCCGAGAATATGCAGAGCACCTTCGAGACGTCATTATGGCCATGTTTGGTATTTCACATACGAAGAATACCCGTGTTGGCAATGACTTTATCAGGGGCGTCAGCGGCGGGGAACGGAAGAGGGTCACCATCGCCGAGGCAGCGCTGGGCTTTTCGCCTCTCCAGTGCTAGGATAATAGTACCCGAGGTCTGGACAGCGCCAACGCGATCGAGTTCTGCCGAAATCTCAAGAACCAGTCCGATATTCTAGGCATTTCCTCGTGCGTTGCCATCTACCAGGCTCCCCAGACAGCATATGATTGAAGCTGACGATGAACACCTAGGGTGTCTCCGGGGCCGGTAAAACTACTCTGCTCGACGTTCTTGCCAGTCGCGTCACGATGGGCGTTGTATCCGGCGACATGTTGGTTGACGGCCACCAGAGGGACTCATCATTTCAGCGAAAGACAGGTTACGTGACTCAGCAAGACCTCCACCTGGCTACTTCGACCGTCCGTGAAGCTCTCTCGTTTAGCGCTCTTCTTCGACAACCGGCGAAGTACTCTAAGGCCGAGAAGTTGGCCTATGTCAATACCATTATCAACCTCCTAAACATGAGCGAGTACGATGACGCCATCATCGGCATCCCTGGCGAAGGCCTTAACGTCGAACAGCGAAAACGGCTCACAATTGGGGTGGAATTGGTTGCTAGGCCGCAGCTTCTATTGTTCCTCGACGAACTAACCTCTGGCCTAGATAGCCAAACCTCTTGGTCCATCTGTGATCTCATGGAGGAACTAACCAAGGCCGGCCAGGCTATTCTCTGTACCATTCATCAACCTTCTGCTATGCTATTCCAGCGATTCGACCGCTTATTACTCCTGGCGAAGGGAGGTAAGACCGTTTACTTCGGCGAGGTGGGAGCAAACTCCAAGACACTAATGGATTATTTCGTCCGCAATGGCGGCCCGGCATTGCCCGACGGCGTCAATCCGTCTGAGCACATGCTGGCCGTGATCGGCGCCGCACCCGGCGCGCACACGGACATTGACTGGCCGGCTGTGTGGAGGGGCTCTTCAGAATACCAAGACGTTCAGAACGAGCTCTCAAGGCTTCAGTCGGATGAGAAGGCCAGATCAGCGACTGTATCCAAGACTGCAGACCATTCCGAGTACAGCGAATTCGCAGCCCCATTCATGGTCCAGGTCAGGGAGGTGACAAAGAGGGTATTCCAGCAATACTGGCGTAGCCCAGCTTACATCATCTCCAAGTTCATATTGGCTACCGGCGCGGTAAGTTATCACTTGAGCTCTATTCTTTCCCTACGTACCCCCAATGATCAAGCTGACAAGGCTTCCAGGCGCTTTTCATCGGCCTTTCCATCATGAACATAGATAATACCATAAGAGGTCTCCAGAACCAAAAGTTTGGGGTATTCCTCTTCCTCTCTATTTTCGGTTAAATTAGCGAGCAGTTAATGCCCGTCTTCTATGATCAGAGAACCTTATATGAAGCTCGTGAGAGGCCTTCCAAGTCATACGGCTGGCAGTCTTTTATGATTGCGAATATGTCGGTTGAGATTGCCTGGAATTCGGTAAGGAACCCCTTTTTTCCGAGTCACACCATCAGCGTATTGTAGCTTTGCCGTGCATACTAACGACTGGCAGTTCATTTCCATTTTTTGCTTCATCTGCTGGTATTATCCCATTGGATTGTACCGGAACGCCGAGTGGACCGACGAGGTGCATATCCGCGGCATCTGCATCTTCCTGCATGTCTGGATGTTCTTCCTGCTTGCGTCCTCGTTTGGACATCTGTTGATCGCCGGAGCCCCCAACGCCGATATCGCCGGAGGCATCCTGAACTTGCTCTTCATCATGATGTTCATCTTTTGTGGCATTCTCGCCGGCCCGGATCAACTTCCAGGCTTTTGGATATTCATGTACAGGGTCAATCCGTTGACATACGTTGTCGAGGGGTTCATGGGCACGACACTGGCCAACGCCCCGGTGGAGTGTGCCACCAACGAAATCATCACGTTCGAACCTCCTGGGAATGGATCGACCACCTGCGCCGAGTTCTTGGAGGAGTACATCACGGCGAAGGGCGGGTACCTGATTGGCAACAGTGGCACGAGTACCCAGGAGTGCAACTACTGCCCACTTGCCGACACCAACGGATTTCTTGCTGGTGTCAACGTCAATTTTGATCACCGATGGCGCAACTTCGGGTTCCTGTGGGTCTACATCATCTTCAACACGGCCGGGGCCGTCTTCTTGTACTGGCTTGTTCGCGTTCCCAAGAAGTCCAAGGTCAAGAAGGAGTAGAACCGGTGGCTCGCCACAGACACCCAAGAACACCAGCAGAGCCCTCCGGTTCTTTTCTCATTCCTTTCAATTCTCCAGTGGACATTCCTGCTTGGAGGGTCGTTATGAACGCCCCCATTTCTCCGTCTTCTCTTGTCCTAAGCTCGCTAATTATCCTTTGTTTTGTCGCGGTCGTGCCCTTGTTTGCAATTAAACTATTTCCTACCATTTAGAAGCCATTAGAGAAGATTATGTTTGTATCAAAGTTAGATTCTACCAGAAAATATACTATCAAGTCTACAGGACATCTGACCCGTCGTATCGTGCAATAATTCACTAACCGCCACTTGATAGTTCTCCGACGGATCAGCACGACTGCTTCTATGAGTCAACTCTCGTTTAAATGTCAGAGATAGCTACCAATACTACGAAGACGCTTCCAACGGCTTTCGCTTGATATACATTACAGCATTTACAGAGGACGAAGGCTTTGTGTTTGTCGCTGCTCTGCAACTGGTCCTCAATAGAACAAATACATGGTTTTAGATGCTGAAATCTGCTGCGAATACCGGATGCGGATTTTGTCTCACGAAGTCCGTAGCTGCCCCCTTTCAGCCGGGCGTCAGGATCCCCAGCGCTTCGGCACGGGGGCCGCAGGATCCGTCTAGTCGCAAAGCCCCAATGCCAAGTCTGTCCTTAATCAAAAGGTTTACTTGGTGGGTCTTTCAATCAGCCATCCCCGTTAGGAGAAAAAGTAGGGGGCTCTTCAGAGGGAGCGGAGTCCGTGGCTCGCGAAGTACCGACGCGGAGTCTACCTCCGCGAGACTTTCTTCTGTATTGATGCTCCGAGGCCAGGGTATCCTTATCCCATGATTCCCACGCTCGAGATGACAACCGGACCGCTACAAGTACAGCTTCTGTTAGACTACGGTCGTAGCTGACAAAGGCATGGTGGTGGCCGCCACTGGCCCTCGGGTCGTCCACGTATCCTACCTAGGCCTGTATGGCTTTCTCCGAGCACTCACGGGTGTCACGGAAGCATCATGTAGATCACAGGTGGCAAGGTCGACTACAAAACGCAACCTGGCACCAAGGCAAAGCAACCTCCTAGTCCCAGTTCTTCAATATCACACAACAACTATGATAGTTTCTTCTGCTTCAATCCTGCTGGGGGACCAGCACCGCTCTGGCCTTCAGCCCCCAAAGAACTTTCTCAATTCCTCCATCCTTCGAGATGTCGAATACAGCACTTCTGCTGCTACCTACCAATGGCACCTCTACACCAGACCTAGATGTTCTTCACAGCTTCATGGGCCCGGTAATGATCGCCGTCGGCGAGTTCGACCACCACACCATCTGTGGACACTCGTGTCTAGAGCCGCAGAATTACGCGACTGGCACTTTACACCATCAATTCCCCTCGACTGACCCTGCTCGGAGCGAGGCCTGGGTTGTTCCAGGTGCCGGTCACAACATGCAACACCACCGGAACGCTAGGTTCGAAGCTTGGGTTTTGAAGCATATTGATAAATCATCGTTGCCGCCGAGACACTTGAGCAGAGATTTACCTCATAGCATACCCAAGGGCAGACCGAGGCAACGCAGCCGTCCATGCTCGCGCTAGGTGATGGTAGCGAGTGGTGGTATTTTTATCTCGCACAGCCCGCTTAGGGAGCAGTTGTGAACAGTGGGTAATTCTCTAAGTATTTTATGGACATTGTTCCTTTGATTAATTTCTCGCATGTCTGATCATTCTCAATGGCCCGACTGAAAGGAACCCAGGGAGCCACCTATGGTCATCAAGGAGGTTCTCCTTGTCGTATACCCTGACCCTCTTGTAGAGTAGTAAGGTCAATGATCTGTCGTACAGAGCGCCTGAGGTCGCCTTGAAGCATGAAACACGTGAAAGAGCGATATTTTTGTGAAAATGAGGGCATCGCCTAATGTGGTGATAACGTGAGACGTCATCGCCATCCCCCTGTCCTGGCAGGGCTCCCTTATCTTATCAATATCTTATCGATAGATTCATCAACAATTTCCGGCTCCCTCTAGGGTAGCGGTTCGAATTTCAGTAACCAATTTGCATATTTCCTAATTTATGACTTGAGGCCAGACCTAATGCTGTTGATAGATAGTGCCGCTACCATAGTAGTTGACATCTAATGCGCCCAGGTGCTTCCTGTGAAGCAAATTGTAGACTGGGCCAGCTCGGGTGTGATGATGATGTGGTCTGTATAAATGGTGGAAGTCTGGATATCCTAACATTGAGGGGGCCAGGCTGCTGTGCATCTTACTGCCTCAGGCACCAACAGCACAGACGATGATGACGCCAAGCCGAAATGGGCCCCGGAGTTGCTCCGTGCCGAGTGGGGTCCGGCCGAAGTGGAGCACGTCGAAGTTGTGTTCACGTGAGAAAGACGGGCCGCGGTTCTTTTACCCTGGAATGTCGACGAGTCGTGTTGCGTATATTTGATCCACTCGTGTTCTTCACTCTCCTTTCTTGCGGTAAGGCTGTCAACTCATACTATGTAAGGATGCAAAATCAACCATGACTGGTAGCTTACTGTGGCTGCGATATGACACTATTAGCCGTCCGCCATATTTATGAGTTACTTTAGATAATGCCTTAGCAGTGGTCGAGTATGCGATAGCAGTCTGGAGATAGTTTACGCCTTACCCTTGAATAACTGATGAACCAGAAGACCGACCAATATGGGCCAACTTTCCGGTATTCCAGGCGGTCCTTTAGAACATCCGAAATTCATGTCTAACTCCGCAGGTATATCGTATCAGAGCTCCCAAATTGCGGCTCAAAGAGAATTTCCCAACTATGGTATTGTGTTTCGTTTGTTGTTTCTAGTTGATCATACTATAAGCAACGCCATTTACCATTCTATCACTCTCTGCTCGCCGCCTTGTCCCCGTATCCAGTCCTGCCAAGTCCTTAACGATATCCTAGCTCTCCTCCTCCCCTCCATAACCAAAGTCATGTTGAAAATGCGATGCAAAGGATCTACCGGTGAGTCGGCATCCTTCTCTATCACCTCTGGTGCTAAGGTCCCTTCTGCCACCCTTCTCAGCTGGTCCTCGTATGCGGCCGATTTCTCCCTTTCCATGATGGCTTCTCCGATCCTGGCAGACAGGAGAGTGTCCCATATGCCAACCATCTTTGGCCGCTTGAGGAGCTCAATCGCACGCCGCCGGGTCTCCTGGGTGATACCAGAGTGGGCAAGGATGAACAAAGGGGTAGACGTTGGAGGACTCGGTACAAGAGGCTTGTCGCAACTCTCTCCGACGAGGTTGAGGATCTCTTCTGCCAGTTTGACAAGTCTCATGGCAGCTGCAGGCAACTCCGCATGCCTCCTTACTAGGTCAGGTTCGTCTGGGTCTTTCAAGAGGATGAAGCGGCTTGTTTCCTGGAATAGCTTCAAAGTAAGCAGGGTTCTGTTGACCCAAGAGTCTGCAAGATAGTCAGATGCCTCGGCTTCTCTGACGTCTACTTCATTCTGGAATAACTGCATGGCACGGGAGATCTCAGCAAAGCGGCGAGTCTCAGGCTCCTGTTTCAAGGCAATCGACTCCATCAAACTGGTACCGCCAGTACCGAGGAAAATGTCCTTGATCTGGTTGGCGTGCCTCTGCATGAAGAGCACGAGCCCGTTCAACAACGACTCGGATGCCCGACTAGCCCGCGTCAGGTTCTCAACTGTAAGGTATGGCATCTTGGATGGTGCCGTATACGTCCGCCACTCAGTGAAGCTATCGTGTCTTAATATCAGCATCGGCAGGTCTGAGATGCCTCCCCGACTGAGTGCCTGCTCCGAGATGTGGAAGCCTGTGAGAATGGAGCTGATTGATGACAGTGATATCGGACTGATGCTTGCTGCTGACTCAGTTGACGGACTTGATCGACTCTTCGGATTCCACCGGGCGTCTTCTTCCTGTTGAATCTCTTGGAGCAGCTTGTAGCCAGCTCTGAGATGGATGCGAGCCTGATCTTGCAGTCCCTCAAAATGGCAGACGCACGTAAAGATTGCGCTGACGACGAGGGCTCTCCATCTGTCAGTATAGGTTGGGGCTGTCAGACATTTGACAGAGGCATTAAACTGCTGCACAGCAAAGGTGCTCTTGGCGTGTTGATCTGGTGATGCAGACATATAGCTCTCATGGACGCACCCAAAGCTCACGGCAGCGTGCCAGATGGCAGGGTCGGATTGACATATCCTCGGGAGCTCCAATCGCCAAAACTCGGAGTCAAAGGTGGTGGCAATAGCTGGAGCGGTGACTTCCATGAAGAAACGATAGCTTCTTATCTCTTCAAGATTCTTTGGCGGCAGGACAAGTCTAGAGTCGGCAGCTGGGTGCGGGTTGGCCGTGTCTCTCTTGGTCGACCCAGAAGCGGGGGCGTAGCCATCACATTTACGCCCAGTTGAGAGACAGCGGTGACACTCGGGTTTTCCTTCATCACAACGTACTCTTCGGATCCTTGATGCGGCGGTCAGAACCTTCTCTAACGAGCCATCGGTGGAAGAACGTACTTGCAGGTGACACACCCAGTCCGGACCTTTTTGTGAGGAGATCGTCTCTTGGGTTCTATGCCCAGATGGGCATTCTTTTCAGCCATGGCAACTGTTGTAACAAAATTGCCTTTGTCTTTGCCCTCCCTTTCCTGAGATTTGCCTTGGACGTTGTGCTTACGGTGGTAGTTAGGGCCTTGAGGCGTGCGTCATTCAGTGTACGACCCGGCCAATCATAAGCTCCCGTCGACGGTGAGAGAAGCTGATTGGCTCCCCGTCTCTAGACATATCCCGGTAACCCTAACCCGAGATAAGCTTGGAAGCTCATTCATCATTTCAGCCTTGAATCCTACTAAGGGCGGCTGTGCCAACTACAGCTTTGCGACCCTACCAATCAAAGTATTCCCTGCATCTTCAACGGCTCTGGTTCGCCATGTTCACTTGGGTCTTGCGAACCAAGCTCTGCCAGAATGGGACTTGATCCTCTATAAAAGTCGATGGTGATTCCCTCTCGTTTCGGATTCATCATCTACTTTCTTCCCACTCTTTTATCCACTCTCCCCAGTTACAACATGCTTCTGAGTACTGTCACACTGGCCCTGCTGACCCTGGTAGGGAGCACACTTAGCCAGACCAACCCAGCATGCCCGCTCCTTGGCCCTGTCTTTCCTCCGGTTCAAAAAGGCTTGGCAAAGTCCGCGGCCGTGAAGACTGCAGTTTCAAGACTCACAGACAAGTTGAACGAGGTTGTGGAAGGAGGAACTGACACCACCTTATACGTCCAGGCCTTTTCAGGGACAGAAAAGATCTTCAGCTATGGGTATGCTCCGCCAAATACATCTGACTCGTTGACATCGGGAACTCTGGATGAGAACACTGTGTTTCGTATCGGAAGTGTCTCGAAACTCGTCACTGTCTACGCGCTGCTGGCAGAAGTTGGAATGGAACGGCTCAACGACCCCGTCACCAGATGGGTTCCTGAACTGGCCAAAGCCATGAATCATCGACACGACCCGGCTCAGAGCCCACGATGGAACGAGGTGACCATCGGCCAACTTGCCAGCCATATGTCAGGCATAGGGCGAAACTGCAAGTTTCCAGTAGCTATCATTTCGCCAAAAGCTCACTAACAATTTGACAAGTTGGACTTTTCGATTTTGGCCTGTTGGTAAAGGCTTCAGGCGCGAATCCTGAGCAGTTCGGTCTGCCGACTCTCAAGGTCCAAGATCTACCAAGTTGCGATCTTTCAGTTGATCAAAAGGCTTGCACTCGAAAAGGTTCATAGCAAAACCCAACCTTCTTGCGGGAGTATGTCTGACTTCTGATGCTTTAGAATTCTTCCAAGGCATCACCAGCAGAAATGCCTTGGCGTTGACATCAACCTCTAACACGCCCATCTATTCCAACACGGCATTCCAGATCCTGGGATATGCCCTAGAGGCCATGACGAACAAGGCATTTGAGGAATCTCTTCATTCATCGCTGCTTAAGCCGCTAGGGCTAGACCGCACATCCTTGGAGGCGCCCAAGAACAATAGCAATGCCGTAATTCCCGGCAACGAGACCACCTCGTGGTGGGATGTAACATTGGCCGGTGCAAGCCCGTAAGTATTGCTATTTATCGATCCGTTTATCGTACAACATAGTCTCTAACCACCCCCGCAGTTACGGTGGCATGTTCTCGACGGCAGCCGACCTGACAACCCTTGGACAATCCATCCTTCGCTCGTCCATCCTCCCTGCCAACGAGACTCGGGCTTGGCTCAAACCTCTCTCGCATACCTCGGAGCTGCAAATGTCCATTGGAATGCCGTGGGAGATCCGACGAGTCCTGCTGCCGACCTCTCCCAAATCTAACAAGACTCGCGTCGTCGACCTCTACACTAAAAACGGCATGCTGGGACTTTACAGTGCCTTTTTTGTTCTTTCACCTGATCACGACTTTGGCTTTGTCATTCTCCTTGCCAGTGAATCTTCGGGGCTTGACATGTGGCCTGTTCTTCCTAGTCTCATGACTGACACGCTTCTCCCTGCCGTCGAGGAGGCCACAAGGGAAGAGGCCAAAAGAAGATTTGCAGGCTCGTACAAGAGCGCAAGCGGAGAGCTTGAGGTTGGAGTCGACAGGGACCTCCCAGGATTGTCAGTCCGGAGCTGGACCAGAGGCAAAGTCGACGTTCCGAGGACGTTCGAGATGGCTTTCGGTATGGGATCCGGCGGGCTCCGACTCTACCCCTCAGGGCTAGAGGGAAATGGAAAGATCAGGTTCCTAGGCGTGTACGAGAACCAGAGGGAGGTGCCTATGCCGGGCACCGTCGATCCCTGGGTGGATCTTTGCATGTCATGGGGCGGTGTGGATTCTCTCAAGTACGGCGGTATTGGCATTGACGACTTTGAGTTTGAGTTGGATGGACGAGGTAAAGCAACTGGTATCATGCCCAGGGTATGGAGAGAGACTCTTTCTAGGGTCGCAAAGTGAGTGGCGGCAGTTATTAGTGTGCATACATCAATGTGTTCTTTATTATAGCCGAAGCCCAGCCCTTGATGGGTTAACTGAGCCAGAAGATCGAGGCTTCAACATCAGCAACGAACACACGTCTATCTGCTTAAACCTCTTTAGATACAAGCTGAGGAGACAATGAATTGATCTTTTCCTCTTGTCCTTGAATGATATTGTTATCAACCTGGATGGACATCTCTTCGAACGCATACCCCTTGTTTGTCGTTTCGGTAGGGAACAAGACTGAGAGTCTTGATAACCTTGGAGATCATGGCGAAATATTGGAAAGATGAGAATAGAAAAAAAGACGAAGGACGATTGGAAACGTAAATCGGTGTGGTTTTCGTTTTCTTGGATTCTCCCTTGGTGTGAATCATGTTCATAATTAACCTAGGTAGCTTGTGTCATCAGGTTCCGTAGTCTCCTCAATTCTCTCAAACCATGAATGGTAGATAGCGTCTCGGCCTTTTGGCCAGGGTGTTGTGTGGAGAAGAGGCGGACAATTTAGCAGCATGTCCGACACCCAGAACGTTATCTGTCGGAGCATTTGTTAGAGTCGTCGGCAGTGTCTCCGCCCCGACTTGATGAGACGCACTAGATACCGACACTCGGCTTCATCGAGAGTGCGCCCACGTGTTTTCTTCATCACGCCATCCTCTGTGAAGCACATTGCCCAAGCGTTGGCATTATCGCGGTCGTCTGAAAGGGTATAGAACCTCTATAAAAAGTCGACCAGCGGCTTGTCGAGGCTTGCATGGCCGAACATGAATTGGTGAGTGGCGAGACCTTCGGCTGTGAGATCCATTTTCAATGATTCACAATGCCTCTGGCATGCATAGGCTCGTCGGTCAATATCAAAATACTATGTAGTCCTGGGCTATGCCGTTTTTATCACATAGTATAGGTATTAGGCATAACTGGGATAGAGCTTGCAAAATAACTATACGTCCGGTCTATTAGGATTTAAGACCAACGTGATATTTTTCATAAGCTCTGTGTTTGACTGCGAAGGCTGCTTGGAAGCAAACATATACAAGCATATCCCAAGCTCGAAATCCCACGAAGATAACGGCGATAGAACAGCAAAGTCGCCTTGATTGACCGCCCGATTAAACAGGTCACTCACGAGAATGCCACCATTTTCGCCACTCAAGTTTTGGGCTGTAAAAGGTTTATCCTTCTCGGGTGATAAGAAGAAAGGGCTGTCCCATATTTGTGGCGGGCAAGGTACGCGCACCTTGAGCATTGCCGGGGTTAAGGCATCCGATAATTTGAACTTTGGATGCGTTTTAAGGAACAGGGACCATAGAAGCAGATGCAGTTTAAAAGAGAAGAGAGCAAGCCTATACAAAGATTAGGGGCCTAGATGATAAAGGTATGGTACAACGAAGAGTAAACGGCGATCAGTGCTTAAACCCATGCGCAGCCTGGGCGTGAGAGGGTGAGGAAGAGGGCGATGGGCTCGGCTCATGGCGGAGAAGTGACGCAATTTAAGAGATGGGGAAGACTATATACGCGGTAGGAAGGCAGGTTATTACTTACCGCTGATATTGTTCTCGGACGAGTTCCTGTTTTCTAGCCTCTCCAGAGCGAACCGCTTTGTCAATTTTCAGTTGCTCATAGGCGCCGAGGTTTTTAAGAGTTTCAACGAGATACCAAAGATTTGTCATGGCGAAAGGCGATGAGGTTTTTAATCGAAACGCACAAAAGGCAACTATAATGAATATGGTTTGAAGAATAGGAAGCGAATCAGGAAGCGGATTCAATGAGACATTTGTGGTCGAGGATGATGATCTTAGCAAGGGTAGCTGGCGATTGTTAGAAAAAGACGGAAGCAGATGAGAATTTCACCCCGCTCAAGAGTTAGAGCCCTAGGTACCCAACGAGGGAGTAAATCTTGATCACCAGATCATCTAAAAGGGATGCCTTTCAGATGGTTGGGCTGTTACTCACCAGCTTGATATCAACCCACCTCATAAGCACATCGTGATCAGATTCAGCCTGTATTCTGGACCCAGGCGAAGCTAACCGTTCGGTCCAACGCCCAACCATGGCTACTGCCTGGACTAACTCGGGTGGTTGAGGGCACGACTGGAACGTCGCTTTGTGTAGGATTGCCCATTTCGGATGGAGCCGAATGAAGTAGTTGTCAATATGGCGACTCTGGTGCACATGTTGACTGACGTTGGTGAGTAATGATGGAGGCGGCCCCTTGTCAAAGATGCGAGGCTGCTCTTGGTGCGATTTGTTTGGATTTGATGGTTGTTCCTGGTGCAGTTCATTCAAGTGGCGCTTGAGAGTTTCCCTTTATTGTCTTGTTAGCCCGTCTTTCAGTCCGTCTCGGTAGGTGGGCGTTTGGATCAGGTCTGACTTGCGGTTGAACCTGGACGGACAAAGATGGCACGAGTATGGCTGCGCATTAGCGTGATCCCGTTCGTGTCGTCTGAGGTGCTCTCGCCGGATGTAGGCGCGATTGCATCCTGGATAGGTGCATCTGTGGGACATGGTGATGAGTTATTTCCGTGAAGATGAAGCATCAGCACGTTGATCAAAGGCTTCCGTTTGGTGAAGGAAGATTGAATGAATGAATGTCTGGAATGGAACACACCCCATCCCGCCTGACAAATACCTGTGATAGTGGATCAACCCCGCCTCATCTTTGTCATCTAGCGTGAGGTCGTGCATCCCACCTTCACCGCTGTTGTCAAGTGGAGCCAGACAATGCATCCCGCCTTGGAAATCATAATCATGTAACCTAATCAATCCAGCTCATTGGTGATGTATATATGAGCCATCCAATCACGTATAGTAGTATTCGATGCAAGCCTGTCGTACAGAAGCATTAATTTGATCAATTCTTCGTCTATTTTACAACGGGGTTTTCTTTTTCTTAATAGAAACAAAAATGGTCAACGTCGCCATTGCAGGAGGTTTGGGGAACTTTGGTCGAACGGTCACAGAGGTTCTCAGTCTCGAAGGAAAACATCAGGTTTTTGCTTTGGGTCGCGAAGTAATCCCCCCCCACCCCCCTGTTAGTTCTGAGTGGACAAAAACTGACCAAGTGTGTTGTTGCAAGGCACCACCCCCACATACCAAAGACCTGCAAGTTCCCTTCATCGCGGTCGACTACAACCATGTCCAACACTTGCAGGCTCTCCTACAGGATAATGAGATACACGTCGTTATTTCCTGTCTGAGCTTGACGGATGACTCCGCAATTGCTGCCGAAACCAACCTTATCCTAGCTGCGGATAATTCTGCTGTGACCACACGCTTCATTACTAGCAACTGGGGGACACCTGTGTTGAGCGAGTGAGTTATTCGGTTTCCCCAAGACGACTCCAGCCGGCTAACATTATTAAGAATGCTAGAGTATATGCCTTGGCTCAAGTACAAACTGGCTGCCATCGACCAACTCAAGAGCACGAACCTTGAGTGGACTTATTTCACCGTTGGTTATTTCCTTGACTACTACGGAATGCCACATGTCAAGACTCATCTACCTACCTTCTTGGTTGCTGTCGATGTTGCAAACAAAATTGCAAGAATTCCGGGAACGGGAAATGATCCCGTAACATTCACCTACACCTACGACGTGGCCAGATTTGTTGCAGTAGCGCTGGACATGAAGAAGTGGGAGGAAGAAACAATTGTCGCAGGAGATAAAGCTACTTGGAATGAATTCCTTAAGCTGGCACAAGAAATCCGACGTTAGTATCCCGACGAAAGGCAAGTGCACAGAGTACTAAGTCAAACATAGGCTGTTGGTTTGATGTTGAGTACGACTCCATCGAGAAGCTCCAGGCCTCGCAGATCACAGAACTGCCGTCACATGTCTCTTCATACGGGCTGTACCCCAAAGAGCTCATGCAATTTCTCATGGCAGGACTGGAGCGGGCAATGGTGGCCGGGAAGCTGAACCTTCCAGATGAGAGGGCGCTGAATCGTTTGCATCCAGATATTAAGATGGTCAAGATTGAGGATATGTTGCGTGAAAACTGGAGGAGGGCCTAAGCAGTTTGGGAATTCCAAGCGTTGGCTTCTTGCCATTCAGGCAGTTATCAACTTATCTTTCACTATGTGCCATATTTGTTAAAAATATCAGCATTGATAGCCTTATCCGATATCCTGCGCATACCTTGGTGACCCTTTATCTCACGAATATCCGTAGTATCGGTAAAACATGGCGTGTATAACTAGTTCGTCTATTAGTGCGTGTATTCCAACCAAGAAGGTTGAGTAAATAAATGAATGAATGAATGAATGAATGAAAAAATACCTACAATATAAAGAGGGCGATACCACAAGTGCTACTTCAAACTCTTCGTCCGTAAATGGCCTCAATGGAGGGAAGCTGTCAATATTTTCGGCACGCAAAATGAGATGAGCGACTCTGGGCTCATTATTCATGGGGACCAAATGGCTATATGTCTGACTAAGAGTTGGACGTACTTATAGGTACTAGAAGGCTACTCGCAGAAGCTAATGACAAGCTAACAACGGTATATTCGTTCCGTATATTGGAATAAAAAAGTAATCTACACTTTTCAAATCACAAAACCGATATGGCAGCAGATAGACCGCTCGCTCGAGCACATCGTTTTAGCCACTCAGTTGGAGCTGCGAGACATGATTGGCGAAGAAAACAATATCAAGCTTTGTGTTCTAACGTCTCACTTTTTGTTTCCAGACTTCGGTAACGGAAAAAGACTGTGTTTCATGAAAGCCTGGCGGTGAGCACGAATATTCATCAAGTTTGATAGAACCAAGGGAGTGTTCTACGTCAAAGGATCTTTTCCTTTGCTGCCGCCAGTGCTTGCCTAAAGTCCACCAACTTTTCCCTCACCCCTAGGTCATCCAATGTGATGACCCTGTCGGTTTCAAAATGGTGCCAGTTAGAATGCGATTTGCTAAACTGAAGCTGAGCAGCAAACCCCAAGCCAGAGAGGCCCCAGAGCTTTTGCCAGGACGACTCGCAAACTTCCACGAAGACTGCCGGCTTGCCAGTGACTTGCTCGAAACAGGCAACCACATCTCTCAAGAGACAATAATCTGTAATGCAAATGGCAATCTTATCAAATGCCTTGGAACCTGCCGTCAAGATGCCATCAACGATAATACCACAGTTGGTCTGCAAGTCGCCAGCGATGGGAAGAACCACCGAAGATGAGGCCGGGAGCATAAGAACATGCGCCTCTGACATGGGCTAGCATATGATTTAGCTCCAGTTTGTTTCATGCAACGAAGTTTACCCACCAGCCTTCTAAATTGCATCAATGGCATTGTATGCAAGTTTGATACGTACCACCCTGCCCAGAACTCTGTCGATTTCGCCCAAAGACCCGGTGTGTTGACTCTGATCCAGTCAATGGCCTTTTGCTTGTAGTCAAAGTGTGGTAGCTTGTGGCGTCCGTTCGAGATCTCATAAGACCGTGGTAGCGTACTTATGATAAAGTGTTTCAAATCCGGTGACTCTGCAGCCACGCGGGCCACATTTATAAGCTGATTCATCTCTTGCTCGCCCGTACCCTCTACCCCAAGTTGGGTTATAGATTCCCACGTGATCGCAGTCACCGCAAAGATGGCTTCTGCTCCCTGGAGTGCTTTAACAAGGCTAGACTCGTCGTTCATGTCGGCGTTGGCGACTTGTACTCCCTAAAAGTCCTATTAATGAATTATGAAGAGGCTGAAGGATGCAAACTCAACATCACTAAATACCTTTGATACTAGCAATCTTGCTTTTTCGCTGTTGGCATCACGCGTGATGCCCCGAATAACCCACCGTGGATCCTTTGACAATTGGTCCACAACAGAGCCTCCTTGGGCTCCAGTAGCCCCGAATACGGCAATGAGAGGCATGATGGACTATGGTGGTAGGGGAGCGATAATATGGCTTCTAATCAGAGTAAAGAGCCATGATTTGGCCAGTGGAAGGAGCGGTAGTAGGGGCTAGATATGTACTCACTAGCCGCCAAGAGCATCAGCAGAGGATCAGCAACCCACCGCCCGGGACGTGCATAGGAACTATCCTTCGCAGTGGCATCTCGGTTTCGGCAGAAATCACCTTGATTTGTCAGATGCTCGTCCACTTCACACACGAGTGATTACATCCATACTTGAATGATATTAGTCAGGTGGGATGGCACCCGACTAGTAGTAATACTTTCACATGCCGAACCCAGCTAATGCAATTGGATGGCGCAAAATCACGGCATCGATGGGGTAATATCGAATTTGTGAGAGTTTTAGTCAATAAACTCGGCATAGAGCGGTCTGTGGATTTGCTCTCCCCCCCCCTCCAAAATGACTCTACCAGCATGGCGCCACTGCTGCACTGTGTTCATGTTTCAAGATCGAATGCCGGGTTTCTCGGACACACGGGCTTCCCTCATGTCCGTAAATGTCCACATCACGGCACCCAGAGTGTCCGTCCGTTGGCACCCCGCATGTGAGTTACCTGCGAGAGCAAGGAGAAGCCGGGCCGCCAAGCACACGTTAGCTTGGCATTACCGGGGTAGCTGACCTCGGATATGATCGAAATACCCCGTATCCCCCACAGAAAGATGTTGGTATTCTACAGTAAACTCTACCTACAGGGCCGCATTATCCCGTCGCCGATCCAATGTGATCATAAGTCACTCTGTGCGGTCGCATACTGGACGCATCTGAGTATAAAACCCACGTCTTTCGCTCCCATATTACTACTTGTGCATCTCAAATTTGAAGCTCTTTACTAGCTTATCATAATGAAGGGCACTTCTTTCCTCACTGCCTCCATATTCCTCTTTACCATCGCCAGGGCAGCAGTCCTCTTTGAGGGCGGCACGATAATCTCATACGACGAAGTGAACCATAATGTCAAGGTTCTGAAGGGCTACTCCATGCTTGTTGAGAAAGACAAGATCTCGGCGATATACGATGCGTCCAAAAGCCGAAGCCTACCAACAGGCACAGAAATAGTCTCTGCAGCTGGAAAGATTCTGTCTCCAGGATTCATTGACACCCATCGGCATGGATGGCAGACAGCATTCAAGACTCTGGGGTCAAACTCGACACTGGCTGACTACGTATTGCAATGGAGTGAGCATGGACCTGCAGGAACAAGGTTCACTGCCGAAGATGTATACTACTCGCAGCTTATCGGCCTACACGACGCTATCGATGCAGGAGTTACAGGAATCTTGGAACACGCTCACTGTACCTTCTCAAACGAGACTTCGAGGGCAAGTTTGCAAGCTTCCGTGGACTCTGGGTTGAGGATATGGTGGGCTTACGCCTTCCATGAATTGTCCAATGGGTTTTCTGTCGAGGAGCAACTGGCCAACTTCCGCGATCTATACGAGAAAGACACATGGAACAACAGCGCCGTCGAGATGGCAATTGGTTATGATCTTTTTGACAGGGCGTCCGAGGAGCAGTCACGACAAATAATTAAGCTTGCCATGTTTGTTATTGCCATTTCCACTAGATCTACCCTACTAACATTATTTTACAGTGATTACAATGTCAGTGCCTTAACAACCCATTACTTAGGCGGGAGCCATTTTGGTAAGCTTGTTTACCCAAGTTTGTCATAGAGAATTGCATTTAACCGTCTCTTAAAGCTTTCAATAGTCCCCAACTTCTCAACCAGCTTGGCTTGCTTAATATAGGTATTCCAATCATTTTTTCCCATGGGACAGAGATAACTACACAGGATATTCTCCTTCTGAGAGAGCATAATCACTATGTCTCTATCACTCCCGAGTCCGAGATGCATTATGGCATTGGCTTCCCTCATGGTTACAAGATCCAGGACCAGGCAGCTCTCGGTGTCGACACCAATTTTGCATTCAGCTCTAGCATTATTACACAGGCACGAACATGGCTTCAGGTTGTGAGGAAACAACTCACAGACGGAATCGTTCAAGCTTGGAAGGTTCCCTCTAATAGCCCCATGTCTGTCAATCAAGCATTTCTCATGGCGACCCGGAACGGCGGACGAGCTATGGGGCGCGATGATGTTGGTGTTCTCAAAGTCGGCGCGAAAGCCGATATTGTCGTGTTTGACGCGCCCTCAGCGAACTTTCTAGGCTGGAGAGACCCGGTCGCTGCAATCATTCTCCACTCACATCCTGGAAATATCGAACACGTCATGGTAGATGGACAGTTCTTGAAGCGCAACTTCTCGGTCGTCACCCTTGACGGTAGCCATGTCAACATCACCGAAGCTCGTGAGAGATTCTTAGAGAGTGCAGATCGGATCCAGAAGATATGGCTCAACGATCCTCCAGAGCTTGAACAGGGACAGAACGGAGCTGGGATTCCTTATGTTACTCTTGATAGAGTTGATGTTATCGCCGGCGAGGGGATAGGATATTAGCATAAGGGTGCAACGACCCAACATGGCCTACATCTCTATCGCTGGGGCCTCTTTCGCCGAAAGAGGAGACCCGTGTCAATCCTGAGAGGTACCCCGCAGGGGGAAAGTCTTAGCATAGTGGAGTACTCTTTTGTGACCGAGTCGTGAGAGATGAGATGAGATGGTGGGACTGGCAGGGTGGGCGAGAGGAACTATATATGATGAATGGCATTGTTCGGTGCCTCAGGCCTAGGCAGATTTGTGCTGTACCCCATGAAACAACGAATGACCTTGGTTTTCATCAACAACAGGTTGACGGACAGGGGACTACCCCTGTACCAACCGAAGCCGTGACCTCATCTGGCACAGACACGGGTATCTCCACTGGTACCGAAACCGGATCCGAAGCCACAGGAGTGGTGGCTGATTGGGGGGGGCTACTAGGGCAGCGACGGAACTGACGAGGCTCAACTGATCCTTTCGGCAGGTTTGAGCAACGATACGGAGAGGTGTCAGCCCGAGAAGGACCTGCGACTGGGTGACTATTTCGGGAAGGGCTTTGCGAGAATCACAAGCTGCGACTGGGGAAAAATAGGGGATGAGACGTATGGTGATAGATATTGCGATAATGGTGAGTATAGCCTCAAAGGCGTTAAGAATTAGTGGAGTAAGGGAAACAAGGACGTAGAGTCATAGATTAGCAGTCTATCAACGAGTAGTTGGTCTCTTCTCTTTTTTGGTAAACTCTTGTCTCTATTATTTACAATCCTTGCACATTGTTTCATCCCGCTCAATATTCCATGCCTTGCTAAAAAGGCATGGATTAAGAGCTGCGGCGCCCATTCGGCTCAAAGGGGAACAAAGCTGAGATCAAAGCCAAGCCACCGAATAAGGCTGCACATACGTAAAGCGGAACAGCTGTAGCAGTATTGCCAGACGAAGCCACAAAGGCCGACACGATGCCCATGAGCCGATTGAAGGCCACTGCGATCCCGCTCCCTGTCGCGCGATGTGCCGAGGGGAAGACCTCGGCGGTATAAGCATACAAAGTGCTGTAGTAGATGTTGATACCGCAAGCTAGCGTGCAAAGTCAGCATGAGCAACTCCTGTTTCGCGAGTAGAGGTTGTTGACTTACAGATAGCACATGATATGCCCACATTCTGGGCATCAGTCTTAATCCCGGTAATGCCAAAAAAGAGAGCCATACTGGCAAGGGCGCCAATGACCATGGTGTACTTGCGTCCCAGTCTTGTCGTAACGAGGTAGCCAGCAATAAGTGACCCGGGGATTCCAGAAATAGTTGTCAGTGTTAAATTTCGGTATGTCTCGAACTGTGAGACGGCCTTACCGGGCACTCGAGTTGAGAGATACGCCCTGTTATTCGATCAGTATTGTCCCCTATGCAAGAGAGCGAGATTGACTTACGGCAAGAACACGTAGAACAACGGATAAGCCAGTCCCGTGATGGCCCAGGACAACCAGATCAAAATGGTGCTCAAGGTTATCTTGCGCGAGACAAAGAGGCCCTCCACATGTCCCTTGATGTCGCTGAGGATGAACGTCTTTCCCTCCCTTTGCGTCAAGCGGATCTGCCCGCATGATTCCAGCTTCTCCAATGTGAGTGAGCAGGGCCTATTGTACTTGCGAGCCTGATCCTGGTAGTACTTGACCAAGTCTACATCTCGCCCAGCAGTGAGGAGGAACTTGGGCGTCTCCACGAGGCGAACTACCGTGACACGGAGTATCGAGAGAACAAAAACAAGTGCGCCACAGGTAAACATGGTGTATCGCCAGCCAGCATTGTTAGACCACCCACAGTCATCGCCATCGGAACAATTCCAGCGGCTTTGTGCTATCGAGGGAGTCAGCATTCGTGTCAATCTGGAGCAAAGATATTGCCATACTCATGAAACCCCAGGCGACAAATCCTGTGATGGACTGCCCAAAACCCCACCACCCGGCCAGAGCGGTGACAACCCATTGCTTGTTACCTGGAAGAAACTCAAGCAGAACTGTAGGATCAAGGATCAAGTTTCCACCGGATCCAAAGGTAGACACCGCGAGAAAGGCTCCCAAAAAGGGAAAATTAGGTGCTGCACCCGCCACCACCATGGCCACAGAAGTGATCCAGAGCGTCAGGTTGAACGCCAGCCGTCTTCCGAGAATATCAGCGCCGAAGCCCCAGAACAGTGCTCCCACGAGGAGACCGACATTCTGCGCTACGACTCCTGCATTGATGTAAGAAGACGCAGTGGCGAGCTCCCGAAATGCCTGTGCTCCGGTAACACCCTGTACCATGGTCAACAGCGAGTCCACGGCATAGCCAAATCCATTGAGAAAGAAAAGCTTCCAGTGGAAAGGAGTCCATCCAAGTTCGTCGTTTGCCTGCTTGGTGTAAGTGCTAAGCCCGGCAACAAGGGGAGAAGGCTCGCTCACATTGTTCACTAGGTGAGTCTTGAGCGCCAAGACCTCATCCTCGATATCGAATTCAAGAATGTCCTTTCCAGTGGAGTCAGGAGAATCGAAACCGTCACTATCACCTTGAGGATTGGTCGAAACCCGGTGTTCTTTCAGAGGCAGAGACATGGTAAGGATGTCTAAGCAATAGTGAAAGTAGAAATTGACCGTTGTTGGCGTGAAAACAATCAACTCTGTTCTCAAGTCGGGATTGACTCATTGCAAATAGTGGGAAGAGACTCTATTTGAGCAATTGCGCCTGTCATACCATTCTTCTTGGAGGTAAACTCGACTTGACACTGAATCCTTGCGTTTCAGAGGATCCAAATTGGCGTTGTTTGCGCTAGACCATGTGGCTCTTGCGTGATCGTGGGACCAAGACTCCAAATGTAGGGATAACTCACCTCGGAGCGTTTATGTCATGGCCCGGCCTTCCCAATTGCTCTTGCGTGATTGCCAGACCAAGATTGTGAATGTACGCGTAAAAGAGCTCGGGGCGTTCATGTCATAGCCCCGACCTTCTCGATTTTCTGCTAAGAAGCTGGGGTAGAAGGCTAGAGGTTGAATTTTTATCACTAGTGAATGATGCAATACATCCCTGGACTTATCTCTTTTAGCTGAGGTGGATCCCATAGCTCTAAATGGTTCATTAACCCGAGCATGACAGAAAGAGGTTTAGACCGTTAGCAAAGTCAGGCCTTTGGAACTCGTCAGTTGTGCGGAAAAGCATCATAATAGCCCCGATCATCTTTTCATGGCAGAGAGCTACTCCATGTCACCAATGTGACTGATGGAGCTCCCGAGACAACCACCTCCATCTATCCAACTCGTCGGCCTCGCACTACTGATCTAACAGATCACCGACATGTCGACTTCAAGGTGCCCCGCGGAGGGCATCAAAGTTGCCATTATCGGAGGGGGCCCTGCAGGCCTTGCAGCCGCCATTGAGCTCGCCAGACTACCCTTCGTCGACTGGCATCTTTACGAACAGAAGCCAGCCATCAGCGAAATCGGGACCGGTATTACTTTACAGCGCAGCACTTGGAAGTTATTGGAGACACTCGGAGCTTCCAAGCACCTTGGAGCTGGCGACTTCTTCAGGCCTTTAGATGGCCACGACAACCAGTATAGGTGAGTCAGACACTTCTCACAAAGGTAAACTATGCTAATGAATGCGTCTTTCAGGGACGGACGATCCGGAGTGGTTGTGAAGCAGACGCATCCACCAGCACACGTCGCTCCTCACCAAGCTCCCTGCAGAGTGCATAGAGGCAAATTGCAGAAGGCATTGCTCAAGGAAGTAGATCAGGATCGTATTCGGACTGGAGCGAAGTTGGTAAACGTCGAGCGTTTACCGAGTAAGAAGCTCCGCCTCATATTCAGCGACGGTTCAACTAGCGAAGTAGACCTCTTAATCGGTGCTGACGGTATCCGATCTGTGAGTAAATCATATATCATCATCTACAGCCACCCTGCTGACTTCGTCTTAACTATCAGGCCGTCAGAAGCTTTGCCTTTCCCGACCATTCCGTCAACTACACAGGCATGACTGCCTATAGAGCAGTAGTCAAAGTGTCAGACGTCGAGCAGATAAATGGCTTTTCTAGAGCGACTGTGTTCTGGTATGGTACTGAGGGGAAGTGGGTTTACACAACTCCTCTGGATAACCATGACTGGGAAATCACATGTAGGATCAAGGAGGCCGATGACGGGGACCGGTCGACCTGGGGAAGAGAAGTCAGCGTGGCCAACTTTGTTGAAAGATTACAAGAATACTGCGAGCCGGTTCAGCAACTTCTTTCCCTCGTCACTCATGTCAAGCGATTTGACTACTTTGGGGGAACGAGATTGCATTCGGTCATCAAATATGGCTCGATCGCTCTCATAGGAGACGCGTCGCATCCTCTATCCGGTGCCTTTGGTGCTGGCGCTGCTTTTGCTCTCGAAGACGCTCATACAGTTGTAGGAGCACTCCAGTGGGCTGCATCTTCGACTCGAACCTTGCAAGATGCTCTTAAGCTCTTTGACAGCGTGAGGTCACCTTACTACGGTGCTCTTTACCAGACCATGGATAACATCGCCGCTTCCCATGAGAAGACCTCCCGCGAGGCTGCGTCTGCAGAGGAAGAGATCGTTGGCCGTATTGAGAATGTCTCAAAGCCGGAGCATAACTGGATGTTATACCACGATGTAAGATTGAGATCCCCCCCAGTTGTCTTTGTTGGTTCTAATCCGCTATGAGCAGGTCGACCAGGCGCTGGAAGAAGCTATCTCGGTAAACAAGGAGGCAATTGGTATTAGATCGGTGTTATAGGCGTTTCCATTTACTTTGCTATAGATTGGAGAGCTGTGAATAAGCCGGGGTGTGTATGACACTGCACTGAGGGTTTACTGTTTCTCCATGGGTTATGCCCACTGTCAAACCCTCAGAAGTAACGTGTGGAGTGTAGTCGTACCTTGGTAAACACCAAGTCGCTATGATTTCTACCTGTCATAGCGTATAGATACAAAAATTTTCTTGGCCTTTAGAATCACCGCTATGTTGTCTAGAATTGTGCAAAAAGTTCATGTTGATGAAACTAGGTCTGTCTTTATGTCCCGATATCCAGGCGACCAGCTACGGCCATGAGGCACCACTCAGCTGGCACCTTATGAGGCGGATGCACTCAGATTACACAGTTCTCGTAGCAAGAGTCCATCCGGTAATTACGGCAAGGTAAATTTGACAGACCAGCTTGGCTAGCTTCCCCGAGACACGTCTTTTACTTGGCAGATGGCGTGATACCTCTTTTCGTACAGGCCTCACAAGGGCACGATGTTTCCTGCTTAAATACAAGCAAGCATCCTCTTCAGCAACATGGAATACGACGACAATCCAATCGACCAACCAAAGAAGGAATTTTTTAGATCATCTTTCATTTCTTCCAAAGCTACACCGTCGCACAATGTCGACAGACTCTTTTAGAGTCATCATCGTCGGTGGCGGACCCGTTGGCATAGTTGCGGCGCACGCCCTTCACCACGCTGGGGTCGACTTTATTGTCCTTGAGCAGCGAAATAACATCTTTGAGGATGTTGGCGCTAGTCTTATTGTCAGTCCGCACAACTTGAGAGTCTTCCACCAACTCGGTCTATGGAGACATCTTGAAGAAATTGGCGCCCCCCTCCTACATCATTCGCAGGGATTTGACCAGCGGAAGCACAAATTCAAGCGCTCCTATGCTTTGAGTCTTTTGCAGGACAAGTATGTGATTTATATCTTCCACCTACGTTTGGCCAGCCTTATATCAGAGAAAGACTCTGTGTGTGAGCAGGAACGGAGAAAGAAAATCGGAGGCTGAAGCCAATTTTCATTTCCCGATCCAAAATACAGCCCCCAACAATCTTTCCATAGCTTCCACTTACTAACTTCCGTAATAGTCATGGTAGCTCTCTTGTAGCATTTCACCGCGCTCACCTGATCAAAGTTCTCTATGATAACCTACCTGATGATGCGAAAACTCGTTATCTTCCGGGGAAAAAGCTTGTCGACATTGTCATAACCTCGACGGGAACGGATGTCACTTGTACAGATGGGAGTGTCTACTCGGGGTCGGTTGTCATTGGTGCAGACGGCGCTCATTCCAAAACTCGGTCGATAATGCGCCGCTGTGCTCTCCAAGCCGAGTCGTCTCTCACCTCCACCTGGGATCCCGAGTCCCCTTTCACATCAACTTACAAGTGCCTTTGGGCATCATTCAATCGCCCCTCGGAGCCAGGAGATAGTTACGAAACACAGGGCCAGGACCGCAGTATCATGTATCTAACGGGCCGTGACAAAGGCTGGATATTCTTGTACGAGAAGCTTGATCAGCCATCCAACGATAGGCCCTTCTACGACGAAAAGGCTCTCCGCTCCTTTGGGTATAGCTTTGCGCATTGGCCTCTCAATGAAAAGCTGACAGTGAAAGATGCACTCGAAGATCCGTCTACCATCGTCGGCATGACTGACCTGGAAGAGGGAATTGCCAAGAACGTCAGTTGGAATGGCCGTATCATACTTGTCGGGGACGCATGGCACAAGTTTACCCCAAACTCTGGCTTGGGCTTTAACAATGGAGTCCAGGATGTGGTGTCATTGTGTAACAGATTACAGGCGCTGATATGTGCAGAGGCCAAGCCAGATGTGGCAGCTCTTCAGACCGCCTTTGATGAATATTATGCTGAGAGACATGAACCGCTCGAGGCGGATTTCTTGCGCTCTGCTGGCGCGACGCGGCTATCAACTTGGGAGACTCGAATGGGTTATATTCTAGGGAGATACTTGTATTCGATTGGTCATGTTCAGCGGTATTTAACGGGTAAAAATGTTTCCCCAAGAATTAGTCAAGGACTGATCCTTAGCTATATATTGGCATCAGAACCGTTTTTGGGGAAAGTTCCTTGGAAATATTCTCTTAGCAGTCAAGAAGAACTCAAAGAGAGATAATAGATTTACTCTGCTTTGTAACTCGCAGTACAAGATCTTGTTATAGTGTACATCTATGTATTATCCAACAGGTTAGCAACCTACTTGCATAGCGATTGTCTTGGTAACAGTATACCCATTTTCCAAAGCATAAACTAGTCATCCTATGTTCATGTTACCAAATTATCAAGCGCGTAACTCTTTCCCAGAGGGTACCAGTGACGATCTTCTTACTGAGTTATCCCATCAAGGACCGGGCTTCAACTATAACACAGAACATATTATCAATACGTCATAGCATCATACCTCGATTCTGACTCAGTAGCATGTAACTACATAGCAGCTCGACCTCCTCGGTCGATTTCATGATCTTCTCATCTAATACATCTCTTACCTGTGGTAAAAGGACACATGTCATTATTAAAGGTCACGATCTTCGGGCTCAGTTAACCCATTAAGGGCCGGGCTGCAACTAGAATAAAGAACAGATCTTCAACACATCATAACATCATGGCCCGATGTTAACACAGTCACTCCTTCACTGCGTTGTGACACCAGAGCGAGCTTCCAATCGGTATAGATATGGCCACTACTTACCCTTGCAACCGTAGTATGCTCTACTACGTAGACTACCGAGGGTACCATAGCCGCGTCGGTATGAAATAAACTTTCGGAGTGTAATTCTTTTCGGGGTCCGGTTCATGAACTCGGCACGTTTATAAAGCCCGAGGTATAACGTTAAGCAATTTGCAATGGGCACATACACTGGATAACCTGTATATTTAACCTCATGGAATCGATTGTCTACATTCTACTCACCGTGATATTAATTCTTTGATCTATCACGTCAAGTATTATCGCATCTCTTGGTTCACGATGCATTCGAACTCTCTTGCTCTCGCCACGTGCCTTTTCGGCGTTTCTTCCGCCTACCCAGCCCATAACCAGAGGCCATGGCTTGCTCCGCCGTGGGAAAAATCTCCTTTCGAGTATGCCTATACCGTAAGTAATACTAGTACACTATGTAAGAGTCTCCCAGTAAATCTGATGTTTTAGAAATATGGACCAGTGTTCCCACTGTCAGAAGCCTACATCTTCCGGCCTAAGAAATCCATAACCTCCAACGTACCCAGATCGGATGTGCGGATACGCTTCTCGCCGTCGACGATGTTAACTGTCACTAGTCCCGCATACCTCGTGTACCATGTTTCCCAGTCTTTTGAGGTGGTTGGGTATGGGAATGTTGCAACCACCTTGTTCTGGCCGTTGAATCGGACTTCCGCTGCACCTCCTCCTCCCGAGTCAACGATATAAATGCAATCAGTGCTTGTCGGTTTGACGGTGACTGGATGGGGTCTTTTAACCCCTTCTAGGCAAACAAGCTGCTCATCGACCGCATTCACCAGAACCTCATCCCCCTGAACAATGAACAGCAACGGGACTTCTCGACTGCCACAGTCCTGACGAAATCTTACCGACGCCGAGACAACAGTGAGACCATGTACGTCAGCGCGCCCCCAAAGCCAGTTGTCGAGAATATTTTCCATCGGAACGTTGCCCCAGTTGTGATCGTGATAGGCGTTTCCTTCAACTTTCGTCTTGGTGCCGTTGGTGATGATTTCGCCAGTGAGGTGACCGCCAGGAACAGCCACAAACCAAGAGAAGTGACGGCCGTCCACATCCCACCGACCCGTGCCCGGGCGATAGGAGGGGGTAGTTGCTGTAATGGTGACATCGGCGCCGAAGCCTTCCATCTCGTCCGGGTCGACGTGGATGTGGTACTTCCGTAAGCCATCAATGCTTCGGAAAGAACTCTTTTCGAATCGCACATGGCATTTATCCTTGCCAACATCCAAGTTGGCAGACAGCTTAAATCTCTTGTGCAAGTCGCAGAGCTTTTCCCCGTCCTTGGCAATGTTTAGATCGATGAGTCCTGCCTTGGTACCGGCACCTTCGGAGTTGTAGAAGAAGGCTACTTGGAGAAACCAGCCATCTTGCAGGTGCCCGTCAGCGTACCACCACTCATACTCGCCACTTTCGGTGTTTGGACTGCGTAGGGCATCCTCCCATTCCTCAAATTTTGAACGATGCAGTCCATGCTCACTCATGCTCGCGTCGTCAGTGAGAAGGCGACCCTGGTTCAGCTGGGCCATATTTATGGCGTCTTGTATAAAGTATTGGGAAGAGTGAGGTCCTATATCAATGCTACACAACGAAGAGATGAAGTGAAGAGCATGAAACATAACGGGGAGAGATGCAATATTGAATAAATAGAGAAATGTCATCTTATCTGCAATGGCAAGTCCACGAGAGACCGTCAGCAACGACAGGAAAAAACACAGTCATCAAAACGTGACAGTATTAGAGCCTAACAACGAATATCAGACTTTGTTATGGGTTCATTCCGGAATCGCACGACCTCAGCAGGTGATATGGAGTTTTGACTCCACTGTTTTCGTGTCGCGTTTGGTGAGCAGTAGGTTATCAGGCAGACCTACTCTGCAGTCAAGGGATCCGGAGTTTTCCCCCTGTCTAGTGGGTAATGGCCGCAAGTCCGGTGATCAGTATCGGCTCATGAGAGGACATGCAAGTCTGAAACTCCGGGCCAGGAGCAGACGATGTTCCGTGTACTTGAGAATATCATCATGATGGCCAAGGTTAGATTACAAGGTTGGATTTCAAAGAATAGTTCTAATCACTGGTAGAACTGGTGTGATTAAGATAAAAGAAATGTTACGTAGACCCGCGGCCACCACCTAACAAATGAAACCGTAACTCTTAAGGGACCATTGATTGAAACAATTCCTTCTATCGCCTGCCTCTTTCATTCTTCAAATCTTAACTTCGTCCATCGCTCTCCGATCGATAACCTGTTTAGATCAAGCTCCATCAAAACAACACCACGCTTTTCTGTCGTAAAAGCAACCCTTCCCCCCTTGATCGTCAACCTATTGGTCTGATAGCCCGGGGGGAGCCAAAGAAAAGTGTCACAACCCCAAGTGATCCACCTTTCATGGGCAAGGACGCACTCGTGAGGTACTCCTTGTCGTGTTGGTAGTGACGCGCCTTTGTCTTGGAGCGACAACCGAGGAACAAGTAGATTTCCGACTTGAGATTCAATGCGAGAGCCATCGTCAGAAAATCGAAGTTTCTCGCCCGACAGCCGGCAATCCAGTGCCGCCAGTTTTTCCCCTTTTGGCCTCCAGAACTGCATCTCATCTCTAGACCCGAATGAAGCGTAGACTCCCAAAGTTTGAGTGCGTGAGATGGCCGCATTGAATCCAATCATCGCGTGGATCTCATGTATCTTCAGAGACCCAATCAATTCCCCATCGGAAGTGCTGCGGACGACATATTCCCATGGGCGATGGGAACCTCCGTATCCAAAGGCCGCAATCGACTCACTATTTTCAGCAAAGTTCACCTGTAAATACTGTAAATACTTTAAATACTGGTGAATATTCAACCACGTGTCGATGGTGAAGGCACAGATTTCTTGTCCTGTTGCCACTTTGACGAGATGTACCTGACAACGATCCACATTCAAGCGCGAAATGTATGATAAAAATTCGCCATTCGGAGAAAAGAGAATTTCGCGTATCAGGTCTTGGACTTTTATCCCCTCGAAAAGATGGGTCCCTTTGGAAATGTCCCACACGTGAATGGTTTCACTATTTTTTGATTGCCAGGCCACTCGGTCCTTGAGGGGCGAGAAGACGAGCCCGGAAACGTCCCCTTGCAAAAGAGACACACTATGCCATGTGCCTGTCTCGAAAATCGAGGTCTGGGATGAACCGACCATGGGTGGCAAAACTTGTTTGGACAGGTCACCACCCACGTTCCATTTCCAGAGCTCCCTCTTGCTTCCTCCTTGAACAAGAAGTAAATTGTCAGCTCCAGGAACAAACTGAAGGCCATAGACCGAGGCGAAATGGCTTTCCAGTCGCACTTCCTGGTCGCTAACGTCCCCGGAAGCAGTGCCGAGTGTCACAGCCCACAGATGAATTAGAGTCCCCCACGCTGGCATGGGGAATTGGGCTGGGATTGATGCCATGTATCGGCCATCTGGGGAAAGAGACAATTTTTCAGAACCCTTGGTGATGTCGAAGCGACCAACCTCCTTCCCTGTCGCCGTCAGGTGTAATCGAACGGGGCCCTTCTTTCAGCTGAGTAGCAATGTATCGAGCATTATTTGGCGAGAAAACAACTGACTTGATATCATCCCACTCCTCTTGACGAGCCAGAGAGAATCGGAAGGACTCTTGCCAGGTTTCAGTATCCCACTGCACAACAGTCCCACTGATTGCTGAAGCCAAGGTCTTTCCATCATCCAAAAATACGACGTCCCAGACCTTGTCCGTACCGACATGCAGGTCTTTCAACTCATCCGTAGCAACGTCCCATAATTGGATGCAATGTTGTCTGTGGTATATATTGACCACGATGGCCAATATTCGCCCATTTGGCGCGAACTGTATTGCGTGAGGTTCGCCCTTGAGGTCGCGCGTGCGTTTCTGAGAGCTGTCTGTAGTTGACCACAGCCCAAGACGACGAGCATTAACCGTTGCTGCAATCATATCGCCTTTGGGAGTAATCGCGATTACATCCAGGTCATGAAAGAAATGAGCTCCTTCGAATTTTACCGTGCGATTCGAACCGGGTTCCCAAACACAAAGGAATCCAAGCACCCCTCCAAGCGCAAGCTGTTTGCCGTCTTTCGAGAACGCGATGCAACGAATGGATTCGTAAAACTCGAGTCTCTGCAGTTCGACGCCTGTAGCAACATCCCATAGCTTCACGGGTCCAGTGTAGCCCCCTGACGCAAGCACCGTGCTATCTGGGGAAAATGCGAAGCTTAGATGGCTTTTTTCGGAGCCTCCCAAGACCAACAGCTCTGGGTTCCAAACCTGCCTCGGTGGGCTCACGACCTTGATCCACGGAGGGATAAACTATGAAAACTCTCTGCGTATGATGCTTCGCCCAGGACTGAAGAGAAGTGCGGACACGTAAATTTGCATTGGAGCCCTTTCAATGATCCAACGGTTCTCGTGTAGGAAAGGCCTTGCGTCTTCGACAAGCGCATGGAGGTCAGGACAATCAGCCTTCTGTGTTGTCAACTGTTAACAAAAGTCCTTTTCAGGATTGATACACGGGCAGTGAAATTAAATACCTCTGTCATCTTCTGGAGGCGATTCATCGCCAGAATCGCCACATGCATCTGCCTCATCAGACTGAGTGCCTCGAGCCAACCCAAGAACTTCTCCCGCAGGAACTTGTGGATGACCCAGATCGAGACCCTAAATATGATTCAAAGCTGGGTAGAAGATCCAGATACTCCCTTCGTATTCTAGCTTCATAGCTTAGCTAGTACGGGCAAGTCCAGTATCGCCCTAACCATTACTCAACGCCTTCAGCAACGGAAGCCTTTTACCACTTCAAAACCTCCGCATTCATCTCTCGTACTTAGAGCCAGTTAGTTCTTCAACAATAACAATAAGAGCCAAAGCTCAGGGACAAATCTTGTCACTACTATCGCGCGATACCTAGCATCTACTATACCCAGACTCAGGAGTCACATTTCGAAGGCGATCCAAGTCAGTCCCAATATCGACAACAAGAAACCTAGGGAGCAGCTTCGCTTACTCGTCCGCAATCCTCTCTTATCCCTTGACGAGGAGTTATCTTCGCCCACCCGGTTCCTCATCGTCATAGATGCTCTTAATGAGTATTCAAACGCCAGAAACATTCTTCAACTTCTTATGAACCTCAACCTCGGAAAGCCAAAGGTCCAAATGCGGATCCTGGTCACTAGCCGGAAGGAGACCTACATCTCCAAGTATTTCGAGACAATTCTTCAAGGCCTCTATCGTTCGGCCCATCTAGAAAGGATTAGCAGTCAGAATCATGTCAGGGATAGTCACAGCTTACACGCTACAGAGGAAGTCGAGGAGATCGGCATTAATAACATTTCCAAGTTTCTCAAACACATATTGTCAGGAATTACCGATACTCAGCAATGGCCCAAAGACTAATTAAACGTCGACAAAATTGAGAGGCTGAGGAAGATAGCAGGGGGCTTATTCCTATGTGCTTCTATAGCCTGCCGATTCCTTGACTATAAGCTGGACGAAGAAGATCTCGACGGCCGACTACAGCTTATTCTAGATGGCGACGATGAGTTCAGAGAGACTAATAGGCACCAAGTCCATATATTCAAGAAGATTCTGGAGTACCATCACGTCAGGCGAGATAGCAAAAGGCTAAAGAGAGAGAGACAGAAGGCAGCAGACGAGATCAGGTTAATTCTAAGAACCATCGCCATTCTATTCAGGCCGGTATCCATAGATTCACTGAGTCGCTTTATCTCGAAGGGAGAAAAAGACCTCAAACAGCAAGTCGCTGCATTCGGTGCCGTGGTCAACATTCCCGAGCAGGACAACGGTTCATTAACACTGATTCATCTCTCTTTCAGCGAGTTCCTTCTGAGCGATCAGTATCCATCTGATTTTCAGGTATATCCGGAAAAGGTCCATGAAAGAATGTTGGAAAAGTGCATCGACTTGATGAAGGCTGGTCTTTGTCAGGATATGTGCGACCTTCAACATCCGGGCGGCCGCGTCGAAGATCTAGCACCCGCGGTTGTCGACAGGTGCATTCCGCAGTACTTGCAGTATTGTTGCCATCACTGGATTGATCATCTGGAGAATATGACTGAGGGGAGACGCAACGGCTTTCTAGGGAATGATGGGGTGCCCTCGAGGTAACCACCGTGTTCTTCTACCTCTCGGGAGTCGAAGAGGGCGGCACCAACGCACGTTAGCTGTTCAAGTCGAGTATCATCTGCGATTTCCTACTCGAGTTTAGTGTGCTTCCCTCCAACACTCACAGGAGAATCAATACCGTCATCTGCTCACGAAGAGCCTTGACACCCTCTGAAATGGCCGGAAGCTCGGACAAGGCCATGTCGCTTCCGAGGGTAGTGAAGCCGCCCGATATCTTTGCGTTGGCGTTTTTTGCATCTTTCAGCATGTCATTCCACGCGTCTGCTTGCACGGCATCACGACCAGTACGGACAAGGGAGCCATGCTGATAGTGTACCAGAAGTCTGATCTGGTAACGAAGAGAGGTTGCATAAATGTTGACAATCTCCTGCTCCATCCTTTCTAGAAGAGAGGAGGTCGTTGGGTTGTGTCTGATACACGGTAAGTGAACTGTATTTCTGTAGGCCGGGAAGAGGATACGCGCTGTTCACTTTGGCGCAACTCGTTCAGCCTGTGCTCAACCACGTTGCTTTGCAGGGTAAGGAAGCAAATATCCTCGAACCCAGTGGCTGCATCTTCATCTTGCTGGAACACGTTTTGGAGAAACTAGATCATGATCAGCAGGGCAGTCCAATCTTGAAGGGCGACATTGAATACCGGTATTATCGCCATAGCACCACCCCAGGCCAAAGCAGCCGTCGGATCCGCGGACACGCCAGCTTTGACAAGGTCTTTGTACTTGACAATGAACTTGATGACTTCGTAAATCTTGTCTCGGACAACAACTTGTTTTCCCTGTCTGACAATGACGACTCGCTTCTCTGAAAGGTTGTCAAGCTCTTTCCTGACCCATTCCTGAATTAGACTCTGATTGGTTTTGGCTGCTTCGAGGTATGAGGTAGGTAGTGGTGTTTGTTTGATTCCTGTCCCGGCCATCTTGTTAGCTTGCTAGACCCAGCTTCATAATTATATCAACGCGTACCGCTCGCAGCAACGTTTGCGTGGGCAAGGACATATTTCTCATAATGGAGCAGTTTACTGTCAAAGTCCTCTTCTGTACACAGTTTGTTGTACGCCTGTTGCCATAGAGTGCGCCTCGAGATAGCATCGGAGCTCTCGGGGGCTGGATTGGAAGACTGCGCCTTTGTGTCGGCTGAAGCAAGTACAAGGGTGGGAGAAGCATCTTGGCCTCCAGAACCAGACCCAAGCTGATCAGGTACCTCATCCGTCGACTCAGGTGTTAGTTGGTTGGATGGTTCGGCTATAGCTCGGTTTGAGAGTTCCGACGTCAGTTGGATTGTCAAGTCTGCCTGGACTTGGTTCGTCGGCGCATGATGCTCATCAGCGAGATTAGGCTGATTAAAAAGCAAGCAAATAGTGATCCAAAGCCAGACATTGAACCATTCTTTACCGCATTTCCTGCCTCCGTAGCCGTTTTATCATGTGTGTTCAGTCGCCTCTTGATGCGGGTGGACATACGGCTCAAGTAGCGGTCCATGCTTGGCAACAAGCCGAGATACCAGGCTGGTAAGACACAATGAATAGGCAAACGGCGAAAGTTCAGACCATTGACTGCACCTGCTGGCTATTGTGAAGAGGCTGATCACGTAGAACGTAGGTTAGAAACTGTGAGGCAGTCTTTGGGCCGAGGCATATCTTCACCCAACCCTGTGCTTGGCCCTAAGCTTCTGCAGGACCTCAAGCGAAGCGCTGGGGGCTTGAAAATATGACTTTTATTGGTTAAAGTTAGTGTCAGGCTCTGTCAGCTCAGCCAAGATTGGGCCTCACATGTTAGCGAATACGAAGCCCTTCGCTGCCAGTCTGATTCGTCCTCTGTGCCATGCTGCATGGAGGTGATGGCTCTGGGACTTAGTCCAGGTCTACGGGCCATGCTCGAAGTGCTTCGTTGGTCAGATTCCATTAGAAGTTTCTGTAAACAAAGGAAGAGACTCTTTGTTGTTGGGTCTGCCCTCAAATGCCCTGTCTTCTGTCTCTCCGAATGTCTCATCACCTATGCTCCCCTACATTCACAAGTTCGCCCACGCTTATGCCGCTGGCGGGAGAACCGAGGAACGCGCTGAGCTGAGCCCCCTCGTCGCTACGACGCATCGCGTCTGGTGGGTCCCCCAGGTCCCGAATCCTATACTGTATCTCAGCCTAGCGTGTCCTTCGACGTCTAAAGGAGGCGGCTCTCAGCTACCCTATAGAACAACACACACATATGATGGCCATTGAATTCTCAACACCAAATTCACGCCTCATAGAACAAAGCTCCTAATTCGGGCCATATACTGCTTCTCTGACTTGGCCAGCAAGCCAGAAACAGGACAGTACAAGGGTGCCCGCAAGATTGGACGTATGATTAACCAAATACGCTACACTGAATATAAAAAGAAACAGGCGTCGTAAACACGATCTTTACTAATTGAAGGTTTTTGACCTACATAGTCCAGCACTATGACGACCGAAAGCGAATATCTAGCGTAGATCAGCAAGCTTAATTAACCCTTGAGTTTGAAGTTCAGGCTCCATCAAGAAAACCTCAGCGTAGCGAGACGCGAAAAAAGACGTTGAAGGTTGTGACTCAAGATCTTCAAAACCCATCGACCCTCCCTGATGAGAACCAGTTCAAATTGTCTCATCTAAACGACTGTGCGTTGCAAATACGTTGACGAGTGAATAGCGAAGCTCAATTTATCACACTTCGCATCCATTTGAGATCAAATGGGAATTAACGCGCACAGGTCCTCGCCTCGAGCGTTGATGAGCAAAACATCTTTCATGCTGCTCACAATATGGCATCACGGACGATATAATAGACATTTCCGCCGTTGGTTAGAAGCCGACGTTCTTCGGGCCTATCGTGGCTGGTCTCTCTGACCTGTTAGACAATAGAAAAGACTTGAACAAAATAATGGCTTGTCAAAATTGACCCCTTATCTCGGTACTTGTCCATGGTCATTCGGCAGCAGTGCCGACTTAACCGAATCCATGACCACGTCTCTTCTGCAGTCTATAATGCAGCCGAAGATTGCTAATCAGATATAAGCAACTCAGCTGGCCAACGACGACTCAAATTCGAGGCCAGCCCGGGCCAGACCAATAATTTTCGGGCACACTAACCCGTAATAGTCCATCATGTCCAAGTCTAGACCAGAAAGACATGAACTGCCGACGCTGAGAAACTCTATTACCCCGCAACCCCAGACACAGCAATCCTGGTTAGCCATTTCCCCTGATAACAGCTTCTTACAAGCATGTGCCCCAGACCATCGATCTACTTGCCGACAGGCTGTACCGAAACTCAAATAGCTTGGAGTTTCCCCGCTATCGACATAGTAAGAAGCCTCTTGACTGATTCTAGTCATCCGAGGTATCATGTCTGCCTCGGGGTGCCCTCACGACATGAAGAGACGGCAAGCAAATGATAGATTGAGCCTGTAGATAAATCAACAGTATTTGCATTTCATACGAGTAGTCGTAGCAACAGAAGTTGACAATTTGACTTGCGACTAATCTGGAATTTGCTTGCTGAATTTAATCAAGATGCAGAGTCAAACGGTTAGTGAAAGGTTGTCCTTTGCGAGAAGTCCCCAAGACTAATCTCTACCCTAACGGCACCAGGAACGTGAAAACGTTCAAGATGAACTCCAGATTGAGGTTCTTCCGGGAACCGAGATCATGACAGACATTGGCAAACACCGATTTGTCAAGACGGAGCAGACAAACCAAGTTCTCGTTCCACAGCCGTCCCAGGATCCCCATGACCCTCTCAACTGGAAGCCTCTGTGGAAGTTCTCCGCAATTGTCTCTGTATCAACCATGACTTTCACGCAGGGATTTGCTCCACTGGCATTGGCCCCGATGTTTCCTGACCTGATCAGAGATTATAACAGCAATCTCGAAGATGTTATCCAATTCACGGGTGTCACCATCTTGATCCTCGGATTCAGCAACTTTGTCTGGTCGGTTCTATGACGGTTCACACTACGACGATAAGTTACTGACGAAGGAGAAGGGCACCCATTTCTACTTCTTTCGGTCGTCGACCCGTGTACCTTGCATCCCAACTTATTTGCATGGCTTGTCATATAATCCGAGCAAAGGCTTCAACATACGGGACGTTTATGGGAGCTTGCGTGTATGGGTATCCCCAACGACATGTTTCCAGACGAATGCTGACAGCAGTTTCATACAGGCTTAACGGAATAGGAGCAGGTCCTTCCGAGATTCTCCAACCTGCTGTTATCGCCGACATCTTTTTTCTCCACGATCGAGGAACATGGAACGCGCTGTACTGGGTTGTTTATATGGGGTCACTCATGGTGGCACCCATCATTGCCGGCCCCATGGCGGACCGTACAGGCTGGCAAAACTTCTGGTGGCTGAATGTTGCCGTCACTGGACTTTCAATTATCCTTGGCATCTTTGGGTTCCCCGAAACCAAGTGGAATCGCATCGATTCGATCGAGGCTGAGCCGGACACCGATGTACAAGTGGGCGTTCCTACCCAAGACGGCAAGCATCCGGCCCCTGAAGGCGATGTTGAAAAGTCCACGGCTGCACCCGAACAGTCTCATGTGGAATCCGTTTTGGATCCGAGTCTGGGTAAGGGGGGCCCGTCGAAGCAGCAATGGTTGTTGTTCCAGCCCAACTCATCCCCCCTGAGAAGCATTCTGCTCGACCTCTGGACTCCGTGGAGACTTTTCGTGTACCCCATTGTTCTTTTTGCTTCTTTCGTTGTCAGCTGGAGTTGCAGCAACTTCCTGATCCTCAACCTCACACAGTCCCAGGTCTTTGCCGCTCCTCCATACAACATGAGCTCACAGTCCATAGGTATGCTTCAAAACTCACAAAGTCCCAAGCATTAGGGCAGCGGCTAACAAGAGACAGGATTCCTCAACTTTGCTATTCTTGTCGGCGCTTTGATTGGACTAGTCACTGCGGGACCATTCAGCGACTGGGTATCCGCCAAAGCAACCACCAGGAACGGCGGTATTCGTGAACCCGAGATGCGCTTGCCGGCCATGATTCCCTACGTGATCATTATGATCTTTGGCAATATCATCACGTCCATCGGATACGAGAAGCAGTGGCCATGGCCAGTCATTGTTGTGCTGGGCTATTCGTCGGCGGGCATACAGGTTGCCGCCCTGCCCAGTATTGCCAGTACCTATGCAGTGGACTGTTACAAGCCAGTGACAGGGTCACTCTTTGTTGCTATCACTGTAAACAAGAGTCTTTGGGGATATGGAATGGGTAGATTCATCACTCCATGGACCATCGAGGCAGGGTAAGGCAACACCTACATTCACAGAACAGCGATCAAAGCTAACAGATTCTGCAGGTTCATGCCCGCATTCATGACTAACATGGCACTCACGGTTTTATGGTGTGGCTTGGGAGCTGTCTTTTACTTCTATGGTAAGACTTTCAGGCGATGGACAAGTAACAGCAGCGTTCATCAGATGTGAGGTTCCTGCGAGGAGAACGGGAGGGCTTTTTCTAGTCTTGAAGTGATCGATTGCCGGAAGGACCAATGTCTTTATTCTTTTTCGCTACAAGCAGATTGACGCCGACATTCCGTTCTATAGCTTTAGTCTCATCTTCTCATGATTTTGCAGACTCGTCACCGTGATGCTCGTGGAAATTCATGCAACGATCTTCCCGCGGCTCGCTCTGGCAGTTCAAGAGCACCGGGCTTGAGCCCAGCATTGCATTGTTGGAGCCCGCCCGAGACCTCCAATCCAATGACCCATGATCATTGCCACCAGTAGACGGATGCCCCAACCTCTGCAGTACTGTTGGCCTTCATCCTTCCAACTGGAACCAAGTACACGGCGCTGTTGGAGCAGGCTCCGATAGTTGCATTGCTGACAAGGCGTCCAAGAAGACCGGGTTTTCTGTTTGTCCATCGGGTTAGCTCAAAGACGTACTAAGCGTCAAAGTAGCAACCGGCCATCTGGCAACCTACCTAGCCCAGTCAGTGTCCTGTGCCAAGTCCATCGGCTTTGTGAGATCGGGCGGAGGTTGCGCCGGCATCCCTCAGGTTTCCAACGTCGATGTCAAGCTCAGTGTCTTGACCTCCTCAGTGGGCGAAGATGAGACCACCACCGGCAAGGCAAAGCGTTAGATCAACCACGTGCTCCACTAAACCCGCGTCCTGTTTACTAGAGCTGAATTTAAGGCTATCTAAGGCAGTAGCGGAGACGGTTGCACTGCTCTGTCCATCTGGTGCGGCATCCGTTGCGCAGACTTCGTCAAGTACAAGAATCGGCAAATCTCACGAGGGAGGAAGAAGTTGTCAACCAGGTAGTCGGCGAACTCGTGTAGATCTGCCTGTAACTCTGCTCGATATGTTGAGTCCTGGAAGTCGATGTCCTCATGAGCTGATGGCGATAAATTGAGAGACTCAAATAAAGCAATGATCAGATTGCATTTAGACTCTTCACTGATGGAATATTCATAGGTGAATCGAATAAGCTTGATCCGGTCATATTTGTCGTCATTTTGTTTCATGTCATCGTTGTCAAAATGGTTGATGACTTGGTGAAACCGACGGGTAGCATAAGCACGGCCATCGGCTGAAAGAGATGGTCGTGAGGAAAAGTCAATTATGCCCTCGAGGGATGATCGATGACGATTAAGCGGAAGCGCGGGTGGCGCCATCGTATTTGACCTTGAGATTCTTTCTTTGTTGATGAAATCGGCGAGTCTGTCGAAGGCCAGCCAAATGTACCTGGGTTTAGCCCTGATGTGGCAGGCGGTGACAGCGATACGGCGATAAGGCGGCAGAATTCTAGTGCGTCGTATAGTCACGTGATGAAAGGTCAGTGTGGACTGGACGTAAGATGACTGAAATCTCAAAACAGTCCAGTGTAAGTGACTTGAACATCGGTTTAGTGCTCGCTGAGAGAGAGGCTGGTATTGGAAGGGTCACCTCGCGGAGACGTGATGACCAAGCAGTGCTAATTTCAACTCGAGATCTACAGGTATCATCAATTCAGTGTAAGAACAGTGGACGGCGAGCTTTGCGCTTGAGCTTCAAGAATAGAGGGAACTAGATTTTATTCCTCCAGAACACAATTTTTACCTAGTTATGCATTATTACTTGTTATTTAATAGCAATACACTATGAGTTCATCGTTGACTGAAACTCATCAAAATTAAGCAAAGGGATAGAGAGCCCATCACAGGAACGGAAGAGATATGGCTCATGGTTCTCCGCCTTCCGCACGATTTCCTCAAGCTGCTTGCCAACGCCCTCAGCCCATGCGCGGTCCTCCACTTTGGGCTGAAGCATTTGATCCTTGATGAGACTGAGAAGGGTTGCCAATGCAGTATCCCCCTTGCAGCGTGTGTCATTCTGGAGTCTCTCTATCGTCCAAGACACAAGTTGGTGAACTATAGCAACCTTGGCGGCTTTGTCGGTGACTTCGTATAGAGGGACCGAAGAATTGGTAGAGGATGTGCCATAACGCCCTCTTGTCCGAGCAAATCCCTCAATGGCCTTGGGGCCATGCAACAACCAGATTGAGAACTCTAAGAAAACGCAGCCCAGAGACCAGATGTCGTATCTGCGGGACCTCGGCTGCGGGTTCTTTTTATCGGCATCCTCAAATTCCACTTCTGGAGCCTGGTATGAAGGTGTGAGGAAGAGACTTGTCGTCGCCGACTTTCTGTACATGGTCGGGGCGTCATGGATCCTTGAAATGCCAAAGTCGGCGATTTTCAAGACTGGCTTGCCACCATCTGTGATGCAGAGGATGTTGATAGGCTTAAGGTCACCATGGCGACACTGAAAGCTAGCATGGAGCAGGTGAAGAGCCTTGGCGAGACCCAGCATTTGTTTCATGGACCAAAGAGCGCACTCCCAAGTGGTTTCTGGTTCTGTAGCCTCCCAGAACTCCTGGAGGTTTCCGCGATCAGCCCATGGGAAGACGATGTACCCTTTTTTGCCTCTCTCGATGCTGACCAGATGTCGGATGATGTGGCGATCCTTAAGAGTTTTGATCTGCTGCAAGATCTTGTCCTCCGTGGTGAAATCATCCATACGATGAAACTGTTTTACCGCAACTTGAAGTCTAGCCGTCTCCGCCTATAAAATTTCAGTGTCCGGCAAGATAGAGTTATAGTCTAGAACATAAAGGCCTACCTCGAATCCTCGCTGTTGTGCTGGATGAACAGTTGCCTGATAGACAACGCCAGCCGCGCCGCTTCCAATAATGTCGGTCTTCGTGAACGGCAGAGGTGATTCTTGGTTGACGTTAATGAGCCTGCCAGTGGTATCCAGAATGGGCGCTAGAAACGGCCATTGTTGTTTTACAAAGAGGTTGACCGAGGCGGGTTTCCAACCTGTGAAGGGGAATTCGACTCCATCCCATGATACGAGGGCCTCATGATCCGGGCTCCGGGAGAGCGGGAGATGCTCATCTGTGAGGCCTTCATCAAGCAACCCCTGTATGGCGGTAGCCCTGTCCAGGAGTACCAGGATCGCAAAAACCTTCCGAGCTTGCGCTGTTATCCTGCTAGATACATCGGGCCGCGCGATACTTGGCAAGATTCGGGCGAGAAAACTGTTTGTTCGGCTCAACTCGGATGCGACATTTGGCTTGGTTATCGCCTTCTCTAGAGCGTCGAGGGGTACAAACTCTTTCCCATCAAGATCAGAAGAGATAGGCCGTAACTGGCTATCTAGCGATGACGAGCGCGGCATTTCTACTGTTCGTGATAAGAATGCTAATTTCTGGCAGACGACTTGACTGGGAAAACGAAACGGCGATGGCATGAGCTGATAAGTCCATGGGACAACGAGGCAAGTCAAAGGAGCAAGCCGGAGGGGCAGGCCAGGGACCCCCAAGATTCACCCTGATGCGGCTCTACGCGTAGGGCTTTAAGGCGGAGTAACCCAAGTAGAGGGTCCAATCAATAGGAAGGCAGGAAGAAAGCCAAGAGGAAGTCGTGTGTACGAACGGCCGGCCGGGCTTGCTTATGCCCAGCTGAACTCGCCCGACTTGGCTGAATAAATCCCCCTTGGCCTGGTGCGCGAATTTCCAAGCAGAGATGCCATTGGAGGAGCCCCCACAGTGTAGCCGGTGGAGGGTTACCTTGGTCGTAAGGAAGCTGATGTCTTTGCACTTTCAAGCTTCTCAATGTATGGAGGGCCTCATAAGCGAAGACACCACCACCATTCTACTGCATTAAACGGCCAATCACGCACCTTTACTCTACATACATGATGGTGCATGGCGTTCATCGCTCGTGACATATCAGGCCATTCTTGGTTACCGGGGGGTTGAATTGCGACATAACAAGTTGTACACTCTAACTTCTACAGCAGACCAGGGGTCACTGCTATCTTGCCGACCAGTATCAAGGAGACTTGGATGATTTCGGCTCGAGTTATTTGAACTGGTGCGTATTCGCATGTCACGCCATCCTCTGGCTCGCTGTCAACTCCCCTGGGCACCTACCTCCTTTCACTCAACCTCACCTATCCAAGGCGAACTAGTAACGCCTTGTAACATTGACTTTCAATTTTGTCATGCCCCTTTTGTCTATCATCGCCTCGAGAATTTGCAACCCATCACAGGTATCACTCGTTGCTTCTCCATCGCCGAAAATCCCCCCCAGCACTGATTCGGATATCTCCTCTCCCGACGGACTCGCAGCTTCTCGCCCCGGCTATGAACCCGTGAAAAGCTCTAGTCTAATCACGAGTAGACCCATTCGAGACGAGTTCCAATCGCCAAGGAGGCGGCGCACGTTTCCTAGCACTGCTCAAGTCGGTCGACGTTTCAGTGGTCTGCCCCTAGTACGCACAGCTACTGGAACGTTGCTGGGCCGCAGACGCACCAATCCCACTGTCACTGAAATTTATCCTAGAGGCCCGTGGACCAGCAGCATCAAGATGGCGGCTACTTCATATGATCACATCAGAACGCGTATCGAGAATGAGATGTTGGAGCGGCATAACGACAACGATGAGTTCAGGGAGTGGATCCCGCTATCCTGGTGCATAGACCTACTTAATACTGAGGAGGATGTCAGGGCTGCTCTCGATGACAGCGAGGCGAAATGGAAGGGCTGCACTTCGCGCTTGGCAAAATTCGTGCGAGACCGCGCGCCATGTTTGTTTGTGATGCTCGTCTACTCGAGCATGGTAGAGTTGCTCGAGCAATTCTACGAAAAAGACATCGGCGACGCGTGCTTCCCTCTCGAAGTCACACTAAAACGAGCCAATGGCAGTATTGAGGGAATCACGGATGGCGAGGTTAAGCTCCGGTTTCCTCGCGGGACCACGTCCAAGGAAGCTAAGAGTCTCTTTTCTGATGACCAATGGCTGTTTTTCGCTCCCAAGCTGTGTTGGACTGCGTTCGATGATCCGCCCCTTGGTTCCAAGCACAAGTTGCCTTTCATCACAGCCCCTGAGAAATTCAGCGGCACCGAGTTCAGTATCGTCTACAAGACAACCATTCACCGCGACTATGTTGATATGGAGTTGTGTGACCTTGTAAGTGCTCAACTGCCGTCTCGTCTGTTTCCCTGGTAGCTGACACTTGCATGCCAGGAGATTGCATCCGACGCGAAAGACCATCCCTACGTTGCTCTCAAGAAATTGCTACCTAATAGCCTGACTGAAGACGCCTTCAAATCTGTCGTCAAAGCGGAGCATGAGACGCTGACCATGCTCCGAAAGTTGTCAGCCAAACACCTGATCAAGGCGACCGCATTCTACAGGCGTGACGGTGACCTATTCTTTGTCTTTCCGTGGGCGCAGCATGGCAATCTCCGCAAATTCTGGGCCGAGAAGATACCTGCAATCTGCGATCAAAACTATATGAGATGGGTCTTCAGCCAGCTTCATGGTCTGGCCGATGCTATTCGGACTTTGCATCACGCAGAAGACGGTCGAATGTGTCGCCACGGCGACCTTAAACCCGAGAATATCCTCTGCTTTAATTCATCCGCCGATCCCGGGGTGCCCAAGGATCACACCTCTTGCGTTCTCGTCATATCTGACGTTGGTCTTTCAAGAACCCACGACAAGTCAACGCAGTTTCGTTCCAAGACGAAGATGGTTGGTGGAGAAACTATAGCTTACGCAGCCCCAGAGACGGAACTCTATCCAGACCGCGCTACTTCACGCCGCTACGACATATGGTCACTGGGTTGTCTCTATCTGGAGTTCGTCATTTGGCTTCTGTATGGCATTGAGGAGCTAGATCGCTTCGGCAGAGAGATCCACGGCAAGTTCTACACCATCATGGATCGCCCTGAGACCCTCCAGGTTAGCAGGATGCAACAAGCCAAAGTCAATCCAGAGGTCGATAGGTGGATCGAGAACATCAAGAAGGACCCGAGGTGTACCACAGCCGGTGGATCCAAGCAAACGGCCGTCTCTCTTGTGGTTGATCTCGTCAAGGAGCGGCTCCTCGTCACCGCCGCAAACCCTGACCCTAGGGATCCAGATCCCGAGGGGACTCAAACTGTATCTGACTCTGGGGACCAGTCGGATGATGATGGTTTCCACCTGATGGTCAGAGCTCCGACCAAAATCGGAGAGGGCTTTCTAAACTCGAGGGCGCCAGACGCAGGCAAGGATGAGCGGGCATTTGCCCTAGAAGTGTGCGACAAGTTGGACGCCATTATTCAGGATGCTCAAAATGGCGATATTGAATGGATCAACCTCGACCAGCACGCAGCGGAGTCGATTCCTCACTCCGGGCCCGAGTCTGTTACAGACACCGCCTCTTTCCACAGAGACACCACCAGCAGGAGCAGAGAAGTGAGTACAATACCATGCCTATTTATTGGTCGCTCACCTTTCTGACATGACATTTCCAGTATGTAAGCTCGGTCGATGATAATGGGGTGAGACTTTAAGCGGTATTTGGACTAATACACACCTCTCTCCAATAGAAGGCAAGTGATGGCCCCCATCTAGACGGAACACAATGCCGGTTAATGTGGCTCCATGTTGTTATGGCCGTTGTTGTTAATCAACTATAACAGTTCGTGAGTTGCACCGACGCTGATAAAACATCACGACCCTCTCAAGTTGATGAATCTAGCTAACTCCGAGCCTTCAGCCAGTACGTAAAACCTGACCTCAGTTCTCTCTTCACTCATAGCCAGAGATGACAGTTTCCTGATTTGTTTCTTCCAACGCAGAAAGTACGTTTACGTTCTGCTCTAGAACTAAACTTGGAGCGTCTGCTAACGTGAGTAACAACCAACATCAGCTCGATGACAGATGGGAGTACATTCCGGACGAGGACGCAGCAGAGAGACTCCGAACTAGCCTTAGCCAGCTGCATCAACCTACCAAGCCGTCAGAACTGTGCGGTCGTTGCAGTGGGCTATCGATTTGGTCTCGGGAGTGCAGCTTCGATGACACGGCGGCCAACCTGGGCAGGAACTCACCTCGATGTGCCCTATGTCGACTACTATCTCGATCCCTTATGAACTGGGCCACTCTCCCTGATGACAACTTGCACTTCTTCCGGGTTGGCTCATCCCTAAAGTTCAACAACAAACGACTGCCACCGATTGTTTCGCTCTACACCCTGCCTAGTAGGTTTCTTGTTCTGTTTTTTTTCTCTCCTCCCTCTCTCTTCTATTCTTTTTATTAAAACAATCATGTTTTTCGTCACTAATTGATACCGATGCTTTTATCCCAGTAGCCACAGAAAAGTCAGCCGGGCCTCATGATTCCCTCGAGGCCGACATTCAGCTCGGGTTTCCCGAACTCCCTGATGCTGGCAGTCCGACGCACATAGAGGTGCTTCGTGAGTGGATCCGGGACTGCGACATGCATCAGTGTCTCCATTCTCAGGATGAACCTTTCTTACCGACCAGGCTTCTTGACGTTGGGGAGCACGGCACCAAACGGTCTCGTCTGATCTGTGACACCGCCACCCTCCCCAAGAATGCTAAATATCTAGCCTTGTCCCATAGATGGGGTTCGCATCCCAAGCCTGGTGTGTCCAATCCCCTGAAGGGTAAGATTGTCTGCACGTACGAGAAGAATATCAACGCTCTGAAGCAGGGTATCGATGACACGGATCTTCCACCAACGTATCAAAATGGCATCACCATTGCTAGAGAGCTTGGAGTGCAGTTCATCTGGATTGACTCGCTCTGCATCATCCAGCAAGACAAAAGCGACCCACTGGACAAGGACAAGGGCGACGATTGGAAAAAGGAGGCCGAGCAGATGGAACGCGTCTTCCGCTCGGCATATGCCACTATTGCTGCCAGTTGCGCTAGCTCGCCAGCAGAACCGTTTCTCAAGCCTCACCCAGAGAGACAGTGCGTCAAGATGCAAACAGGCAATACATCCTACTACTTATGCGACGCCATCGATGACTTCTCCGAGGACGTGGAGCAAGGAGAACTGAACAAGAGGGGATGGGTTCTACAAGAGCGAGCTCTCTCCCGCCGAACAATCTACTTCACCGAGAAGCAGACGTATTGGGAATGTGGTGAGGGTGTGCGGTGCGAGACGCTGACAAAGACGAAGAAGTAAGTTATCCATACGTATGACATGATGAGATGAAAGAAGAGGGCCTCTTGACATTGCCACCAAGAGAGTAAGCATTGTGCACTAACAATCTCTCACAGCTCCAAGGCATCCTTCCTTGGCGATGCCAATTTTCCCCATTCCTTCCCGGATTACGTCAAAGGGAAGAAGATCAAGTTGTACCAGGACCTCTACGAGCGATACTCCAAGCTAGCACTCTCGTACCCCACGGACCGCCCCATCGCCATCAGAGGCCTAGAAAGGCGGCTGCGAAACGTCCTGGGCACCAAGGCCGGATACGGTGTCTTCGATGTTTACCTGCGTCGAGGCTTGCTGTGGCAGCGGGAGCAGGCCAGTTTACAGCGTATCGACTTTTCCGGCGGGGACGAATCAGTCCCATCATGGTCCTGGATGGCCTACGCCGGGGGCATCCGGTACATGAACGTACCGCTCGGGGGGGTGGAATGGGGGCGATGGGAGAATGATGTCGTCTCACCTTGGAACGACGATAGTGACGTACAAGACGGTGGCAAAGCCCCAAAATCTGCACTCAAAGTTCTTGTGCGTGATATTTTGGTGTCTGTTATCGAACCTTCAGCGCGCGTCTTCCTAGACGAACCGAGTCGCACATTTGGCCGTCCTTTCAAGTGCGTCATCGTTGGCTCCAGCAAGTCAAGCCAAGGCCAAGTCGATATTCGGAAAACGTATTATGCCTTGGTTGTGACGCCTCTTTCCGGGCAAGAAGAGAGGAACGTTTATGAGAGGGCCGGGGTTGCCTTTTTTCATGGATATCAAATTGTATGGGACAATCCTGGGAAAGAAGGCTACATTTACTAGAAGTGTAGATACTAGATGGCTTCCTTTCTAGCCTACAATATAGGATGATTCGGCCATTAGCTCTGGTGGTGAAATGCGACCGGGTGTGGGTGCTGTTGGCTACAACAAGGGCCGACAATCAACGGATCCCTTGGGAAAAGACGTCGCCGGATCTGTCTTGAGCTGCGGCTGCGGACATGCTCAAAGTAGCATAAGTGTAGACTTGTATTACTATGACGTTATGATGTGCTGATATTGTGTTTTTCAATGTAGTCAAAGCCCGGCCCTTGATGAGGTAACCGAGCCAGAAGGCCGAGCGTAGATTTGGTCCATATACATTATCTCTGTAGACCTTTCGGCATCATCTTATTAGTTGATGCAAAGAGCATCGATCCATAGGTATCGGCAACCAAGGCAGCGAGCGGCACGTATAGACTCTCGGAATGTTGCGGCTGTGGGACTTTGGAAAAGTTGGGGATCGATGGACCTAGAGAACTTGGCCAGGTTTTCCTTTGTTAGCTTGATCACGGGCGATCTGCCCCAGCAGTGACTGAGCGTTAGGTATGGTGTGTCCGGGGAGAGCGGCAGTTAAGCAGGGCTTCAACTGAGGCATGTGTGCCAGAGATAACAGATTCGTGTCGTTTGTTTCATCAACTCGAGACGTTTGCCGGTGCAGGTCGCCGGCAGGGTCGAGGTCGAAAAGCCTAAGAGGCAAACGTTGGGGCGCCGAACCTCTTGCCTATTCAGCCCTTGGAGCTTTTTACAACTCTGAAGGGAGTCCAAGCACGCTGTTAGTCACGCTAAATATGGGCGTCTCAGCAATTAGACACGGCTCTGCTGAGAGATTTCTCTAACTCTGCCGCGTGTCTTAGCACGCTGTTAGTCACTCTCAGTGTAGGCGCCTGCGCGAGTCGGCCATCCAGGTTACAGGTATCTAGCTGCGGCGAATAATGGCCAGGCTTTTCGGTGGTCTCACTGACAAAAAGAGTGTGAACGACCGACGTACCATCCACAGAATTCACAGCCATCATTCACATATTTATACCTCAGCGTGAGCCCTAGGGTTTTGTAGCATTCTTAGACAATTACGACAAGACACCTGGAGACCTATTCAAACAAGCAACAACACCATGTGTGATATTCTAGTCGAGGTCAGGAAGTTCCGGTGTGGGAGGGTCAATAAAAGCGTTGAAATCGGCTTTGAGGCATGCGCTTTTCCAGACGGCACCGGCCACACAACAGGTCGGCTCGTTGTGTCTGAGGTGATCACCCAGGCAAAGTGCCGCAGCATACGTTGGTGCACCGCGTGTCACCCTCGCCGTGGGCATAATTAGGGTCGGCGTTTTGACCCAGTTATCCCATCAAGGGGCGGACTTGGACCATCAGAGCATATATCCCAATGCTAACACGGTGGTGGTATCATGAGGTATCAGATATGAAGATAGCGCCCATTGAATAAATTTGGTTACTTGCTGTCCTGCTCTCCTTGGTCTCGAGGCTATTGCTGCTTCACCTTGGAAAAACCGCTCGTAGCCAAAGTTCGCGAGGCAGTTCTGCACCTACTTCGTGGAGTTTTAACGAAGTTATCAAGAGCGCCTGGATCAATCCGGCAGGGAACATCATGCCTGTCAAGAATATATGGAATCCCAATCTATTTCAAGCATGAGATGCAAAACATCATGTCAGAGATGGAGTGACGCAAACCTGCTCGCCGTCATCTTAGTTGTCGTTAGTTGTCGTAGTAGAACTCGAAGGAGCCGCCAAAAAGTCGGTTCTCAAACCAGTGGCCTGATTCTGCCTAAAGGAGCCCACCGCCATCATCAAAGTATCCATGATTCAGGTCTCTGACATTTAGGGGAGTGTAAGACACGTCATTTTTGGAAACGGTTGTTGGTGACAATCGTTGGTTGCTTCGGTGCTGGCCATGGCTCTAGTCAGGTTTCTATTGATAGCACCTTGCTGCCAGCCTCTCCAACGTTCCAAGCGGTAAGCTGACCAACAGAATTGTCACGATGCTCTCATGGCGCGATCATGCGTGCCCAAGCCAATGGGCGAGTCGGGAAAAGCGCGCGCTTGGATAACACCTTTTAGTCGGCTGATGGCACTTTCATCATCAAACCCATCCGCCATCAATACAGAAATCCACGGCGAATACCCCAGGACTTCGTCGGGACCTGGGCCTATCTCTCTCATCCACCTTTCCTCATCCTCTACAATGTCTTCCATAAGCTCACCAGAAAGCGCATCGGGTAGTATCGATGCGCTTGACGAAGGCCATAGGCACATATTCACCAATGCCATCATGAACATTCTAGCAACAGATCTCGCCGAGTTCACATATGCTCAAATTCTTGATGGCTTACCGACCGAGAAATCTGTTCGGACCGGCTTCCACTTTATGCATGATCACCCTGTTTTTACACTGCGCCACGAAAATCTTTGTGAGGGCTATTTAGACAAGGCTCGGAAGTTCAGAGCTCGCTTTGATGCTTCTGAACTTTCGTTCGAGCCGTTGGTGAGACTTACCCACTTTTCATCGCTGCACACTCGACTTTGTCTAACTAGCCAGTCCTTAGCTGTTAGAAGCTTTTCGAAAAACACAACCTGGTTCAAAAGAATGTAATTTGCGGCTTATCGAACTGGCTGTCCTTGCCTGTCACCAGATAGCTGTCTTCCTCTATGAGTTAGATGACGGCGCCCACAAGCATGAGGCTCATCAAACATGGCTAGACATGGTCAGCCGAGAGCCGAAGGGCCAGAGTCCGCCGAGGTACTACATCCCGCCTGCTACAATATTCGTCCACCGCGCATATCGCTCTGCAGAGCGATATCCTAGGGGCGCTGCCGATGTGGCCGGATACTGGGCTGAAGGCCAAATATTTGGCGGCGTGGTTTGGTTTGAACGGGGCGAGACGGATCGTGAAGTATGCCAATATTCCCCATCATTCTACTGCTAGCAATGGCCTCTGGTGCTGACCCTCTCTTAAGTGCAAAGGTGTATGGATTCACGGGGCCAGCCTACGTAGTCCTCGCACCCTCTACCCACCAACACAAAAGCAACTGGATTCCCTCATCTCGTTCCTCCTATCCAAACCAGACGAAAATTCTGTCTGCCCGCTACCTATTCACGGAACTCCTGAAAACCGACCACGCTGGGATCCATATGAAGCTCAGAGCCGTTTCCACATTTTTCGAGATAAGAACCTGCTGAGTCCACCGATACAATCTCCCGGACGGAGCTGCACCAGCGTTAAAGCCAGCGACTGGCCTGAAGTCGGCGACGAGATGATCTGGGTGCAGCAGAATCAGCTGAGAGAATGGGGTGAGCCATATGATGCAAAGGTGATGGCTGCAGCTGAGGAAGGGATGAAGCTCATCACACCCACGTCGCCCCTCTACCAACAGCCTTGATTAGATATTATTTTAGTACTATATCTGAAGACTATATAGCATTGCGATTTACCAAACATGTTAGATTCAATGATCCATTACCTCAACTTTCTCCCGATATGCACTTTTGAGCGCAGACAACCGTCAGAGCGTATCCCATAGTCTGTTCCAGGGGCGATGTAAGTCAACCAGGATCTAGAACTAAAGAATTCGTACAATAGCCCTCGGCCAAGGAAGAGAACGATTTCGCTCGCTGAGATTGCTGGCGGCACTGTCTGTCGGTGAAAAAAACAGGCGGGGGTGTGATTGTAGATGTCTTTGTCATGAGTGCCCAGGATCTGTCCCAAGGCGAGCACCATATACCAATGCGACAGGGTGATGAGATCAGGGACTTGTATCAAGGCTCGGGTTATTTGGCCCTAGTTCAGCAAGCTGATGAGTGAAATCTCCCGCGAGATTGTGCTGAAGCAAATGATTCCTTGACGAGAAGAGCCCTGGTCCCTCCAAGGCCGACCAGAAGTGTTTGATGAGGCAGGGCAATCTCGATCCAGGAAATAACAAAAAATAAAGAAATTTTAATGACATTTACAGAAGTGGATAGAGATGCTGCTGCAGGGTAAGTTCGTCGAGCTTGAGTCATCCTCGAAACCATTCAAGGAAGCATGTGCGTGGCTATCAACCGTGCTCAGGCCGTGGGGTTAGATTAAGGCTAAACACTCCTAAAAACTTGTAAAGGAAAGAAAAGCTTAATCCTCTATTGCAGTGCTGGGAAGATGTCAATAGTGCAAAAGAAAATCTGTCGCTTTCACGATCCGATTGATATCGGTAAAGTTGCCTTTTTCGGAACATTACCAAATTGGGGTTAGGGCGGTCGGAATAACGTCGGCGTTTCGCGTTACCCCGCCAATCCTATCAAAACATCTCCCAACGCACGTCATCAATCGCTGATGCACCACGACAATACCAGAGCGATTGACCTTGTTCAGCTTGAAATGCCCAAATAATGTCAAACTACGATGTTAAAGAGTGGCTCCGTGGTATTCCCTCTGATAAATCCCTCTCCAGGCACCATTCGCGCTCAACACTCAAGCGACGCCGCCCTCTGACTCCCGAGTCAACTGATGACGAAGAGCTGGCTGGGGGATCCAAGAAGAAACGTCATGAAGATTTGGACCAAACGCCGAAAGCAAAGAAGTTACAGACTATAGGGTCTGAGTCAGAATATTCCCTCAGCACTCGGTCCTCAGTCTCCCGCAAGTCCGGCAGCAAATCACCACAGAAACAATTCAACGCTCTAGGTCGCCTTGATAGAGGCATCGAAATCCGCGAACTGTCCCTTCTTCGGAATTCGTCCCCTGACCTCAAAGATTTTTTGAATACTATGCGCCGGGTGGCTCGTGGCCAGGGAATATTGCCGCTGTCCATGAGAACGCTTATCGGACAGAGTCAGGATGACAGTGTCACCGAGCTCGACTCAGATTTCTATTTCTCCCAAGACAGAGATGAGCTTGGGTGTACCCCCAGTCTAGAGGATGTCAACGACATACTTCAGGCTGCTGCAGAGTGCCAGGGAAACTTTCATGCAGAGCCGGGCTGGAATATGCTGGTGCACAGCGAGGTCCTGCGGCTTGCTTTTAGACCAGCCGGCCTGCCAAAGTTTGAGCACATGGTGAATTTCATGCCTTGGTAAGTTTTGAGGGCTTTGGTCTCAAGATCGCAAACTAACTTGCTTCGGGAAGCTCTACTGCAGGCCTCATTGATACGTATCTGCCGTCGTCTAGCGTGTCTAAGAAGGTTGACTTCTGTGTTTACATCGACCCTGCCCACGACGACGACAACCCGCCCGCAGAGTCGCAGTCAGCTGTCCTGAATAGTCGAGACCAGCTACCTGATGGAGTCATCAATCATACCGACTATTACCCCCTCCGCGACCGACCTGTTGCACTGAGCATCGAGACTAAGAGAACGGGCGAGGGCTGGGATGGTGCCACGCTGCAGCTGAGTGTTTGGCAAGCAGCACACTGGAGGCTCTTGGACCTACTTAACAGTGACCGAGAAGATGAACCTGCACCTTTGCCAGGCTTTTTGCCCGGAATCATCATCCAGGGCCATGGCTGGTATCTCGTCATTGCAACGAGGGAAAACATGAAGACGGTATGCTGGAACAAAATCAACATCGGCTCTACCGACAGCGTTATAGGTGTCTACCAAATCATCTGTGGCCTTCAAATCCTTCGTAGATGGGCGAGGGATTCTTACTGGCCTTCCTTTCGACGAATAATTCTTCCCATGCCGACATGAGATGGAGACGGTTTCGTCAAAACAATCACCAACACACCCGATCAGCAAGCAACGATGCAGGCGCAGGAACGCGGCATCCCATGAACCATGACTCTACTTGAGAAGACACGTTGACACATGTCAGGATCATGAGCTGGGCAAGCCCATCCGCCCCGGCATGTTCATCCACATCCACCAGCCCAGGCTTACCAGGCGTATGCCAACCCGACCCGAGGAAGCAAGGTGCCAGACAGCCCGGGGCTAGTGGTATGAAACGATGATTAGAATTCATCGTAAAATTTAAAGAAGAGGATGCATAATTAGTCAGTCCACAACTTGACTAGCATTAACCAAACCCCGAGTCCGTGATCGGACGAGAGCGTGGACTAAGGGCCAAAAGCCTGTATACAGAAAGTAGCATCATCGAACTGAATCTTTCGCTTTTCGAGCAGTGTCACATCTTATGTCTTACTGATCTTTTCTGAATGTTCGTGACGCTGGCCTTCTGTTTTCACTTCACATCAGTGTTGCCTCCTGGGGCTTGTTCTTCAACCCTACCAACATCCCTGACAAATCTCGTCAGAGACTGGGTAGTGAGTCTCATGATTAACCTGGCAAGCAAGCCAAAGAAAGCTCTCTCTTCGCGGACCAAGACATTCGGGCCTCAACCTCTTATCCTATTATCTGCGCCATGAAAATAGGAGCGTCTTGTCCATCGAACTGTAAGAAAACTACGTCGTGGCGCACACCTGAGGTAAGTGGCGTCGAGTAAGCCAGAAAGTAAGCATTCCCAACGCTAAACCCAAGTAGATTTCATACGCTGGCCTAATCTTAGTCAGATTTGCCTGTCAGCATTCCATCTTTTCACACAGCGTGAATCTTAAGCTGACGACTCAACTCAAGTGATCTACAGACTGTAGTATTTAGCTGCGTGAAATCTCATCTAATTCGAAGATATCGTCGGCGGCTGTCCCGTCCAAGAGCAATAATGCAGACCCTCCGGAAACTCGTTCTCGGGCAAACTCGTCGGCCACCAAATTATCCAACAGTCCCAACCGACACAGTGTTTCTCGTCCATTACTTTGATGGCACACCCCTCTATCAGAACAGCATTCATTGTTGGACGCTCAGATTCAATGATGTGCTTGACACGGACATGCTCCATTCATCATTGGCCAAAGTTCTGGCACGACCTGGATGGAAGAAACTAGGAGGACGCATTCGGATGACTGTTGGTTCCCATGGCACGAACCTTTGGTTGATAATGGTCACTGATATACGACAGGATAAAGAAAAACTGGAGATTCATGTTCCAGAATCCTTTACTGCAGAACGCCCAGCGCTGAATTTCCATCATGATTCATTTGACGTCAGTATAGATGAACACCCCTTGGCATCTACACTTCCCCAAGCTACCCCGGGTCGACCGTCAGTACAAATTGGGCCTTCAACATTCAGGGTTTTTGGAGTACCTCCAGGGACTCCAGTCTGCCTCGAGGACTACCTCCAGTCCGATAGTCCACAGTTGACGCTCCATATCGTGTCCTTCACTGATGCAACTTTGGTCTCACTGTGCTGGCCTCATATCGCTGTCGATGCGATGAGCCTTCGCGATATCAGTGTCGCCTGGAGTCTTGTGCTTGCGGGGCGGGAGTCTGACGTTCCTCCAATGCTATCCGCCGACGAAGATCCCATGGCTCGAGCTGGTTTCGATCCTGCCTTCAACGAGCCACACGCACTCCAAAACCGTTGGGTCATGGGCTTGTGGGCTTTCTTCTGGGCATTCCGCTTCATCCTGGATCTGTTATTATGGCGCAGAATGGAAACAAGAACACTCTTTCTGCCCCGCAAAACTGTTCAAGAACTAAAGACTCGGGCTCTATCTTGTCTTTCGACAACTTCGTCCCCGGCCCCATTTATTAGCGATGGTGACACCATTGCAGCTTGGTTGTCAGTGATGGCGACAGCGGCCATATTTCCACCAAGTTCGACCCGAACAATTAGCATCGGCAATGCGTTTGATCTCCGGACGCGTGCACCATCACTTTTCCCTGTCAGGCCAAACGAAGGTTCTTATGTGCAGAACGCCCTGTTTGCCTTTTGGACTTTATTCCCCGCTGGTTACATGGCCAGCAACAAGCAAAATGCTATTGGGCCTGTCGCACAGGCTATGCGGAAGGCTATCGAAGAGCAGACAACGGAAGCTTCCATCCATACTCTAGCTCGTCTCTCGCGAGAGTCTCTGGAATTTTGTGGTGTACCTCCGCTTTTTGGAGACACCAGCTCTTTTGTGATCAATTTGACCAACTGGACAAAATCCCGCCTCTTCGAAGTTCCCGATTTCGGACCAGCAATCGTCGCCAGTTCAAAGAAGGGTGGCGGCCAAAGTTCTACTACAAAGGAAGAACAGCCTAGATCAGTAAACAGAGGTCGTCCTGTCTACTATCACGTTCAGGGGGTTAGCCCGAACAACATGCTGGAAAGGAATGGAGCTTTTATCGTAGGCACGCCAGAGGGTGATTACTGGATCAATGGCTGCTTCCCGCCCGAGGTTTGGAAGTTGATTAAGTCCACGTTCTAGCCCGCACATGGCAATTGGTGCGTTCAAGCAGAAGGACATCGGCGGCGTTGTGTGATTCTATGAGCATTGGAGTCTATTTTTGCGGGTTTTTCTTTTCGTTTGAATCTCATGTTGTCTCGTAATGATGACTTCGGTAAGCCGTTATGCAAATGAAAAAAGAAAAAAGAAACCTTTCAACAGGTGCAGAGACAACTGCGGTTATCTTGTAAAAAGACACGCGAGAAAAAGGCGACACCTTGAAGCACGTGATGTTTTCCCTTTGGCGCGTAGCAGAAGCACCAGCCAATCAACAGCGACCATGGCGTGGCAGGAGTCACGTGAGATAAGAGATAAGCCAAGTTGCCCCTGGAGACATGTGACAACTTCAAGAAACATCATGAATCAACATCAGACATGGACAGCTCAGCGCAACCACATCCAGACACCGAACATATTCGAGCGGCCCGAGTAAATTTTGCTAAGAGCATTCTACCAAGTCATGCACTCGCCGCCCGCTGATGATGATCTTGTAAATTGGTCATCTTGGATTCAACAGTGGATTAACCATACTGCCTCAAGCCCCCACTTCGAACCCCGAACTCATCAACCAGCATCGACAAAGAGGCCTTTCAACATGGGCAATACGCCTCCACCTTCGATGGACCAGTCACCTGGTATCGTCACCCCAAGAAAGAGACGGAGAGGTGTTCGTCCAGATGAGCCCCCGGCAGACGACGACATATTTGGCCTGGATGACCCCGAAAAGACACCAAGCGCGGCATCGGCATCATCCATCATGCCACCATCCTCTTTCAAACTCCCCCTCGCTCCATACCCCCTTCACCATCCGTCTCGTTCCAACTCTCAGTCATCTCGATCTATTGCATCGTCCCAGTCAAGGTCGACCAAGCGATCCGCCAGCCCAGTCAAACCCGGGACTCTCAAAGAACTCCAGAAGCCAGTTGAGTATGTCGAGTGTACCGACGATTCGGGTGATCAGCTCCCCGACGTAGTGAGACAACTCTATCGCGACATCTACGACCTAGCCGTGGAGCGGGAGGGGTTCATACCAGCATCACTCAAGGCGCCGCTCTCTGAACATCTCCCTCGCGCTCGGCCCCGTTACTTTTCACAAAATGGGCATTGGGAACCAGACGGAGGTAAGCGAGAGCTTGAAGCTCTGCTCGAGATCAGGGATGAGGCACTACTATGCCGGTCGACCAATGCATCTGAGGCTGCATGGAACTCTGATGTCCATTCGCCCCTCCTCAAGCTTGCCCTAAAACCCTTCAAAGAGCCACTGATTCGTCGACACGTATTGACCTCCACCCCCATCAACTCCGAGTTTGTCCCCCCGATGAAAGAAGGCTCTTTTTACGATAAAGTCGGCTCTAAGATGGTCGATTATGGTATTGCCCTTCACCCTGACGAGGACAGCCCCCTTGGCCAGGCGATTCGCTGTGCTCTGCGGCCACTACCCAGCTCGAAGCAGTACCTAAACCAAGCAGCCTACGACCCAATAAAGTATGCGCCCAATGTTGTATCAATCGAAACAAAGACCGGATCGGGGGGTCCTCAAGAGGCTAGGTCGCAGCTTGGGATATGGACAGCGTCCTGGAACTTCCGAATGTATCAGTTACTATATGGGAGGCGGCCACTGGGCGAAGCTAGTGCGCCACGGGTTCTCATACCGGTCCCTGTCATCGTCGTGATAGAGCACACGTGGAAGTTATCATTTGCGTGTGACAACGGCCATCGGATCGTGAGTTGTTAATCTACCACAGAGTTCCAAATACAAGTAGCTGACCATGATAGGATATTATTGGGGATGTTACGATTGGCGACACGAAAAGTCTGGACGGCTTGTTGATGCTCATTGCTGTTATCCGCCGGCTGGCAGGTTGGATCCAGAGCGATTTCCAACCTTGGCTGCTAGAGACATTGCTTTCAAATAGCTAATTGAATCCCGTCCCTGGCATGACTGTATATCATCCAAATTGGGTGCATTCTGATGTAATAGACTGGACTGTCGGACCGCACAGGATGGCCGTTGAAGCCCCTCTATTCGTGTATTTGTTGTTGGACCCTGTTTTCTCTCAGAGGTTCAGATAATAAGTTCCATGCTCACCCTGAAGCGTAGATGGCTGACAGGAAAGATCGGAGGCTTTGCCGATGCCTGACTGTCTTGCCATTTGGATTCACCAAATGGCGGATCCATCGACTGAAACTTGTTCATTCACTTTTGCTGCCAGTGAAACAATACAAGTCAAAATGGATAGGATGTTGTCTGCTAGTCTGCTCACGCCGAATCTTGTTGTCATGGAGTCTAAGCTATAAATGACTACGCCACATCACTCAGAGTCCGTAAAACGATCACGTGCAGCTGGCGTGGCGCAGCAAAGTCCCGTCTCCAATAGCCCCGCACGGATTCTCACTAGCCCAGGTTAGTAAACAAAAACATCAAGCAATCATCCAAGGAACCTCTTTTCGCTGTCGCCGTATATTTCTAGCGAATATTGTCTTCTATGCGAGTCATTTAGGGAACGGCTCCTCTGATGGCATATTTCAAGTCATATTTTCCCCCGCCACCAGCGCCCGCGGCTCCGTTGAACACAATCCGCCGCATATCCTTTCGTCACCCAGCTTACCCTGAACCTACGCCTGACTTGCTCTGCCTGCCCGCCGCCGACGGCGATGGACAAGATGGCATCGACTATGACACTGCTGTCATAGCCTGTTGTATTGTCACGGGAAATACCTGGCATAATAGCTGGTTGGCACGGAAACTTACCGGAGGAGCATTTCAGCGTGTTGACAAACCGACCGATGGTATTTTGCGAGCAGATACTTACTACTTCAGACTTGACCAGCACCCCCCAGAACGTGAGTACTATGAAGCACCCAGGCATACCCCATGGCCCGAACCTGAACCCCCCAGTCTCTCGCATAGCGGAGAATAATAAGCTCTTGCTTCTAGACAAATATCCCGTTCTCCCCTCCTTTGACCACTGGCGATTCCCTCATGGCGACATTCCCGCGCCGTGGTCTTCCTTGAGAATCCCCTCCGCAGGCCTGAGTGTCAATCTTAAAGCAGAAAACAGCCGCTCTAAGTCGGGATGGGACATGCCGAATCTCGGGGTATCTTGATGCTGTCGAAGTCGCCCACATCGTCCCGCGTGCATCCGGCTACTGGTTTGAGTACAACTCGATGGCAAGGTACAACACTCAAGACAAAATCTTCCCCCTGTCCGGGAGAAAATCTGGATGCTTACCTTTACACCAGATACGCTCGTCTCAGTGACGTTCCGCAACAGGTCGACGACGACCGGAACCTGATCACGCTTCGTAGGGATCTTCACTATCTCTCTGATCAACGCCGCTTCGCCTTTGTTGTCAAACAGCCGCGTGAGAATGACTCGTTACAGGTTGTAACCCATGTCCTCTGCGCGCAAGGCTCGACCGAGCTTATCAGTTTGTATCACAACCGCTTGCCTCAGCCACTCTCGGGGATATCAACAGAACTCTTGTTTGCACGGTTCGCATGGTCCCTCTTCGATAACAAAACCTTTCCCTTCCTCCAGGGCCTTCAGAGCTACAAGGTCCTCGTCTATGATCTCTCAACATCTCAGTACTCTACCAAAGACCTCAAAGCGGGCAAGATCCGGGACGTAGCTGTATTGTTTCAATCCTACCCCCAGAGCCGGAACCCAAGCCCCCGCAAGCGGACCAATGATGAAATATCCAAAGGCGACGCTGATGCAGAGATGGGATGGTCCACCGGCGACGATGTTTCGTCTGGAGAGGAAGACTACCCACCCCGCGGAAGACACCGTAGACGGTGTGTGGAGTGGGACTCAAGCTTTGAAGAGCCATCCCAGTTAGCAGGCTCGACATCGTCTGCGTCTCCGCCCACATCACAGGATGTACTCAAGCTAGACCTGGAAGAACCATCACGCATGACATCAGATCCAGAGCGCAAAAGGCCCCTGGACTCAAGCAACCTCGTTCTACATCTAGAAAGGGGGCGAGACGGCCGAGATGGGTTATCGGGAGGGGATACATGAAGGGGGCCACTTCTTCAACATGGTCTATTCTTCCTCCGGGGTTTGGCTGCAACTTGGGCGTAAAGCAGGCAAGTAAAGCAGGCAAGCAGTTTCAGCATGGTAAGGTCAGATGGTCCTTCGTTTCCTTATGGCATGATGACGAAAGAGTGACCAAAAGGCGGCTTGCTATGGTCGCGGATGAGATGAGTTGGTTTGCTCAGAAACTTTAGTCGATTAGTGTCGACATATGAGGCATTAGATCGGATGGTGATAGAAAAAGTTTTCTGTATTAGGATTTCACGGCGAGCGATTGTATGGGCTTTTTATCTGGAGGCATGGGAGTGGCTGGCTTCTTAGGTTGGCCAAAGGCCGGTGTCGCTGCGAACTAATGGGAGGGTAGGCTCGCGGTTAGCCTAGATACCATGACTCTGAAAGGAGATGCTTGGCGTTCAGAGACTCGTCTTGTAAGTGTAATACCATTTCATTAGTATGTTGATCTCATCGTGATCATGCTAGTGCCTCTTCAACACGCCCCTGGTATCTGTGGGCTCAGCCATGGTCTGACTACGTAAGGTCTGGAATCGGGCACTAATGATGTAATTTTTGGACTTGAGAAGAAAAGAGACAATGCTGATCTATGTCGTATCCTCATCAAGCGTAGACGGAATCTTTGATAGTCGTTGCATGTGGCATTTGGAATCAAGAGTTGACCTATCAAGCCCAAATTGCGTGGCTGCGTATGTGGCTTGAAGGACTGCTCAGCTTTGAGACAGAACTCATTGGGCCGGTTAGTGTACGGGTCTCATACCAATCAAGTTCGGCTGGTGACAGTCTACTAGCCATATCTGGCGATTTTGATTACAGAGCTGAACAAAGCCACAGAACAATCAGCCACTCCCTGGGCTGCGTCTACTGCAGAACAGTTACACTGGAACTTGACGGTCTAACGCTCCAAAGCTAGGACGTGGCTGAGCAACCAAACCGAATCGGGTAATCTTGATGATTCACCTCATTAACTGGCGAAACAAACCGCCTTGCTGAGAGGCGCAGCTATTCTCGGGGTAGTATCCCTATCTGAAACCATAGAAGACTATGATCTACAACTTGATTCCAAGTATTGGCTTTGCTGGCTTGGGAGGCAGACTACACTGCCCCTGAATTTTCGTATCTGTAGAACTTTTCGACATACAAAAGCCCAGATTGTCGCTTCGCTCAAAACACATCCACCATCAACAACTCTCACTGCACACTCGTCTGCGACACTCTATTACACAATCCAATCTCACCCTCAGTCAACATTATTTACTCTTCGCCTACACCACCAATGGATAGCGCCACAGGCCGACACATGCACGACGATGAAGCTGGATCCTGTCTGAAAGCCGAGCCCGGGTCGTCGGGGCATAATTTGTCGCCAACCGACCCCGATAGTCCCATGACCTGGTCATTCCTGAAAAAAGTCTATGTATCTGCCGTTTCTTTCGCCTTTGTATTTGTTGTGTAAGTAGGATTCAACTCACCATGAATACGGACACCGCTCATCAAACTAGCATGTACGGAACAACGACATATACTGCCGCTGTCAACGCTGTCCCTGCCGCGTTTGGTGTATCCCAACGTACTGCCCTCCTCGGCTTCACCATGCCCTTTTATGGCGTCTTCTTCGCACCCATATACACACCACATCTCTCAGAAAGATACGGACGTCGACCCATCTACTTTACCAGCTTCCCTCTCTTCTCCCTTTGCGTCGTCGTCATCGGTCTGGCCTCAAACATTTCCACCTTGCTTGCCTTTCGTTTCCTCGCTGGACTTTTTGGTGGACCATGCCTGGTTCTGATCGAGGGGACATTCGCCGATGTCTGGCCTGCACACAAGACCGTGACATATTATTCCTTCCTTACGCTTGCATCGTATTCGGGAGCCGCTCTAGGTATGACACACCTCAATCCATTGGCCCATCTTTCTCACTGACATGTCCTATCAAAGGTCCACTCATTGGCGGCTTCGTCTTTTCGGTCAAAGGTCCAGCTTGGCTGTCTTGGGTCACTCTGCTATTTGCCATGGCCGCAATGGCATTTGGTGCTTTCATGCCTGAAACCTATAACCGAGAAATCTTGAGGACTCGCATTCGCTACAACAAGAGCGGCATCAAGTTGCCTTGTGCACAGAGCGGAGTCACCACTTCCGAGATGGCGCACATCACTTTCTTTACCCCCCTCAAGATGCTCTTCACAGAGCCCTTGGTGATTCTTATCACCCTCTACCTTGGACTCAACTTTGGCGTACTGTTCCAATGGTTCATTTCAGTACCTGCCGCATTAAATGCAGCTTATGGGTTCGACGTTAAGAAGGCCGGACTTGCCTTTCTCTCGGCCCTCATCGGTGTTGTATTCGCGCTGGTATCGTCTAGCTCTCTGGAGGCTTTATTCTCGAAACCAACAAAGCACGGCATGGAGTCCATCGAAAAGCGCCTCATACCCGCAATGGTTGGCTCGTTCTTTGTTGCCGGCTCTCTCTTCTGGGTTGCGTTCACTGCCAAACCCACAGTTCATTACGTGGTCCCCATCTGTGGCACAGCTTTCTATGTCTGGGGTAATGCCATGGTTCTAATCTCCTTCATCTCCTACCTCTTCGACGCTTACCCTGCTGCTGGAACGCTGTCAGCACTTACAACAGCAGCTTGTTTCCGAGTTGCTTGCGCGGGTATCGTTCCTCTCTTCATTCTTGATGTGCTGAAGGATCTTGATGGAGACTGGACGTTCAGCACCTTTGGCATTCTCTCTGCCATCATGGGCACGTTCCCCTTCGTTCTCTATTGGTTTGGTCTATCGTGGCGCTCAAGGAGCAAATATAGTGGGGGCTACATGTCTGCCTCGATGACGGAAGAAAGCATCATGTGAAACCAAGGTGAAAGCTCTGGGCTACCACTGGTCAACCTCCTTTGAGCCGAATGGGATACCTCTATCACGATGGGGACATACTCTGTAAGGGGAAAATAGCAGGTGGACGAGAAGTTGAGCATCACCGAGAACTGGTTGACTTATAGAGGAGGAATTGTAACCTGGTCAGACGAGATTTTCTTTGATAATGTACGGAGAGTTTAGTTTATGTAGATCGTATTTCATTAAACATGATCACAGTTCCTGTAATAGCACCAAAACGGGAAGCAAAGTCAAGAGACCGAAACTCAATAATGAATCTCTTATTGCCCACCTGAAGTTTCGATTATATCGTACTAACCAGGATTCATTGCACCAGCCTGCTGAGAGGATGCCTTTTATTCTTCGGCAGTACGTTTCCCCTAACTTAGTGAACAAACAGTGGCCTCCAATTGGTGGAGAGCGATGGCTCGGTATGGCTGGAATGCTTGTATTGTATCAGAGGCTATTTGGGCGAATCTCAAGAGAGTCGGTTGGACAGAGAATTGCAACACAATGACTAGCGTTGCCGGTGTCTATTTGTGTTTCCTACTCTTACAAAAATGACAGAAGGAACAAGCTAACATGGTCTTTGGGCCACCACCTCGGAAAACCAATGTGAGAGCTACAAACTCTTTTTGAAGTTCATGTTGATCTTGTTGAAGACTTCAAAGTCTTGTCATAGACATTGGCGCAGGTGGACTCGGTCGTGGGCTTGGTGATGCCCATTGAGATTTGAACCAAGTGGTCTTGAAAAGAGGATATATCATGTATATATGCTTCGAGCATGGAGCCTTCCGTCTTAAGTCTATATAGAGAATAAGTTAGTTAGCCTCCCCTTATGGCATTTCAAGGGAAAACATAAGCGTACTCTTGACCACGGGTAGCAGACAACTCGGTGTGAGCGGGGGAGGGATCCATGACAGTAGATGAGGCGAGCGCAATCGCCAAAAAGTTCAGAATTGCAGATAAGCGATAGAGGAGAATAACGTGTCGATGAAAAGGTAATTTGAAGACAATGAGTGTAAGGAGACGGGAAGAGAAGACGACGATGAACAATCGGTTCGATTTATATCCAAAAATGGGTTGGGATGAGGCAACGGGCTGCCATCCCTCTGGTGCGCAAATATTCACAGGGTGGCTCACAATAGAACCATGCAGGAAAGGCTTCTGCTGAGAGATACACATCTGTCAATGTAGCCGACCTGTTAGAATATCGCTTTCATCGTGGCCTTCCCTTCTCGCCAGCTACATCACCCTCTTTTTGTGTGCGAGGGTCTTTTGAGCCAGCTGTGCCAGTGCCTCTCATTGCCCTTTTCGGTCTATCTGAACATGCACCAGTAGGAGCCAATCACTAGCCTTGAAGTAATGGCGGTATAGATGGTGTAGGGGTCGTAGTCCTCCTTGAGCATATCTCAAGAGGCCAGACAACCAGTTCATAACCAAAACACGCGGCGAATCATGGTGCCCGTTTGCTTGGGCCACACCAGTCGCCAAGGTGCAACACCAACACATGACATATGCGAGGGTCTTTTGTCGGCCAATAAGCACACCTCACACTCCGCCCTCTTTGAGAATGCGAGGGTCTTTTGTGCCATCTATGTTTAGTAAGCTGGCTGAGCCTCCTCGATGACCAGGGTATTTATCTTGGGATTTTTCCCAACCTTTGCAGCCTCAATCTTCATAGCCTTACCCCCTCATCGCTTCATTCGCATTGGGCCTGCGCAGACTCCGGTTTTACTCTTCTTTCCAATCCCTGACGTTCTTTCCTTCTCTTATTGATCCCTTGTTCTCTGAAACCATCGATTTCGCAACCTGGGATCGACTGGATTGATCATCCTTTTGCCATGGAGGTTCCTCTAGGGTTTCCCACCACTAGTAGTGGTCAACGTCAATGGGCAACGCCAGAGATGTGGCAGTCTCATCGAGTAACGATCGTTGAGCTATACAAAAACCACACGCTCAAAGAAATGATGAAAATCATGGAGGACAAGCACAAGTTCTTCGCAACGTCAGTGTCCCTAAGGGCTGTTGAAGGTCGACATTGTTCGCTAACCCATGTTCAAGTATCAGGATGTACAAGTCTCACATCAGCAAATGGGGATTGCAAAAGCATTTCAGAGCTAAGCAAGTCCAAGCGCTGCTTCATCAGAAGGCAGAGCGCGACGCCACCCAAAAGGCCTCAAGCATGTACATCAGAGGCAACAAAGTCGACTCAAAGAAGCTCCAGGCATACATCAACCGAACATCGAAGCAGAACAAAGACCGGATTTCAACGGCTGCCAACGGTGGTCCCCTGTCTCCTTCTGCACAGCGACTTATGGCAGCTGTGGTTGCTTGCCGAACTCCCTCGCCCGTGCAGTCGTTCGAAAAGAGACGTTATACGGCTAGTCATCGAGGACAACGTTCGAATAATGAGACGGATCTAGATACCGAGAAACCTTTGGGTTCCAGATTCACGTGGCTACAGACAACTCCGCCACAGACCCTCCTGTTGTCAGCCTCGGATGCTCATGCAAGAACCGAAAAGTGTATGAGATGTCTGCGAGACTATGTCGCTGACAACTTCGAAAGTGGCCGCTGGAGCGATGACCTCGACGAAAGGGGGCGAGTGGAACTTGATCAAGTTATTGATTGGGCAAATATATTCGACGATGCCCTTCGATTCCTTCAGAGGGAACAAAACCAACAAGGGTTTCGACTGGTCCAGATTTGCTTTGGACAATACAAAGCTCTCTTGTCTGCTGGCAGCATCCGTCTCTTCTTCTCCATCTATCCCATTTTCATTCAACTTCAACATTACCCAGACTTGGCAAGGAAGATGATTGGGTACGCTTCCAAGATGTCCGAAACAATACACTCAACAGCACATCCCTTTACTGCCCTTTGGAGAGAATTTTTGGCTATGGATCATGACGAGATCAGGCTGAACTGGAAACCTCTCATCAACTGTTATAGTAGCTTCATCGCAGAGCAGTCCAACGACGACAGTGAGCTGATGTTTGAGGCCGTGAGGGCCCGTAACGGCAATATCAGATGCCAGACACTGGACGGACTGGTCGATTTCAACCTTGCTGAGGAGCTGTTTCAAAAGGACATTACCACATGGGAGAACTACACGCACACTTCAAGCCCCGAGACCGTGTGTCTGAAGCGAGGGCTTTCTACCTTCTATGCTATTCATCAGCGATACGATGATCTAGAGCGTATTATCACAGAAATTGCTCCTTGGTCCCGCCCTTCTTATCTGCACATGCTGGCAGTAGCAGCTGTTGATCAAGGGGATTTTGTACAGGCTGTTGAACTTTATGACGCTTGGCTTACCTGGAGCAAGGATGAATTTGGGGCTGGTCATGACGAGATTGCTTGCGCTTGTATTTGCCTCGAGAACCTTCTACGAGACATTGGAGACATGGAACAAGCTGACATTGTTGGTAAGCAGTCGGAGATTATTCTCGACGCGCTGTGTGTGAGACTTGGTGAAATGGAAATTCAAGAGACATGTGATGAGGAGGGCTTGGATGGCAACGAGGCCGACCTGACATCAAGCAGCCTGAATGGGTTTGACATTCTCGGTGACTCTTTGACGTATCAAGGTGGGAAAGCCCTTGGGTCTGTAGGAGAAGACGCCATGGGGAGTGAGCTATGGATTTCTTTGTTTGGGAACTAGTCAGGCTTCTTGCTCTTTCCTATAGGAACGTCGTGTCTGAAAATTATAAGCAAATGCGGTTTCTTGTCGTCCTACACGGACCACGGAGGTGCATGAGTCAGGGTTTTTCCAGAGCTGAACTAGCGTGTTTATGTACTGAGTGGATTCGATGTTTCGAGTTCGAGCTGCAAGATGAAGCATTGATGGCTCAACTTGCAGGCGGGCCGTATGTCAAGGTTACGAGGGTACCAGGATGGTAATAAATCCAGTATGCTCGGGAACTGATATGGATACGCCGAAGCTATATCTTGAAACGCCACAGGTCACTAACAAGTATCTTTCAAGGTATGTTACTCGTATAACTAAGAAGCTCAAGTTCACCGAACTTATACCAGCATTCACAGTCTAGCCTTTTCCTCGCCAGCTATCTTGGTAAGCCAATCTGCCACAAAATACGTACATGCACCCATCTTCTCGTACACAATTTGATGTGTCGTCCCCTCCACCCACCTAACCTCGGTCATTTGCTTCAACTTCCGCACATCCGCCTCAAACATCTTGGGCGGCACCGCGAAAGGTCTGGCGGGCATAATCGCTTGAAAGGGAACTTTGATGTCTGTCAATCGATGGTAGCATTCCGCAAGTGTCTGTTTGTCGTAGTACAGAGCCCACTCGAGGCGTGGATGAGCTGCCAGCCGGAATCCTATGCCGCTCTCGTCCGGCACGACGCCATGTTGCACAAACATTTGCACTGCCCGCTCGTCCCAACCCCGGGTTCGCTTGTTTTTGCGGAGCTCGCTTTCCACCGATAAGCGGTCGGAAAACCGCTCGGGCAGGCCAAGGCAGAGAACTTCTTTGGGAAGTTTGGCCATGGCGTCGTTGATCCTGCCAGCAGGAATCATAGCAGGGTCAATTACTGTGAGGCTTTCGAATACGGTTGGGGCATGGACACATGCAAGCATGGCAGCTTGAGCACCAAGGCTGTGTGCGACGACGTGGAGGTTTGGCCGCGTGGGTTGACGGGGCTGGGATGTCGGCCTGCGAGGTTGTAGATGCTTTGGGAGGTCCCCGCCGGGGCATTTTGGGAGATAGGCCGTGATGAAAAGGAGAAGATCTCGAGCAATATCTTTCTCGTTGGCTGTGCAGCGGTTAGCTCCAATACTGAAAGATGATGTTGGACGGAGGAGGGCGAACCATAAAAGTAGCCGATCGGGTTGGCTTTGGCTGTCTCACCACTTAGAGGCATATCCACGGCCCAGATCTCTTCTACTTTGACACCGGATTTTCGTAGTTGGGGAACTAGGTCCTCGAGCATGGGCTCAAACATCTAGTTAGCAGTCAATTACCTGCCGCTGAAGCAACATTGAGAACCGTGCAACTTGCCTCCTTGGGTACTCCCATGCCTGTCAAGGTGAGTAGCGCTACACCCTGCCCACAGCCGTTTGCCTTGTCTGTCGGAATGTAGCGCTTGGCAACCAGTCTAGGTGGCGGTACCTTTGAGGCCTTCAGATTCTTTTTCTGGTCGGCGAACAGCTCGAATGCTTCTGCATTTCCAGCTTGGCTGTTTGCCGCATCGTATGGGATGTTGTATGCTTCATCGCTGGGGATGCCTGCAGCATCATCTCCAAACTTTGATGGCGGCCACGCAGCAGACTCGCTACGGTCATCGGTTCCGTTGAAAATGTGTGTCGAGGATCGCCATGGCTGCGATGGTGTGCCTACACGCAAAGTTGTCGACACTTGTTCAGAATGAGTAGGAGGTATAACGAGTGGGCGGAGTAACGGCCGTGTATAGGATGTCGCAAGTTGAAAGCTCATATTGCCTTGGTTCTATTCTGTTCAGCAAGTATGTGATGGTTGGAAAAAAGAAGGAGTAAAGTAGCCTAGCTTGATATTCATGGAAAACCACCGAGTGTTTAGCCCAGAGTGAGCATCATATCGAAATCGTTACTAACCAGAAATGACGTCTCATGTAGACGTGCCGGGTAGCCGGTCACCCGCCTAGAGGTCGCGGAACTAGCACAGGGCAAGGCTCAATCGAGTTATCCGATCAAAACTCTGACATCATATGCTTGCCCCTTTTGGGGCTGTGGCACTTTATTAGTGCCAGGGCTTTACAGCACGTTCAAGATCTACAGCCAAACTAACGGAATCTGTCTAGATCTAAATTGAGCATTCTTAGCGCCAGATCGCTTTCCGTACTTGGTATTTCAAGGCTTGGCCCCCGTTCAACCTCGTTTCCCTGCAGTCGAGACTTTCTCTGCCAGTCACGACAGCCCTACGAACTCAGTTCCCTGGTCGATCAATACCCGTTTCTCGCTCTCCAACCTACGTTTTTCAACTTGCCATATGGTTCGTCACGGCAGACGCATTAGAAGATGCGGGACCTGTGTTGAGCGCAAGGTCAAGTGCGGTTAGTCCAGCAACTCGGCAGCTAAGCAGACTTGACGTTGATACGAGACACCAGATGAACAACAGCCTCATTGCCAGCGCTGCAAGAATGCGGGGCTTACGTGTTCTGGGTACCATGCTCGTCTGAAATTTGTTGATGAGGGCGATCGCTTCTCTTAGAGTAGCGGTTCATCAAATCCGACAACTAACACACGGCCGGTTTCCATCGGAGCTACTGCCAACTACGACGCTGCTTCCACATCGCAGATTCTAACTCTATCGCCCCAGAGAAGCACTTTCTTCCTTCCATACACCTTATCTAAGCTCTCGCCAGTGGTTCCTCGCTCCAGTGTACTGGTGCCGGTAGGAGCACTTCCAAGATTGCTTGAATACCACAGCTCCGAGGTACATCGGCTATGCGTGCAAGCTGTAGCATCAACATACTTTGGCAAGGCAAACAGAGATAGGCAAGCTTGCGTCCAAGGACTACATCTATACTCGCAAGCCTTGAAGCAGCTTCAAAACGATCTCAGCACAACTAGCAACTCGGGGACTGAGCTAGGAACCATAATGAGCGTTCTATGTCTTTGTGTATTTGAGAATATGGTCTTTTCCCAGACAAGTGCATGGCTCATGCATTATGAAGGAGCTGGCAGGCTGGTAAGTCCTCGCTGATGTTATATTGCAATGCATCTTTTGACACCTCCGGCTGCAATTCCGAGGACCCAGAGCTTGGCGAAACCCTGATGAGAGACAAATCTTGCGTTTCGCATGGTACTTTGCAGTAAGAGCCCCGCCCTATCAAAGTACCAGTATGAATAATGGCACTAACCTGACAAAGATTCTCTCTGCCGGACATCAACGCCGCCATTGCTTCCTCGACCAGCCGCAATGGGAGAGCACCCAATGTCTTCCAGAGGGTGAAGCACCCGAGAGGATAGACCTCCTTTACGATATCTTTGCCCAGACCCCTGGAATTGTTTACGATTACGACGAGCTTCGCCAGCGTCCGCGTCGAAACTCGTTCGCGACTAGATTCTTACGCCAGCGCGTGCAGTCTGTCATTGATAGGTTCCACGCTTGGCTCCAAACAGTGCCATGGAGATTTATTCCTTGCTCAGATCATAACGACGCACAATCCCCGCCAGATGATGCGATGGATTGTGTGGCCCTCGCACTGTCCTATGCCATGCTGTTGTGTCTTGTTCAGCCTTGCGAATTCCTGGGCGTAGCTCTCATTGGAGACGAGAACACGGGCACAGAACTTGAATCTGATGATAGTTTTGCCTACAAGTTCTTGGCTTTGGATATTTGCAGATTCGCAGAGAAGGTACTTCAAGGTCAAGAGTCTGCTAACCTTGCGCTATTCTTGATATATCCCCTTCAAATAGCATGGTTCTATCTACAAACCAACGAAGCTGATCTTACTCGTATCCGTGGAATGATGAACTAGGCTGTAGCGGATGGCCATGGGTTTGAAATAGGGAGAATGCGACATAAAGATGAGTTTGGTCTAGACCAAGGGAGACACGGCTTTCTATTTTGATAATTAGAGTACGGAATGTCTTCAAACTCGCCATTATTCGATAGTTAAAGACTGATTCGAATGTTGATTCAACCTGCCTGTGTCTTTTGACCGCCATCCTTGCCCCAAAGGAAGTCACGAGTGACGTGAGGATCATGCATTGCCTCTATTGACGTCTTGTCACTAGCTTGGAGATCCATGGGCACCCATAGAGTCAGGGATCTTGCGGTATAGCAACATGCTGATCGTGTCTATCAACAATGGACTCTCAAGCACCAAGACCAACCGCTTGCTTCTGCCGTGAGTCTTTCTCTTCTTTCGGCAATTCAAAATTGTACCCAGTCAACCGGATGATCGACATCATCTCATTAAATTCATGCCTTGATTGGATGACTCTTTGGAATCTAGTGAGCCAGTAGCATCCAGCATACTGCCGAAAATGGTTATTCAAAAACACATCCTAGTATTGGTGAACCCCACTAAGCAGCTGGAGTGTGAGACAGTCGCTGCGTATTGCCTGGCAAGCTCAATTGTGTTAATAACTTATATAATCTTGCTCTTGGGCTCTTGTGCATAGTAATAGCTATCGAAGTATCAACAAGACGCACACCAACATCGCTCATTCACCATGGCATCCCCAAGCGGCGATATGTCACCCGACCAAGAACCTAAGAAAGGCAGAGGAATCTTTCGTTATTGGAAACCCACCACGTCAAGCCAGCCACCTCCAGATGGCGGACTTGTCGCTTGGCTCCAGGTCCTCGGTTCCTTTCTCATCAACTTCAACAACTTTGGTCTCGCAAACAGCTTTGGCGTATTCCAGGCATATTACGAGACCACTCTTCTTCGACATCACTCCTCTTCCTCGATATTCTGGATTGGAACACTTCAACTGTCCTTGATTCTTATCATCGGCGTCGTTTCAGGCCCTTTGTTCGATACAGGATATTTCTACCCCATCTTGATCGCTTCATCTCTCATGCTTGTTTTTGCACTCATGATGTTGAGCCTGGCAGCACAATACTACCAAGTCATGTTGACATGGGGGGGTGCTCGGGGGCATATGCACTGGATTCTTGTACATCCCCAGCGTTGCCATGATTCCTCTTTACTTCACCTCTCACCGTGGTCTCGCCCTTGGCTGTGCAACTGCCGGTGGATCTTTCGGTGGTGTCATCTATCCCATTGTTGTTCGTCGCTTGCTCAATACTGGTGGTTTCGGCTGGGCTTGTCGAACGATGGGATTCATCGCTCTCTTCACCCTGAGCGTCGCAGCCGTTATCATCAAACCAAGCGTTCAGACTGTCAAAATGCCATCGCGGAAGCTGTTCGAGAGGTCTACCATCAAGGACAGAGCATTCGCTGTCTTTGTCTTGGCCTCTTTGTTCATGTGGCTAGGCTTCCTGGTACCCTACATCCTTACGCCCACATTCAGCCTCGTTGGACTCGATCATCCCGAACCTGAAGACCTTGCGTATTATATGCTGGCTGTCCCAGATGCTGCTCAAGCCCTCGGAAGGATTATACCAGCAACAATGGTAGATCATAAGCTCCTTTACGCCGAAACTATTTTGTTGTTCAACTCAGCGGTGGCTGGAACCCTGGCGCTATGCTGGATCGTTGTCCACAACCTCGGCGGATTTGCTGCTTTTCTCGTTCTCTACGGATTCTTTTCTGGCGCTGTGACTACATTACCAGTATTCATCATTCCATATCTCAGCCTGTCTTTGGCAGTCATTGGAACTCGCATGGGAGTCGTGTACGGCGCAGCAGGCTTCGGTGTTCTCATTGGGACTCTAATTGCTTTGGTCATCAATACTCATAGCTGTCTCTTTTTAGGTGCGCAGTTGTGGAATGGGCTCACAATTCTTTTTGCTTCATGCCTTTGTGTGTACCCTCTACATGAAGCAAGAAAGCGGCGACTTGCAAGTGAGGGAAAGGCTGAAAGCAAGGTAGAGGCAAAGTCTGATGCAAAGTCTGGAGGTCTGAACAAATAATTGTCGACCAAGAACAAGAGGAAATAGTATAGATAGCGATGTACCTGTCCTCTATCAAAACATGAGCTGACCAACAAATGTTCTTGGTATATGATAAACCCTTGTGGCAGTGGTAGAATATTCTATCCTACTTACATATCAATGTATTGAACAGAAGTATATGGCCTTACATCAGCTATAATCATTCTCGCAAGTTATCAAAGATAGAACTCAGGCCAGCTAAGAGATAATCCGGGTCGACCTCCAGAACAGCCAGTAATCCGGAACATCGGCTCAACGAAGATGCCCTCTCCGCCTCGTCTCCATACGTCAACCCCCCAGAAATAGCAGAAAGCCCCAGTCCGAGAACAGCATGACCCATTGTCCAGCTCAGGGGGAACACCAAGGGTGGCAGCCTCCCATTCCGCCCTCCGGAGTACAACCTTGCGAAGAGCCGCTGATGCCGAAATAGTTCAAGGCCGGTGTCGGCCACGGCGCGGCACAGAATCGTTGTCCTGCCACCTGGCGTCGGCCAGAGGAGAGATGCGCGGAAGACAGCAAGGTGGTAATGGAACTGGCCCCAGGCGGAGAGTTCGGACCTGGATACGCCATCGTCGTTGTCGTCGGGAACGGTCTCGACAAATTCCTTCCAGCGGACAAGCCATTCGTCGAGACCTCGGCAGTGCTCGCGCGCCTCCTCTGCGGTGCTTCGACAGATGGAAGTGGCCCCCTTCATTGGTTGTGAGTTGTGCTCGAGGAGAGTGCTGTGTATTTGCAACATCTGCAAAGACATAAGATAGGAAAATATCGAGATCTGTTCCTCGAGATTATCTGTTGTCCTGTTTGCCAGTTCCTGCGATGAGGACGTTAGTCAAATGTCCATGGCCACTTTCCACCACACACCTGTCGAAGAGCATCGCCAATATTCAACAAACTTGGTCGCCCAAAAGCGATGGATATCTGACTACGCCGAGAATATTAGTTCTGCTAGTTCCACTCGAAGCGGAAAGCATAGTATCCTTACCTCTCTAGGCAGTATAGTGTCCTCGTCAGGGTACATAGAATATCGTGGAACTCATCCTCTTCCATGGATGGCCGATGCGCCAGGTCGAAGAAGTGACGAATAGCAAACCCAAGGTGCCTCCACACGTCGCCTGATCCTGGACTGAGAAGTAGATATAGGCAGATTAGAAGAGTTCTCTGAAGGAGAGCAACATTCTCGGCCCGTGATGCATGATTGCATGTCGTGCTCATTTCGGAGATGGCACTCCGAAAGTAGGCCTCCGCTTGCGAGGACGGGTTCGCTTGGCCTACTTGGCCAATACGCGAGGACACGGCGAGAACAAGAAAAAAGAATTCTCGGGTATCAGAATGTAAGCAGCGGTCATCATTCACATAGCACTGTGTTAAGATTTCGTCCAGCTTGGCTGGTTGCAGGATCGGGTAGAATACGTTTGCGGACCGGGCAAAGAGCTGAAATAGACTGATTGCCGTAGACATGGGTGGAGGCGCAGCAGGGAGAGAGCCCGATCCTTCAACAAGGTGAGCAGAGAAGTAGTTGGCACGATGAATATCTTTCGGCAATGCATGAGCTTCCTTTTGACGCAGGAAACTTCGAAGGCAGCCCAGGGAACTCCAGCGGCCAAAGAAAAGCATGGAGGTATGTTTGGAGGGGGCTGCTGATGCTGATTCCAGTTTCCCTTTATTCAAAGGAACAAGAACCGTTGGATCTAGAAGCATTTGTTTGGGGTTTTCTGAGCGATCCTGTGATAGTGCCTCCTCAGAGAGCTGCTTGATCTTGTCGACGAGGTACCCGATGCGCCTACATCATTGTCCACCTGAATATCTGTTCAAGAATGACTGGGCGGTTTGGGATACATACCTCATAGATACGTTCCTCCCCTGGACAGGATCAAAAATCAGGCATTCTCGCGATACGCGAAGACATTCCCTACATGCCGGCAGCTGCTGGTGACATTTCATGCGGCGATCGCGACAGAAGCTGCAGGATGGCAATGCGCCCAAGATTTTGTCAAGCTCGGCAACCGGAGTTGAGGTCAACCTGTCAGGGTTCTGGGGCTCTGGAGGAGTCACTCTGGCTTCAGGCAAGGTGAAATCAACGAGAGCTTCGTGACGCACAGGGGGACTCCCATCCATCTCCACGTCGTCATTAATGAATGCACGCCACCAGTCATCGTCATCCAGAAACCCACAACTTGTCTGACTCGCCGTGTCTGACTGGGGCCCAGGCTTGGCATGCGGAGGGAACGGAATATTCCTATGCCGTATGGTGTGCACGCGACGCTGGGTCACTAAGCAGTCGAGCTCTTCAAGGACGCTCATGTCATAGTCGCTACCATCTTGGCCAACCTGATTTCGTCGGCATGTATCGACCAATTCTCGGATATAATGTGCCGTGTCTGCTACGGCAGGCCAACGAATCGATAGCGCGTCCTATTACCGGGATCAGCAAACAGACTCGGCCTGCAACGAATGCAGATACGTAAGATTTACCAGGAGCTTTATGAGAGCATCCAACGCTTCGTGCCCGGACACGAGAATCGGCGTGCCATCGAGTTCTGCTGCGTGGTTGCGAACAACGTAGAGTAGCACCATGCCAGCCTGGAAAGCACTGTTGGCCGACTCAAAAGCCATGATGAAACCGCCAGATCGAACCGCTTGAATGTGTGACGTTATTAGCTGAATCGACGCAGTTGCGGCGGCTATCAAAGAGGATGCAGAGACGGCCATGTTCCTTGAGCAGGGTCTATGAAGCAATACCTCGCACTGGTAGGCCGCGGACTCCAGACGCGAGCGTGCTAGCCCATCAGTCGCTCCTTGGTTCACAAGACTCTTGATGAGATCTATCATGGACTGGACCCAGGCATCATAGTCCTCGAAGTGGTTGGGAAAAGGCTGATCGAAAAACTGGACACCGTGGATTTGGGACTGGAGGATGCGGATGCGCGTGTGGATTAGAAACTGTGCCTCGCGTAAGTCATGCGACCTCTGAAGACCGAACCATTCTGGAGTCGTATGAGGGTCACCGCCGTTGTATGGGAGGTGAACACTAATGTGTGCATCACTCAGAGCTACAGGACATCCAGCAGCAATGCCCACGATTCGGTCGAGTTGGTAGATCTACGCATGGTCAACTTAGGAGGGAGAGGGTTGGGTATGAGGTCGAACCGTCCAAAAGAGCCTCCTTCGTAATTCGGCATGGGCTGGATCGGGGATAATGGACGGGTCTGGTTCCTGGTGCAGGCCCAGACCAACTGCCATGCGCATTGCTTCGCCTGTGACGAACCAACAGTTGGCGGTATGAGGGAGGAGAAGCCCCAGTTGGATGAGAAGAACCAGGCACTGAAGGCTTTCGACAGAAGAGTTCTTGAGAAGCTGAGCGTGGTCTAGTGCATCGGCGTGCAGTGACTCGCTCAATGCTGCGACTTTTGGGAAATCATGACTGTTTGATGTAAGCGAGCTGATGGCCAGGATCATTGGGACTATGAAGCTAGGCACGGTAGTATGTTGTTGACTGAGAGTACCATGGCCATAGAAGGATTCAAAATAGTGATCGAGATCTTCTTCCATGAAGCAGGGGAACCTGGGGAGGATCTCATCTTTGTAGTTCTTGAACAGGCGCCGAGCCACGTGGATAGGGATCTTGGTCGCCTTGAAATGAGAGAACTGTGAGGCATATGCTCTACCGGCGCTTCTTGTTTGATCATGGAAATAAAGGCCGCGGACCGGAATCTTCAAAGGTGGCCGTTCTGAGGGGTAGAAGAGTTTGGCGCGATGTTGAATCTTGGCGTCCGAGTCAAACAGGTCCGGCGTCATGTTGGCTGCCATGGATAGGGTAACCATTTCCAGAGTCTTGGCATGACTCTGGTCGAAATCCGCATGCAAGCAGTTACCATCAGTGCCAACACTGGCCACGGTGGGGAGACTTTTGGTACGCTGGAGCTCTTCCAGTCTCTGTTCCAGATGCTGAAGCAGACTGGTCGATGTTAGTCAAGGACTTGGTTTGAGACGGGCCTAGAGATGCAACCCACCTGCGTGGTATTTCAGTCGCAGTCTGTCGGTTGACCGCCATGCATTCCGCCCCAGCAGCTATGCATCGGCGGCATCTGGGCGTACCCCTATCGCACTACGGGGGTATGAGTGAAGTTCCAAGGAGTGGTCAAGGGTATGGCGTAGCTACCCACCTTTTGCTTGAGTCGATGACATCTTGAGCAAGCGGGGACGGACTGGTGCCTTTTTGATCGTGCGTTAGAGATCATGGTGCGTCATGATACTGCTAGCACGTTACTGTCCCACTCAGACCATCGTAGGGTATTGAGTGTGACTGGGTTCTGACAAGTTGGTAGGTGACAATGGAAAGATTGGAATGATACAATGTCGGACAACTACACGACTAGGCGATGGCGAGATGTGGGTCCCACGTGACAGAAATGTTGCGCCAGTTGGACCGCATTGTAAGGAAATGCAAAGCCGACCCTTCAGCGAGGCCTGGGCCTGCCGAAGCCCTATTGCTAGAGATAAGACCTTCTCTTGTAACAATTAGAAGAGAAGAGACTGCTACCTTTTGGAGCAGTGGCATAGCTTAAATAACAATGTTATATGCATATAATTTAAATTAAAGCCTTTTCTTTAAGAAATTACTTAAATTATAATAATTTAATTAATTAGTATAATAAAAAGGCTAAGTATTAGTACTAACTAGAGACTTTTAGTATAATATTAATTATTTTACTATTTATTATTATTTATTTTATCTTTATTTAAAAAAGTCTTAGAAATTTCAAAAATATTATTTATTATATTAATTATTAATAGGCACTCTTATTTATGTTTTTAATTATTTAATAATATAAATAAATACTATATCTTTTATAAAAAATACTATTAGTAGTTACATAAATAGTTTTCATAAATAATAAATGCCTTATATTTATAGCTACAAAAGTCTCCTTTATATTACCCCGAGATCTATATTACTCAAAAACAATATTACGCAGTAATATAGTAAAAGTCTTCCTGTTTGTAACATCAGTTCACAAATCTCAGTCTAATAGAATCTCGCGTCATCTTACAGTAACTCGTCAGCAGCTTCTACTCCGGCGTCTGGAGCTGCGTGCTGCATTGTCAGCCGTATCCCGCCTGATCCTGTTGTCCAGGGTGAGGAGGTTGGCATGTCATATTGAGTAAAACAACCCGTTGCGTCAGAGTGGTCTCTCAACATGGCGTCCCTAACGCTAGCTAAACACGCATCCTCGCCGATCGTAGAATCGGATTCACGCTCCATCACATGACATAGTTCGTACTGCGCAGCTATCTTGCTGTCAAAGAGTGTACACCAAGCCTGGCAACAGTCTTCCTTCCACTGGACACCACAGGCGAGTAAATACCGGCGAGGTTGCTTCCGGCGATACCGGTCCAGATCAAAAACGAGCGTACCGATGAAGCCCTCTTGCCCGCCAGTCTCGAAGGTTAAGTCGCCAGTGTTGTAATTTTCTCTGCATGACATTGCTGGACGTGCGTTGAGGTAGTCGATCTCGTAGCTCAGACCGTCGAGGACTTTGATAACGATTTTAGTATTGTGAAATGATTGAATGCGCATATTCTCAGCTGACTGGAACGTCTTTCGGATGTATATGGGCCTCTTGGGCCCATGGCTGAGCAGGGTTGGTCGAGACATGGTGTGGAAGAGCTCGTACGGTTGGACCCTGACATACGTGCTCCCGACCTTTGCGAGACGAATCCATAACCATCTTGGTTTCTTTTCTGGGTGGGCCTCTGTTCCCACGCAGTCGAGACTGAGCAACGCGTGATGCTCCAAGGGGATTCCATAATATTCGTCACCTGTTAGGTTCGTCTCTCCTTTGGGAACCTCATGGAGAGCAGCCTCAATGCGAAGCCCGTTGTTTGTGATGGCGAACTCGTGATCGTTATGGAACTGATCATCCTGCCGTTTGATAGTGGCACATGTCAAAAAGTCGACGGGAGATTCCGCAAAGATGCCGCTGAGCTTTGGCATGGTATTCACCGCATTGCCACGCTGGCGCTGCCACACGAACAGACTGAGGTCATTGCTCTCCCTGGCAATCTCTTCCTGGAGACGCAAAAAGGCTTTTTGTCCCTCCCCATAGATTAGCGGCATGTTGATGCCAAAGATACCCAGCAGGCAGTAGGCTTCGTCCTCGATGCGTGTCGTCTTGCGGTTGGCGGCCCACGACATGCGTCTCGCCACAGGCACATATCTAAGCCTCGAGCAGTCGGACAACACCGACGCTTCGATGCCTGTAGTGGCGGACAAGACGCTGTGGAGATCGGCCTTGGCTCCAACAAAAGTCCATTCCCTATCGAAAAACTCCATTCGTCGTGGTGCGATCAGCTCCTGAAGCGTCCAGCCTCGTGTGAACCATCTACACTTCCTGAGAGCCGTGGCCAGCGTCTCCATCTGGTCCTTCAAGCTAGCACGGCACGGCATCGGCTCAAGGTCAGAGAGCCAGACGAGACACACCTCTGCGTCGCTGTACCACGCGAACATGGAATTGATGGCCTCGCTTAGCTCTGCGCTGCTAGTCTTGTCGATGCAGCACGCATCGATCCAGGCGTACTTGAGCTGTCTGGCGTTGCGGGCAATTTTGCAGGTCGCCTCGATCTTGGAAACCCCGGGCTTTCCTCTCGCGACGGCCAGATCTTGTATATCCTGAAAGGTGACCTCGCCGTCTCCCCACGTGTGAGAGAGGATGGCGAACTTGTGCTGCTTGGAATCGACGACCGACTCTAGTTTGAGTGTCGTAGTATTGATCAGCCACATCTTGCCTTATCCTTATAAGTGTTCCCAGCGAAAAAAAGGGTCAGATCCTGAGAAGTATCGCCTGCTTCCGCTAAGATAATAAATGTCTCACTTCTTAGCAGCGTAGCCAAGTAACACATGCATACGTAGAACTATCTGCCTGAGGCACTACAGCATGGGATACCCCGGCCACTGTTGCTCGCGACTCTTTCCGTACAAGACAAGGCCTCGCGCTGATGGTGGAGTGGTTAACTGTCTGGGCAGGCCTTAGCATTGCAGCTTGCCTGCAGAGGCGCTGGGTTCGAAGCCAGGTAAGGGACTTTTAACCCCCCTCAGGAGCGAAGCAGCTAAGCCAGCAGTAATTAGTGATTGTAATAGCTATCGCGAGGGGCTAGAGTAAGGAAATAAAACTTGTAATAGTTTTGTTCTTTTAAAAAAAGTAATAATTAAAAATATAATTTAAGGTAGGATTTAAAAAATATTAAGCTATAAATTTATTTTATATATAAATAAATAGAGCTAGTAATAATAAAGTAAAACTTTTATTATTACTCTTATAGGCTTTAATAATAAGAGCTTTAAGCTCTTTTAAAAGCTATATCTTCTTTACTATTAATTAATTAACTACTCTTATTATTTTATATTATATTTACCTCACGAGAGAGTGCATAGGATCATTTAGAAGACACCCCTAGAAGAAGCAACGCGGCGGATTCCGTTTCTAGCTCTGTGTTCTGTTTCTCTAATAAAATAACTCTTCTACACAAGCCTTAGGAGCCCCGAGGGCCTGCTACCGGCGGCAGCTCTAGCCAAAACGACTACCATGGTCTTATCCCTCGCCACCGGCTCCATCGTCTGTTCTGGCGTCTCTCTTCTCCCTGGTCGAGATGTGGAAGCCGTTGCCTTGAAACTGGTCGAAGTCGAGTGGCTGGTGATGTGGATCTGCTCTGACGGGATATCTTGGCCATTTACCGTGACTTCTATCACGGGACTGACTGCGCCTTGGACATCTTCACCAACCTCCAGCGTTCCCCGAATCTTGATCAAGAGGGTGTCCGTTCCTTGAGGAGAAACCTCACATTTTTCTACGCTGAGACGCGGTCTTACTTGTCTGCTCAGACTTGCAGGCGTGGCCTTCAGCTGGATCACATCCGAGTCCAGAGCTGGCGTGTGGGGAGGCTCGATGCGCAGCCGAGTATGCTTCTCGAAAGCATTGGCCCATCTAAGTAGATCCGCGTCGTCATATGCCCTGCCTGCAAAAGTAAGACCAACAGGCATCTGTTTCTTGGTCATGATGCCCATCGGCACCGTCACAGATGGGATGCCCAGGTGGCGAAGGGCTCTATTTCCATGGCTGTACCAGACTCCGTTCTTCCATGCATGAGCAGCCGCGTCTGGGTCGATATCCGAGTCCGCCGCTGCCACATCACCCTGGCACGGGAAGACGAAGAGGTCGCACTTATACTTGTCAAGATAATCATCCACAAGTTGTTTGCGCATGGCTTCGAGTGCATTGACAGCAGTCTCCAGATTTTTGGTCTCAAATATAGACGTCTCACAGGTATACTTGTAGAGCTTTCCCCAATGAATCGAGTTTGATGCCGGAACATGCTTCAACTCGACTGGCGCTCGCATGGAATCCGGGAAGATGCTGAATTCGTCAACACAAGACAGACTGGACAGGCCGGGGTCTGCGTTATCGCGTAGGAAGCCCTCCCATCCATGAGCGACCATGGGACCCCTCTCGTACCAGTTCCAGTCATCTGGCAGGCGTGCAGACCCCTCTGGAAGTGAAGATGGGTTCTCATATCCTGTGACAGCAGGGAAGTCGGGAACCACGACAATCTCGGCGCCCAGGGCCTCCAACTCCGTTCGCGCATGCTTCCAGAGTTGCGTGACGTCGTCACTCGTGAAGACATCTGTAGCGCCATGCGGTGCAGGCCCGCCAATGTACATACCTGGGACCGCGATGCGTCGACCTTTCAGTGAGACGGCCTCTGAAATGCTGTGAAACAGCTCTGCAGTTGGACCAAGCGGTCCCCATGGCTCAGCCGGTTTGATGAACGGCTGATGTCTCCAGAAATCGCCTCCAGTTGAGGGGTCCTTTGCTGTGATGACCTCGAGGAGCCTGAGCAAGTCATTCATTGTTCTAGTATGTGGCACCACTACGTCGCAAGTCGGGTAGAGGGGCCAGTTGCCACGTATAGAAAGCCACCCTCTTGAGGGCGTGTACGCGACGAGAGCATTGTTCGACGCAGGAGATCGACCAGAAGAAACTGTCTCTTCGGCCATTCCAAAGGCTGCCATGGAAGCTGCCGTCGAAACTGCAGATCCGTTGGAGGAACCAGATGCCCAGGCAGCGGCCAAGCATGCGGGATTGTATGGGCTCTCGGCACGTCCATAGATGCCTCGCTGCATTCCACCATACGCCATCGGCGGCATGTTCGTACGGCCCATGAGGACACCCCCCTCGGCTCTAATAGCAGAGACAGTAAAGGCATCCTCGTTGGCGATGAGGTTCTTGAATGCTGGGGATCCGCTGGCGACCGTCATGCCTTTGACCTTGTAGCTATCCTTGACGGTGTATGGGATACCTTCAAGGCGACCAATGGGCTGTCCATTCGCTCGACGATCGTCGGACGCTGCGGCTTCGTCAAAAACATATTGGTTGAGAATCGGAATTGAGTTAAGAGCCAGGCCGTGACAGTCGTAGTGAGCGACGCGTCGGAGGTATAGCGCAACCAGCTCGACGCTCGTCAAGCTACCTGAGGATAGGGCGGCCTGAAGATCGTCAATGGACGCGCCAACCAGGCTCAGTGTCTTCATGGTTCTGCTAGAGAGATCTGTCGGCATAGGGTAGAGAGACTGAGAAATGGCTAGGCTGGGACGGGTGTCTGGCGGTGATTACAGGTGTGGGGAGCGTCTTTTGAACACATGGGACTGTCACCGGCCCGGCCGTCGTCGTCTTTTTGTATGGCCATCTTCCCCTTGAGTAAGCTCAACACTGCCCCGGGCCGGATATCATGCTCGCGTGATACCAAGCTGGTGAAGCACCCTGTATGATAGCGATGTTCCGATCCTCGGACGCCAATCCCCGGCACTAATGATGCAGCTAGGCACGCCAGCTGTATTTCCTGGAATTGGGGGTTGGGCCACATGTGGGGAACGTTTGGAGGGGTTCATGACAGCGGAGGTTTACTTTTCACATCCTTCCATCTTCCAGTACCCCATCTGGAACGTCTCCCGTAGATATTCATCGCCAGATCTCTTGTTCATTGTGCATCTGTTGCGTCCCAAAATTCAACCGACTGTTACCACCATGCCATCTCAAGCCGTCCAACGCATCAGCATCCGATGGCTCCCTGATGCCGCCTATGAAGATACAGATACTGTGGCACTCAATGTTGGAGGATACTTCATTGACCTACGCGTGGTCAAAGATTCTGGCGCGATCCAATGGAGTCGAGCTGGTGAGAGGATCGTCCTCAAAGAAGACCCCCGTACGCTTTGCTACCTACCATCCCGCTAGAATCGTTGACTAACACAGCCGAACAGCTACCTTTCGATGGACTCACATTATCGACTCGCTCGACCTGACCATTCCAGACGACGCTCATTTCGAGAAGTTGCCGAATGGAGATGATCTTGAGATTGGCACCTATCCTCTGGGAGGCGTCCCCACTGATTACGAAGAGATCTGGAGAGACATCACGCAGAAGAAATCTCCTGAGGAGCTTTCGTGGATTCTTCAAAGTAGTGATGGGTCTGCTTTCATTGGCAAGGTCGGAGGCATATTTCTAGCCATCCAGAAGACCCAAGGGGGTTTTGCTGCCCGGAGAGAAGATCGGGACGTGATTGGGGACGCTTGGAAGCTCACGTTCGAGGATGGGGCAATTGCTGGCCTTCCTACTGCAACACAAGGCTCTGAGGCCATCGAGACTCAGGATAGTAGATGGATCGAGGGTCAGACGATCGAGATAGGGGGCATTGAGTACGTGTTTAGAGGGGTTGGCAAGGCCTGATACGGTGAGTATCAGTCGTAAAGTTTAGCAGAAAAATCAAGTTGATCCCAGAATGATTATCCTTAAAATTCCCGCGTGATCAATATGGTCCGCATCTCGGATCATAAGCCATCTATCAGCTCGACCGCCCGTGGCTTGCTGGAAGCCCTTGGTGACCACTGACCAGAGAGTCGGTCAGTCCCCCGCGCCATCATTTGGGGAACCCCTACACGGAAATTCGCTAGCGTCGGACATTGGCTAGCTCAAGCCGGCCAGAGGGACATTTTGTACTATACTGTATCGGGCGAGATGACAGGGACTAGCTCTGTTCTAGGATTACCAGCATGCGTTATCTCGTCTCCACCTCGAAGACAAACCCGGCGTGATTGGGACCTGGGGGGCACGGAAATCAGCTCGCGTCGGGTTTTGGCGGTGGCTAGACCCACCAAACCCCAGCTTTGAGTCGTGTACATGCCCCAAACGCACCCCAGAATCTCATGCCAGGCCCAGACCAAGACCCATGGCAGATTTTGACAATGGGGATCTCCATCTCCGTATCAGTTCGACAGTCCGTCCCTCCGATATACTACAGATTGGCAGCCCCCCCTCTCGTGAGCAGGCTATAAAGCTTCATCCTCCTCGAAGGCCTCGTCTCATCCAGACTGAGCCAACTGATCATCTTCTCAGCCCCGAGCATCCGTCCTGTCCTCCCTGAGAAAGACTTGCAAACTCTTCGCCATGGCGTCCTCCCCAACAGATTCCATCCAGCATTCGCCCGAGAAGGGTAGCCCTAGTCGGGGGTCAGGAGAGGACCTGAAGACCGAAGTTATCGAGGATGGCGGCGAAGTCTTCCAGCAGGCTGAATACCGTGCTCTTGGATGGTTAGATGCCACCCATCGCGTCCTGGCGCTCGACTAACTGAAACGCTGACTCTGATGATAGGATTCGAACTGCCATCATTCTCTCGAAGCTTTGCTTCGCCACCGGTGTCTTGGCAATTCCTTCTGCATTCAGCATTGTCGGTTACGGACCTGGCATCATCCTCCTCGTCTGCTGGGGCGCCTTGACAACCTGTACGTGAGACGCGTGTTGCCCCTAGCCTTTGCGCGATGGACACTAACGCCATTCCAAGACTACGCCTACATCATGTATGCCTTCCGAATGCGCTATTCTGGCGTTCATAATATTGCAGATGCTGCCGGACTCATGGGTGGACCGATCGCTCGCGAAGTTGCCGGAGGGCTTTTCCTTCTTACTTGGATGTATGTATACCTGGGAGCTTATAATGGTGAAAGATACCTTCTTGCTAACCCTGCGAAGCCTGGCAACTGGCTCGGGCTTTATAGGACTGGCACAGGGATTCCAGGTTCTCTCGAGCAAACACGTCTGTACTGTGGTCTGGACCTTGGTAGCCGCTATATGTACCGCACTGGTCGCCAGTATCCAGACTCTGGGCAAGTTGGCCATCCTGACATGGATTGGGTTCGCTTCCATCTTCACGGCCGTCTTCATTGTTGTCGTCGGCGTTACACAGGTTGATCGACCTGCTGCCGCTCCCCAGGAAGGCTCATTCGATATGGAGGTGTTGGCCGTCGGGGCGCCTACTTTTATTCCTGGATTTGTTGCCGCCATCAACCTCTTCGGTAAGCTATACCTCGTGAACTTTGGAGAATCTCACATGCTTACGAACATGGTAGCGGGCTATGGCTCTACGCCGACCTTCATGCCAGTGATTGCCGAGATGAAGACTCCCAAGTCCTTCACCAAGGCCCTCTTTTCCTCGCAAGGTTTCCTGGTTGCCTGCTACATCTCCTTCGCACTGGTTGTTTACATGTAAGTCTTTCTTGCTTACGGCATTAGAATACGGGGTTTAACTTCTGAGCAGGTACTGTGGCCAGTATGTCGCCAGCCCATCGTTGGGAAGTGCTGGAGGAACATTGGAGAAGATTGCCTACGGCGTCTCGATTCCAGGCTTCATCATGACCTCGACTCTTTGGGTTCATCTTGCGGCCAAATTTGTCAGTTGCTCTTGTTAAGCCCGCTTTAGCCTACCCAGCTAACAATATAATTAGCTGCTTGTCCGCATCCTTCGAAATTCTGAGCATCTCCAAAACCACAGCTTGATCCACTGGACAGTCTGGCTGTATGTCGCTTCCCCCTCAAACGTCATCCCAGCTCTATTTACTGATACATCAATTAGCGGCTCTACTATCGGCATCAGTACCGTTGCGTTCATTATCGCTGGAGCCGTGCCTTTCTTCAGCTATCTCATTGGCCTCATCGGTTCGCTCTGCTGCGCTCCGACTTGCGTATGTTGATTCACCCTCCCGCTCCGCATTGAAGGCTTCGAGAGATTTTCCAGCTGCTAACATCCTATACAGTTGATCATTCCCGCCTTTATGGGTCTGTATATGGACTGGGAGCTACGCGGAACCAGCAAGGTCAAGCAAGCGCTGTGCTACTTCCACATTTTCACGGTTGTTCTGGGGGCATTCATGACCGTTACTGGAACCTACACAACCATCCAGAGCATCATCGATGCCTACAAGCTCGGTACCGTGGGAACCCCGTTCACTTGCTCCTAAATCAAGGTTACAATGCCAACGGGGGAAAGACCAGGTAGTGTTGTCATTGGCTAGCCATATTTGTCACCCATCAACTCAGATCACCTTGTAGTTACTCCGCTGTGAAGTCTCTTCTCGAACCGTCTTAGCGTTAAGGAGATAATGATGATACTTTGACGGGTAGATAGAGGGCCTTATAAGTAGAGTATTTCTTTGAAGCTTGTTGAACTTTGAAAATGTGAGGGGAGCTGTGGGCTTCACGGGGTTTCGCCATGGGATACCAGCTGGGCATTACCGACCGCACTGCTGGTTTCTTCGGGTAAAAGATACCGGCGAGGGTTTATTGTGCATGTACATCGTTTCCCTTTTACCTTGTTCATAGAGTCTACGTTCCGTTTTGGGGATGGCATCACTCCACTATTGTATCACGAAGCCCAAGCAGAGGAGCTTGCCATGAGCAGATAAGGATGAAGACAGGTTGCGCAAACAGCAGAGAAAGCAAACCCGAAGCCATTGTAGCGTTGAACGAAGAATAGCATTTGTATCTATAAATATGAGTTCTAGGAACCCAACCCATTCAATCTCCCAGATTCACATGCACAGCCTTCGTCTGTGTGTATGCATCGAGGGCGTACTGCCCGAGCTCCCGGCCAATGCCGGAGGATTTATACCCTCCAAAGGGAACCCCGTAGTGTGTATCGCCCGAAGAATTCAAGAAGACCATGCCAGCTTGTAGTCTTCTCGCCATTTTGTGCCCCTTGGTGATGTTTTCCGTAAAGACTGCTGCAGAAAGTCCGTAGCAGCTGTTGTTCGCCTTGGCCAGCACCTCATCGAAAGTCTTGAACTTGGAGATGGCGACAACAGGGCCGAAAATCTCTTCTTGAACAATTTTCATATCCTCAGTCGTCTGCGACAAGTCATGGTTAGTTGAGCGTCCAAGCAGGTCGGGGGTCAACTCACATCAGCAAAAATGGTGGGTTCAATAAAATACCCCTTCTGTCCATGTGTAGCGCCGCCGTAGACGAGGCGGGCGCCGCTCTTCTTTCCCTCTTCAATGTACGATAACACCTTCTCATACTGCGTCTTGGAGATCTGCGGTCCCTGCCAGGTGTTTGCATCAAAGGGGTCCCCAAGGAAGTGTTTCTTTCGAGTGACCTCTGTAAATTTCTCAATGAAGCGATCGTAGACTTCTTCTTGGACATAAATCCTCGAGGTCGAGATGCAGGTCTGTCCTTGATTATCCATGATGCCCATGTGGCACCATTTCACCGCGTTATCGAGGTCTGCATCGTCAAACACGATACTGGGGTTCTTCCCACCACACTCGAGGGTGATGTTCTTCAGATTAGATGCGGCAGAGCGCATTATGGCTCTTCCGGTGATAGTACTTCCCGTAAAGGCGATCTTATCAACATCCATATGTTCTGCGAGAGCCTCTCCAGTGACACTTCCGAGACCAGGCACGATGTTCACCACTCCAGGAGGGAAGCCGGCTTCAACAACGAGCTTACCAAAATACAGTGCAGAGAGAGGCGTCTGTTCAGCGGGCTTCAGGACGATTGTGTTGCCACAAGCAAGAGCAGGGGCGACCTTCCAGGCCAACATCATGAAGGGGAAATTCCTACATCTGTTAGCATGCATATTCCAGATGTCAGTACGGGTAACGTACCATGGGATAATCTGTCCGCAGACGCCAAGAGGCTCGCGCAGTACATACGCAAACTTGGAAGGATGCGTTTCAACCGTGCTCCCACTGAGTTTGTCTGCTGCGCCGGCATAATATTTGAAGACGTTGTGAGAGGCACCGATGTCTATGTTGAGAGCTGCAGAGAACGTCTGAGGAAAGCCTTTAGAAAGAAGAAGATGGACGGATGGTTGTTATTTTTCTCTTACCTTGCCATTATCCATCGCATCAATGCTCGCAAGAAGCTCACGATCCCGATCGATGAGACCTGCAAGTTTCATGAGGAGGTTTCCGCGTTCAGCGGCCGGGAGTTCCGACCATGGACCTTCAAATGCCCGCCGAGCCGCAGCAACAGCAGCATTGACATCGTTACCGGATGCCCCTGTGAAAGTGGCGATGTCTTCCTCGGTACTGTCTCGGAGGTTAGTCGAGGTTTGTTATCAAGAGAAACCAAGGAAGGGCACGCGCGTGGGATTGATGACTGTGAACGCGTCTCCGGATGCTGCCATGAACTCATTATCGATGAGAAGTCCTGTTGGCTGAGAATACTCAATCCCATTGGGCAAGGTGATCTGGAGGGATGGAGCCATGGCTGCCTGCACTCGTAGCTTCAGGGGAAAATGTGATGAACAATGCGGAAGAACTAAAGATTTCTCGTCAAGTCTGCTATTCTTCTTCACATCGACTGTACCATATGCCTGGTCACATGGCTCGGGGCTTGGGGGATAGGGGAGCGAAACCTGACCGAGCGTCGCGTTTTTCCGGCGCTAGCACTTGTCCGCGCCGACATTATCAACAACACCGGGCCGGTTCTTGATAGAGGAGGGGCTGATACCGGGCTCACGGGTCCATTCAATTCATTCAGGCCGTCTTTATCCCAAGACTCAAGCAATTTCGGTTCATTACAAGTGCCAAGCGTCGAAAAGTTGATGCGGGTCGGCATCCTGCGCCTCGTCGGTGTCGATGTCTGGGGCAACATCCCCCATCAAACGTCAAATTCTAGGCCTTCGACTTGACGAAGAAGGTTTCGAGCGACCATCAATGACGATTGATGAGCGATAGACACCCTAATCTGCTCAGCTATGTTCCTGTCTAGCGGATAGTAGCGACGGGGACGTTATCCTACCCTCAATCAACGTGTAAGTTCTCCAGAGCCCCGAGGTGCAGGAAACCGAGCCTCACCGTTGGAAATGCGCTTTCAAAGATTCGTCCGAGTTTGAGAAGCTGCCAGGCTGAATCCAGACACCCGGGAGATCCAAACTACGCTAAAAAAGAGCCACGGAGTGTCATACGCTACGCCATGAGGAAGTAGGCTAGAACGAGGAAATACATGAGTTTCCGCTAGCCTACATCTTTCGAGGACCCCATTACTCACAAGAAGGTCTGCTTAGCTCTACAAAACGGTCAGTTGTATCCTCTGTCAAAGATAATATGCCCCTAACTTATTGTTCCCACAGTACCACTGCTCGTCTACACAGGGCCTTTCTACCCAAATAGATAGGGGTCAAGATGGTCGACTCCTGCATCTTGAGTGACTCAGCTGGGCCAGATGAAAGAATGAGGGACCAACTTGTCACATTTCAACAAAGGACATTGACACTCTCAGTCATCCGCGTTGCTGACGTTCCGAGCTCACAGTTCCCTCACCACGCCGGAAGAGTTTTCCATAAGTATACACATTCTAGATAACGACAAATACAATCTATTTAGGTCATTGTCTTCGATGGTTCTTGGCTAAGTCATATCTCGAGATAAAGGCATGTAGTTCAAATTCAATTTTCAGGTAATTGGGTCATGTCGTTTGGCCGGTTGCCTGAGGCCATCCAGACCGCTATTTAGCGGGGTATCAAATTGCATCACCGGTTCCTGCTTGTCACTACTCGCAGTCATTGATCTCCCTAGGCCCAGCGTTCCGGCCCGGGTGAAGCAATATGCGACCTGTAAAGGCATGCTTGCAATGCAGAAGTGGAAAGCGAAGATGCGACCGGACAGGCGAATTGGCATGTTCTCAATGTATCCAGCGAAACCTACCATGCTCAGCCGCCATCAATAGCCTCCAGTCCGCACAGCCTCTTCCTCCGGTTGTATCAACTCGTTCCAGCGAAGAGACCATTCATTTAGTCGATCTCTATTTTCGATTCATTCATGACCAGCCTCACAGCCTCTTTCACCAGCCTTCCTTCAAAGCAAGCGTTGTCGCAGGCACCGCCTCTCAACCTGTCCTGCTGAGCATGATGGGCATGGCAGCACGGTACATTCGCACTCATACTGTTTCGCAACTAGGTTTGAGTTTGACAGAGGACTAGGTTTGCCACACAGCCCGACATACGCTCCCGCGGGCCCGTGTATTGCGCCCAGGGAAAGGCGGCGTTGAAGGACGACCTTGAGCATATCTGCATCGAGAACATCCAAGCGTGTATTCTGGTGGGAAACAACTCTATGGGCGATTGTCATGCAGATGTTGAGTCGTTATACTTTGGTACATTGCTCCAGAAACTTGCAACATGGTGGCTAATCATGGCATCCAGCACTTGCCAATCGCATGGCTCAGATGCTCAATCTCGGCGTTTGCAACGAGTCTGATGATGGAATCACGCGCGAAACAAAACGCCGCATATTCTGGACTTGTTTCATCACCGATACCTGGGCCAGCGGTGGTTCAAACCTGTCGCGCCAGTTTGGATGGCAGGCCAAGCAGCCCCGGGTGCCCATGGACGAATATGTCTTCTCCATGATGATACCAGGAGACCCAGATATCGATGATTTGGAATGGAGGCCTGGCCTATGGGGGCACATGGTGAGACTGGTCAAGATATACACCCAGATACAACAACTTCACATGGAGCTCGCCGAGACAGACACGTGGGACGAGACACTAATGGATGAGTCAGTTCGACGCCTCGAAAGCGATCTCGACGCCTTTGAGCAGAACCTGGACCCCGGGTTGACATTCTCCATGGAAAACCTGGCAGTGTTTGTAAGCCGGGGCCTCGGCAGCGTCTTTATTGCTTTCCATCTAGGCTATCATCACTACTACACGCTGCTCTTCTACCAGTACCTCGACCAGCGTCGGCCTTCCACGAGGAACGGCAAGAAATATGCAGATGGCTGCAAAGCTCACGCGGCCATTATATGTGATGTGCTCAAAGCCTCGCGAGAGGTTCCCGGAGCCCCAGCACTGTACAACATTGTAGGCCATGTCACGATTGTGTCATCTTCGGTGCTGCTACACACGTATCTGTTCGGCGAGCCTCATGAGCTCGAAGATTCCAAGAGTCGCCTCGAATCGAACCTCAAGTCACTAGTACAACTACGAAGCTACTGGCCGAGCGTGGAACTTATGGTATGGAGCCGCTGGGAGGCAATATATTGTATCTATTGCTTACTATTCGTCGCAGATAAATCGACTGGTGGTGTTCCAGAAGAATTGCATAAGATCTCTCAGCAGAAACACCCACCGGTTTGACAAATGGATGGTCAAGTTCCTCATTGCACATTCTTTGGCACTTGAGGACAAGGCGGATGATACATGGCCTGATTCTGATGCGAGCCAACTTGGAAATGTTCACTTTGAAAGGAGCCGCGTTACCGAGTCCATGATGATGGATATACAAAACTCGGAAACCTTTGGAGGAACTACAGGGTAACCTGAAAGCTCCAGGGTGTTGAACTGGGACGATATTATTGACATGCGGAAGTGGGCGGGCGGTTCAATCCAAGGCACAAGTCGACTTCTCAATTTTGGAAGTTAATGTCTGTGTTTACTCAGATCCTCGCTCCAGCACAGTCCCGCTCTTGGGCCTGACTTTGGTCCGGACCTTTGCAAGTTCTGGCTTGTAGGCAGCATGCAGCCCCTTACTTTCAGGATCATACAAGGTGGAGGAGTTCTTGTGGGGAGGGGGTGGCACTAGCTAGCGAGCATCCACCTCATGCCGGCTTTCAGGCTCTTCAACCAATAGTATAGCTTCAAAGCCGGGGCTGGTGAACTGCCAACCAGATCACATCAAAGCCGGTGAAGAGCACCAATCAATTTGGTTGAAAGCCGGCGCCAGAGACAGCCCCTGAATAGAGTTCCGTAGCCCCCGTGGCGGAACGTTTCATCGGATCGGAGCCTTGGCCAACCTTGGGGCTCGTGGAAGGTGAGGACAGGTGAGATGATGACAGGGTCAAGATATTTCGCGATTCTGCTTCCTCATGTGCTCAATCTGACATCGGCCCATTAAGTCGGGACAATCGAGTGCCAATACCTCAGACGCGGCCTTGGCACATATTGATGAGCAACCCAACATGTTCGCTTTACGCACCACAAGCCTAGTTCTGGAACCCCGGGAAAGGAGTCGAAAAGCATTTACTACACTGTTGGTCTAAGCTGTAATGTCTAATCTATAGTGGCCCTGGAGCAGTGTCAACGTCTTGCCCTTGAAACTCCTGGTCTCATTGACCGGCAGCCTCTGAATCTCCACCGTGCTGCTCTCACATGGCATAACAAGCTCGCACATAGTCCCAGCCGGCACGCTGACATCTACATCAGCCTTTGCCTTATCCTTTTTGCCTCTACGGTCGAAGCGAACCGATATCAAGCCATAGGGCGACTCGATCTCCCCCTCGACATAGTCAAACTCGGTCTTGAAACACGGCCTGAGCCTCCACGTGCGATACGCGTCCGTCAGCGGCCTAACGCCGAGTGCATAGTCGTAGAACCACTCGTATATCGTACCGAGCATGTCATGGCACTTGGAGCGGCAGTTGTCTTGCCAGAACTCCAGCAGGCTCGTCTCCCCGCGCCGCAAAAACCGCATGTACGAGGGGTGCTCCTCTTGCCGAATCATGTTGAGCACGATGTCGGGCCGGTCCACGTCCTGCTCTGCCAGAGTGTTCCAGAGGTACTTGAGGCCGATTTCACCGGCGCGCATGACATGCCCCGAGTCTTCAGCAGCGGCAACAAAGGCTTGGATGACGTCGGCGCGGTACTGCGGCGGGACAAGGCCGTGCTGGAGGGCTACAGCCTGAGCTACCATGGTACGGTCCTGCGTGTTGGGATTGTCCCGAGATGTATAGAAGGCGTAGGGAAACGTTGTCTTGTCGGCGACGAGGAGCTGTTGGTTGTAGACATCGTATACTCGTTCAGCCCAGGAGGTGAATCTTGCCTCGTCACTGGCGAAGCCTAGTTCCTTGGCCATCATGGCCACGTTTTGCAGGCACTTGTAGTATACGGCCGTTTCGATGTTTGCTTGGTGGTTCCCAAACGCAATGGCGTAGCCCCAATCCCCGAGACCGTGTTCGATGAGTCCGCCGAGCCGCTCCTTGCCTCGCATGTATTCCATGTACTCTACGCACGGTCGATAGATCTTTGCAAAGACACTTGTGCTTCCGTAGTAATGTTTGATGAGCTCTGGGAGCAAGCAGACGGCGCCTCCCCAGGTGATAGTGTCATGCATCGGACCACACCTTTCAACCCTTGTCAGTGGTTACCAGAGTGAGAACAGAAGAAAGAACATACATGTATCTGACCAAAGGCGCCATAGTGGGTACAAGACCGGAAGGGTCTTGGGCGTCAACAATATCATCAAGGATCTTGGAGTACACAGCCTCCATATCTCGCACGTACTGCGTGGCCGGGAAGAGTAGAGATGTTACCTCCAGCCATCCAAACTTTTCGATCTGGGGACAGTCGGTGTGGTAGCTAAAGATGTTGGAGCTAAATGTCCAGTAGCAGGCGTTTATCAAGGCGTTGACGTCTTCTTTGTCCGTCTTGACGAAGCCAAGCTTCGGGGCGCCAGATGAGACGTGCCGGGCAGTCAGAGAGTGAATGATGGGAAGACCGTCCTTGCCACCGAGTGAGGCTCCTTCGATCTGGATGTATCGAGCGCTCGTGAAGCTAAAGTCGGGCGTCCAAACCTCTTGCTCTTCTTGGCCTGAGAGCGTAATCTTGGAGTAGACACTCGTCTCGAACTCCTTGAACAAGGGATCCGGCATGAGTACCAGGCCGTCTTCTCCGATTGTCTCCGAGTACCTGACGCGATACTCTGCCCCGGTGATGCCGCTGGCTACGACTCGTACCATGATGGACGCATTCTGGCCGAGATCGTACATGATGACCCCTGGTTTGACCATGACTTGACTGACAGGTGTAAAGGTGTTGTGCAAGATGACGGGATGTTGGCTCTGGTAGTGCAACTTGCCTCTTGGCCCCGTGAGCGGCTTAGCAGGCTGCCAGTCTACATCATCAAAGCTTGGTGCATCCCAGCCAACTGGATACTCCCGCCTGTCGTAATCTTCAGAAGCGTAGATATTCGCAAGTGTCGTGGCACTCTTGCGGACCTTCCAGCTCGGATCAGAGATGATACACTCATGCGTGCCATCTTCATAGTGCGCATGGATCTCAGCAAAGAAGCACAGTTCGTTTCCATAACGCACGTACGTATTGTCCTCGTACATGGGCCAGAAGAAGCGATCTCCTTGGTCCCCGGCGTAGAAACCGTTGCCCACATGGGCTCCGATGGCATTCTCCCCTTGGGATATGTGCTCTGTCACGTCGTACCCGACAAACTGGACTGCTCTATGATAGTTGGTCCAGCCGGGGTCCAGTACGTGCGACGAGGCCGGCCTGCCATTGACGGCAAGATTGAAATGGCCCAGGCCCGACGCAAGGACGATGACGCGTGAAGGCTTGCGCTGGAACGTGAAGGATTTCCGTAGGTAGAGAGGCTTATCACTTCCGTTGCCGATCCATACGGCCTTCCAGCGGTTTGCCTCATCCTCGAACCAAGTGCGGAATATGAGACTAGAGTGCGGCATCTATCTAGGTCAGCAATGCCAAGGCAGGGAGGAGCTTTGGTACTCACATATGTTTGGTTCATGCTGTAAGGCGGCAGCAGTCTCGATGACCGAGGGTACGACGTGTAAAACTCGTTGACGGAGCTGACGGCTTCATTCCCATGCTGGTCCCAGACGGTCACAATCCAGTAGTAGGGCGTCGTCGACTTAAAGCCGCCCTGAGGGCTGCAGAGGATGTTGCGCTGCTCATTGCTCTCTACGCGGCCAGAGTCGAAGCAAAGGCCGTGCTCGTCGTCAACAAATTTGCTGTCCGATACGACAATGCGGTATGCCACCTGTTTCCCATGCTCATCGGTGATGTCGAGCTTCCAGAAGACTCGAAACTCGTCAACGTCGATGCCGATGGTTTCGCCGAAGCCGTGAATGCCACAGCCGATGACCTGCATGGTGAATGTTGTTGTTGCGTGCAGGAAATGTTGACGATCGGTTCAGACTTGGAGGGTCGGTCTTTTGACGCGAAGCCGAGTAGCCCCTGGTTTGTCTTCGGGTCAAACTGGCCCGTTTGATCGGTAGCCGCTTGATACACTCGCGAGCCATTTCCTGCCATCTGACCTGACTTACGAACAGAAGGACCCACGATGCGGATCATTGGCTCCAGATGTCGGTGACGGCGTCGATGGAGAGCGCCGGAAAACTCGACAAAGCCGGGCAGGTGTCTCCATCAGCCAGGTCATGGTGTGGTGGGGGTGTCCCTAACAAGCTGGACCTGCTCCACGCCGCTTGTTCGCATGAGCCTAGGCCTACCCTCCCAGTTTCTGTGCTAGGGAAACATGGGGAACGAACGAACCATGTTTACGAAAGACGTGACATGTTGGAAAATCTTGCAAATGCAGGTGGCCATCACTCGGTCTAGATGCCCCCGAGATCACCAGACAAACGAAAGCCCCTGTCTAATCCCCGGGTAGAGAGTCCCTGGCGCTGAATAGAGAGTTACCCCATCAGCTTGTGGCTCTCCGCATTGTACCGACAAAGCGAATCCGGGGTAGCGCTACCTATATAAACCTCCATCATCCCCAGACTCTGGCTCCATATCCCTCCTTCAACCCCATCTCTCTCTTCAACGACAGTAGCCATGCCCAGCGGCGATGCCATCACCATTGCCTCGGCGGCCTTCTTGGCCGTCGGAGGTTTCCTCTTTGGCTACGACTCGGGCATCATCAGCTCCACCATTGCTCTTCCTCACTTCAAGGAATACTTTAATTCCCCTAGTGATGACACTGCTGGAGGCATCGTCAGTTCTTTTCAGGGCGGCGCCGTCCTCGGAACTATGATCAACATGGTCAGGATCCCTTTCCCATCTATATCTGTGACAGTGAGACTGACTTGTGACTTGCTTTCCCCTAGGCTGTCGCGGATATCCTTGGTCGTAAGATGACCATCTTCTCCGGGTCTGTGGTTTCGCTCCTCGGTTCGTCTCTGCAGGCCGGATCCACGTCGATGGCCATGCTCATTGTCGGCCGGTTCATCGGCGGCATGGCCGTGGGCATGCTGACCAGTACGATCCCGATGTACGCCTCCGAGATCTCGACGCCCAAGTGGAGAGGTGCTCTGTCTGGTCTTCTCCAGTGGTTTCTCAGCTGGGGCTTCTTGGTGGCACAGTGGCTAGGTTATGGGTGCTCATTTGTCAAGACAGACTTCTCTTGTTCGTCACAACAACCCGGTAACTGGTTCCATCACATCTCGCTAACGATTCACAGGGCGATTCCCCCTCGCTTTCCAGTGCGTCCCTGCCCTTATCCTCGTGACCGGTATCTGGTTCCTGAACGAGTCGCCTCGATGGCTCATGGAGAAGGATAAACATGAAGAAGCACGAATCGTCCTCAATAAGCTACGAAAAGGCGAGAATGCTTCCCAAATCGACCTCGAGTTTATAGAGATCCGAGACGTCATCGCCGCCGACCGGGAGATTGGCAAGGTGTCTGCCATGTCCATCATCACAAAGCCCTCGTGGAGGAAGCGACTCTTGCTCGGGTGTGGAATCCAGGCTTTTGGTCCCCTCTCTGGCATCAACGTTATTAACTAGTGAGTCATTTCGTCTTTGGTTATTCCAAATAGTCGGTTGCTAAGCCTTGGATAGCTATGGACCTCGTATCTACGAGCTCTTGGGCATCGGCACACAGACCTCGTTGATGATCATCGGTATTAGCGGTGCTCTCTCGATCGTCTACTGCACCATCGGTCTCTGGATGCTTGACAAGGTCGGCCGCGTCAAGCCACTCATGGTCTCGGCTGCCTTCCTTGGTGCCTCTCTTCTCGTCAACGCCGTTCAAGCACAGTACATCAACCCCGACAATGCCAACCAACTACGCTCCATGGTGGCTATGAACTTTGTATTCAGTCTGTTTTATACTCCTCTGGGTATCATCTCCTGGGTCTACCCGGCCGAGATCTTTCCCGTCGAGGTACGCGCCTTGGGTAACGCCATTACCACGTTTACGAACTGGCTCGTCAACCTTGTCTTTGCGCAATTCTCCCCAAGCGCACTCACTCATATCGGATTTCGCTACTTTTACGTCTTCTTCGTCTTCAACCTTATCGCCTTTGTCTGCTTTTGGCTCTTTTACCCTGAAACCAAAGGCCGCACTTTGGAGCAGATGGATGTACTTTTCGGTGATCAGCTCGTCCCTCACGCACTCGATGACCCGATTGGTGCTATGGCTATGCAGAAAGAAGCCTCGGTGTCAGCACATGTTGAAGAACGGCAAGTTTAACTCGGGGTACTCTAGTTTTCAGCCCAAAACGAGCCTGCAGATTTGTACCCCCTTGCTTTGTCGCTTCACCAATCTCGGCGAACTGGATTACAATACTGTCGATGATTGGCCGTGTTGAGTCTGGGAGATTACGTTCTTTATTATAGTTAAAGCCAGGTCCTTGATGCGATAACTGAGCCAAAAGCGAGGTGCACATAAACTCTGGAGATTACGGTCAGCCATATCGACAGTGTCTGCATCTATCGTACCACCCAGATGCATTTGTAATCAAGGTCCATGTTGGCATCACTTCGAGGTGGATTTGTCATCGGGACATCCTTTAATAAACCATGGCCCAGAAACTCCATTCACAATGTGTTTGCGTTCAAAATTAATCTTTTCTGAGGGTGTGACCATGGGCGCCAAAACGGTTCTGGTTACTGGCGCGAATGGCTACATCGGAAAAGCCGTAGCCTGTGCCTTTGTGCGTGCTGGATGGGTGACATATGGGCTCATCCGTTCCGCGCAGTCAAGCATATCACTAACAGCCGAGGAAATCATACCAATCATTGGCAGTATCGACGATGTCGTCTCCCACAAAGTCATCCAAACGCTTCTTCCATCGACTTTGGATGTAATCGTTTCTACCACGGAGAACACATTGGACTACGTGCCGCACTTCCGAAACATAGTCAGTCTCCTTCAGACTCTGTCAATATCCAGCACGGCGAATGGTGTACGGCCATTGGTCATCTTTACCGCGGGAAGTAAAGATTATGGCGTTGGACCTCATCTTTCTGATGACCCCGGCTTGACACCACATGACGAATTGTCGGAGCTTCGTCCACCTCCCTTTGCTGCTCCTCGAGTGCAACATACACCAAGAATCTTTGAGAGCACCAACGCTTTTGCGGCTGTTCTTGTCCGACCCACCAATGTCTATGGCCGAGCGTCAAGCTATTACAGTGTCTGCTTTCGAGCTAGCTCTAAAGCAGCGTCGACCGAGAACCCACAAGACCGCATTCTTATCGCGCCAACCCAGCCCAATTGGATCTGTCATTCGCTGCATATCGACGACTGCGCAGAGGCATATGTCGCCATCGCTTCTGCTCCACGAGAAACTGTCCAGGGTGAGGTATTCAATATCTCATCCGAGCGTTATGAAAACGCCGAGCAAATCATCAATGCAATCATCAAAGAGTACGACATCGCAGGCGGAGTCAAGTATGTAAACCTCAAAGATTTTGCAACAGATGAGGATGCTTCACTGGCAATGGCGATTGGCTTTCCACAATGGACAAGTTCGAAAAAGTTGAGGATGACCACTGGGTGGACAGACCATCGTCTGCCGTTCTCGGATGCCTTTCATCTCTACCGACTGTCTTATGAAGCAGCTGCACAGTTGAGAGATGAGAATGTTGACAAGATTGGGGAGACTATTAACTCACTAATGTCTACCGTTGAATGTGTATGATATCAAATAGGCTACTAAGCTTTATTAGTCTTTAGTAGGTATTAATATATTTAATAGACCCTAACCTCACTGCCTCTATATAGGTAGGTCAGTTTAGAGGCAGCATAATATACTCTCTAAACTACTAATAAGTTAAGAAATAATTAGAAAAAGTTACAATAAGTATTAGAACTTCTCATTAAACTATCAGTACCTGCCTAAGTACTCCATCTATACTAAAGTCTTCCACTAATTCCCTTGGCCATTGTCTATGCGGTACAAGATGATCTTCCTCTTTTGGCCCTCTCAGAAGCATCTCCCATTGTTGGTAGCCTCCACGCGGCTTACTGCGCCATTCCCAGCAGATATCCCAACAATTAGAAGTCTTCCAGTAACACGAGAATGCAGACGTTTCTTTCTCAACATCAAAAGTGAGTTGAAGGTAGTGCCTATCCACTTGGGGGTCAAACTCAGAAAAGTTCTCCTTCAAGCACTGGGCATAACACTCGACAAACGTCTGCCCTAAATGACGAGACTCATTGATGATGCTCTGAAAGACCGGGAGTATTTTCTTCGTTGCGATCCTACCTCCCGGAAACATTTGCTGGATCCCAAACCATCCATGCTCCATGACTAGTGGCAAGCTAGCCAATGATCTTTGAAAGACTTGAGGGCTGGCTTGACATTTTTGTAATGCTTCTGTCAGCACAGTATGCAAACTACTCTCTACATCAAAAGACAGACTAGGAAGCCTTGGACCCGGACGGCAAACCTCCAGGTAAAGATTCTCGTACGTACAGCAATGGACGAGTTCATATCGTCCAGTGTCGTGTCGCATAAAAAGAAGAAGACTGCCCTCATCTTGATAGAAGAGATGGACTTAGCCAGGTGGAAACCGCCTGTCGAGGATCTTGTCTCGTGTTTCGATGCACAGCCGGGCTCGGTCTGAACATATGTACGAAATCCTGCGTCTTGTCCGGGAATGGTGGACGGACGTGTCAAATTGAAGTAGATGTATCAAGCCAAGTGAAAGAGCACCAGTAGTGAACATCCCAGTATGGCCCAACGTAAACGGGTCGGCAGAGGGTGCTATCGTCGTCCTCACCACCCCAGGTGTATGAGACTGTCTCGTACTCAGGACAATCGTCATGTCGAAAATCCTCCAAAGTAATATGAATGGGATAGCCCTTATCATCGTTTTCGACTGAGTGTCAACAAATGAGCCGGAAGTTCTCTAGGCCAAGGATTTCGCCATATATCTCCCTGTTGGTTGACCGAGCCTTGGAAAAGCTAACTTGGCTTCCGTGTGACGTAGCCTGCGGATTCTCTGGTGGTTGAGATTTTTCTTGGACCTCCAGAGCACTAGAAGCGGCCGTGGTATCAAGCATGGAACATTCGTCTAAATAAAGACCGCAGCATGGCCACTGGAGCCTCATTTGTCCAAAAGGCTGATCTGGCGGTATGAGGCAGAAGAGATTCACATCTGCTGACTGTGAGATAAGTTCTTCAAGTGGTGGAACGCTGTCGCAGGCTCGGCATCGTGGGATACTCCCATCCAGAAAAACCATGGGCTTCTGGCATGAAGCCTTGTGCCAACGTGTCATCTCTGCCCGCGGAAGCTGGCCACAGTCGACGGTTCAACTCTCGAATCGGTACGAGATAGGTTGAGAAATACGCAGTATTTCCCTAGTTTTGTGGTCCCTGTTTGTTAAGGAGTTATGGATAGCATGGCTACTACTTCTGCCTAGATAGTAGTTACTTTAATAATGTATTGCTACCTTACGGAGGGTTAATGCCTAAAGGTAGGAGTATTAATAATGGCACCAACAAGGTCACATGACCTCTGTAGATTCTCCCTGATTTCCATCTCATTTGCATTCTTTCCTTCTTCACATAGAAATTTGTATGCCATAGGCCAAAGCTGCAAAGTTTAAACCTTTCATTCTTTGAGGCATGCTCCTCTACTCGCTCGACATCCTCTACCGGCCCAATTGTTGTAAACTCACCACCTGTCAACTTTCTTTTCTAATGCTCTTCCGTCAGAGTTATGTACAAGAGACCTACGCCCGTCTCGAGAACTATTATGCAAGTCATAGCTCCCCCCTTCTATTCTCTAGATCCTTCGCTCTTCCTAAAACCTCGCTTTGTATTACCTCCAACACTACATCCCCGAAGAGGGAATCGCATTACCCCTAGAGACCCCAGTGTCACTCACTCGTCTTTTCCTTTTACCAGACAGCCTTGATATCTGCGTGTGCTTGGCCGGCAGCTGCATCGTGGCACAGTCAAAGTCAATAAGCATAACCGTCCCACATTCCTCATTCCAAGGCATGTTCCGATGCCGCATATCGTTATGAGAAACGCCATGTGTAAGAAAACGCCTCTTGAATGACTCTCGTTGTTCTTCGGCGTAAAGCCCCTCGGGCATTCGGTCCCCTCCCCATGATAAGAGTAGCATATGAGCAATAAATGCCATCGGGAGAGGGTAAGGTGTCTGAAGGTCGATGCTTCCCAGGCAAACAGGAACAAGGTGTCCTTGTAGCGAGTCAAGTCGCGAGTAGACCTTCGACTCGTGTTCAATACTCGCCAGGGCAGCTGCGAAGGTTCCCTTGCCAACAAATGTGTAGCCGTGTTTCCGCAATGACAGCTTGAAGAGCTGTCCTCTTGCCCCATACTTGCCATCCACAGGCTGATAGTAGCGGTAACGATAACATGGCTCGCCTATCTGAGCATTCAAAAGCTGTATAAACTCGCGGATGTCGATATGGTGGCGAGAGCCTCCTTCTGGAGAACGATGGAGAGCCACGTTAGGACACTTTTCCTCCAGTAGTCCCTGCCTTTTGAGGCCCAAGAGGCAGGCTTGCGTGCAGTACTGCTGAGCCTCAAGCTCGAACGAAGCCCCGTCAATGCTCGCAGAATATTCACTATCCGAGGTCCCTTTCTTTCGTTTTTTCGAACAACTGGCTGCCTCTGGTACTGATGGCTGGATGCCTGCGTCGTCACTGTGGTGGTCCTCATCGCTATCAGTGTCGCCAAATCCACTCCCTTCCTCCACGAGCTCTTTGTCCTTGCATGATGACCTAGTAAGCCGAACCGGCGGGGACCGAGAGGGATCGTTTTTGGGGGATGGAGATGATGCAATATATGATGCAGTTGATGGTGCTTTAGGTGACGATGATGGAACCTCTGCGGTCGGCTCGCGCATTTCAGGATAAGGGTTGGGCCACGTTTGAAGCCTGGCCTGCTCCCGTAGAAGCCATTCTTTAGTCTTCCTAGGCTCTAAGAAGCCCTTCAAGCAAAAGGCCGACAGCTGCGCAACTCCTGTGAAGAATAGATCTGTGGCTTCGGCCTCGACATCCTTGTTTGGCTGCACCATGTGATGATACAGCACCTGAGCATCTTCATCAATCCGTAGAAAGATGAGGGAATGGCCTCCAGTGAGATACCCGAAGGTGCTTCGGCAGCAAACCATGTAGTGGAAGATCTGAGCCAAAGCTTTGGCTACCTTTTCGTCCCTCCGGTCGTTATCACGGTCATGACCAGTGGATAACTTGTGGCCTACTACGTTTGACAGAACTTGGTTAAACAAGTCTTCCTTCTGCAGCGCCGCTTCAAAGTCTTGGACACCAATCTTGTGTGCTGCTTTGTACCCGATGGGGAAAGCAATGTGATCCTGTCCTCGGCCGTTGCGGGGGCCTGACTGTTCGCCTGCAAGCCGGCGTCCGCACCATCTGTCTGGAAATCCCAACCTCGGCTGCTTTTGGGTTGTTTGGGAAATACGCCAACTTTCCTCATTGCCATCCGGCTCTTGCAGGGTGGGCAATTGGTTTGTGAATCTGATGTTTGCGCACTCGAGATCTTGGGTCATTGGGTGGGATTGACACCGTGGGCCAAAGACCTTGTACACTTTCTGAGCTGGTTCCTCCAGGGCAAGGCGCTCGAAAAGATTGAGGTCTGCCTCGCTAGCGACGTTGGGGCCGTCGGCCGTCTCCGACCTCTCTTCAACGTACGATAGAGATGGCAGCAGCTGAGTGCCGTTGAGGACCTCTCGGATGATGTTGTAATGTGTCCGCTGCGAGCCGAGGAAGTCCTCCCATGGTCGTAACTTTAGTGGGTAGTACTTAGCGTCGACACTTGTAGTGCTCTCGCTGGATTTCGTCAGAAGTAAGTCATCGCTGATTTGCAGGGATTTGAAGAGGTGTTCATGGCAGTATCTGAGGTATTCTTCGAGGGTCGTACGTTGTACGGTAGCCCCCCTAAGCCTTTGCGATTCATCATTCTCGGACATGCCTGCTAATTATAGCCTTGCCATTTTTGATAGCAGAACTTGTAGGCGTGCCTCAAAGACGCTGGCATTGCGTTCTAACAGGTGTTGTTGATGGAAGCGAGATGACAAATGACGGTTCTCGGTTTCAAGTGGGACTGGGTAGAACTCGCGGCAGAACTGTTATTCCGGACCCGATGTGAGACATGATAGTCTAAATCACTGGCTTTGTTGGTACCCTGGACAAATATTTGGTCCTCGTTCGGCTTTACAAAACCAGAGGATATGCTTTGCCTTACCTGTGTCATTTCCTGTTTTATGTAATTGTCTGTTTTTGAAACGTCAAAGGTGGGAAGAATCGCGTCCCTGCTGCTCTGGTAAAACAGGGGCTCATGGATTAGGTCAACTCCGTAAGACTCAAGGACATAAAATAAGTCTCAACCCAGGAAACACGCTCAGAGATTTCATGAGACATTTATGGGGTCCGGCCCTTATATGTTAGTCTTTCTGGCTCAAGTGTGATCTGTTTTTTTTTAGTTCAAGGCCTCCTTGTACCTAGTGCATCCCATTTTCTGGGTAATGCATACTACATGCCTACTCAGGAAATGCTCTTTGATCCATACAAATCAAGCCAAATATGCCTTGAATAGGGCGAAAAGGCTCATCAGATAATGCTCGTATCATTTAATAAGACTTCATAGTGGAGCCTGCGGATTTCCTGAGGTCAGTTCTTGAGTCGTGCAGTGTGAACTACCATCTCAGGAAATACCCCTTAACCCAGAATTATTGGCTGAAAACTGGCCTAGATGAATACATTGACTATTTGAAGTAGACCATCCTTCAAAGCATTCATTCAGTCCTGGTTGTGGCGGTTTTCCTGACATCGCTTGTGGGCTCGACAGACGCGAAAAGGCCACTTCATGAAATTTCCTCTCGCTGCCATAAATTCAACGATCAATGCTCTCGATAACGCTTCTAGGTGCTATAAAGCTATTGTGTGTTGCCTATGGGTGACTTTGACCGGATTCGTGGATTTCCTGACATCGTCCGTTGGCTTGGGGAGTTTTGGGCAACGTGACAATTGCCAACACTCGGCTCGTTAAAACAATGCTATTGCAAACCCTCTGAGCGTATCACTCAACTTGCTAGGTATCTCCCTCGCTGCTGAATTTGATATCTTGTTTTTGCCATTTTCATGACTTCAGCTTTGACCGTCTCAAATGATACATTCATGCATTGACAAAAATCTCAGACCAAAGGGAGGCCATATTGGGAAGAGGGAGCCTAAGGAGCTGGTGCAGGTGTGTAGGGTGGCATAGGAATGACGGTACGGCGCCAGACCAAAGTCAAAGTGTTAGGCCCGCGGTACCACTGACCGGAGATCTATTGGGGGCTAATTGATAGCAGGTACTTGAACAGCAACACGGCGGTGGTCCAATCGCGGGTGCCCTCAATGGTCCCTGGCATGGACCGACCAAGCCCCCTCCTGGATCTGCCTTGTTATTGGTCAAAGTTATGAGACCCCCTGTTTGTTGTTCAAGGGCCCTTGATCACTCCCTCAGTCATGCCCCCTCGTTTTTCTCTCTTACTTCTCCTTCCATCACTTTACCCCATCATCTTATTGATACATATGCTACGTGATGTATCGGCCTGTCTTGCTCAAGTGAACAAGGTCTCGCGAGTCGGGATGTGATATTCGTGTCTTTTCTCTCTTATGCCTTTTGCCCCTCCCGCCGTCGCCCCGCCCCTAGCCTTGCGCCTTCACTGCTTCGTGATGGATGCGATGCTCTGTTCATCCCATCCATGATACCATACCGCACCTGGGCCATTGACAATAGCAGATGAACTAGCTCTTTCGAACCAAACCATCCCGATACGGCCTCGACGACGACGGTAGAGATGACGCCACGCGGCACCTTGCATGCTCATGTTTGCCAACTCGACACGATGGCAAACGCGGCCCCTCGACAACGCATTGCCCCCGAACGCGACGCGCTTTTGTATATCCGGGCCAAGCAAATAAGTATTTGTGTAAATAATGCTATGCTGCTGTGACGCGCTCGCCGCGTCTTTTTGCGCATCCATGCCAATCTTGACTCTATACCTGCCAATTCGTGGGCGGTCTCCTTGTGCTCGTGATCGCGACTACCACAATCGACTCCGTTTCGGCCCGCCTTGAACCGTCCGACCGACGATCGATGTCCGATTCTACACTCAGTTTTTCTCCCTACGCCGCATTAAGACTTGCCAGAAGATGCCCAGAAAGCGCCGCAATCGACGGAGGGGTGGTTCAACGCGCGTTGCCCCAGGAGCGGCCCACTGAAGCCGGAAGCCTGACGGTCAAGCTCAAAGTGCGTCCAGCTGCCCTGGCAGCTGTTTTGAGTCTTCCGGATCCTACGTCCATCACCGTAAACGCAGACGTGCCTGCGTCTATCACTCCGCAAGACAACGCCCCTCTAATCACTGATGCGCAGGATCTGCTCACAACACACGAATCTCTCCGAAAGGAGATGGCCAAGCTCCATCTCGACTATGTGAACAACACGTTAGAGCAGCTGGAGACCAATCTGGTGGACCTGGCTCGCGATCGCGACGAGGCCGTGGACAAGGCCACGAATTACCAGGCCGCTTACGACTGGCAACACATGGAACTTGGCACTGCAGTCGAGAGAGCTTTCGAGGCTCGCATCTCGACCCTCGAGCATCAACCCAACGACGATCTCTCAGTGAGCAGCACCAAGACAAGCCTCACTAACAAACTGAAGTCGGTCCACGCCTGGGGACACGAGGTGCGCAAGGCTGCACAAGATGTGACGACTGCGGAGAGTGGGATTGCCATCATCTCGAAGCAGAAGAAGGAACGCCAGAAATTGAGAGACAACATCTTGAAATCGCTCTGATGCGGTACAGAAACAGGCGTTTTACTGTATGATAATACGTATGAAGCCCTATGGGCATGGAGTCTTGGGAATGGAAGGGTCTGGGGGCAATACTGGGCGCGATGTGATGGCGAGAACTCAACTGGGTCTTGAGTTCGCCTCAACAAAATGCTGGATTTTCTTGTCGAACCAAGTCTTTACTACCACGCCTTCGTGATGCATATGACAGCCAATGCTAGTGTACCTCTAGGGTCTACGCCATGATAAAGTAATGGCGTGTTGAAAGCTATGGTACCGGAGAGTGTAGTCGGCGACACTGAGGAAGTTCTGGCATGGCGTTATGGCTAAACGGCGCTGTACTTGGAGGTTGGCTTGGGGTATTTGAAGGGTTTCAGCTCCTTCCTCGCCACTGGATCACGGTTGGCCGTAGTTAGGGATCGTGAAGTGCACAATGTTGACAATCGTTCAAACTTTCCCATGGTAATCTATCAGACTCCCTACTTGACTAAGTCGGACTACCTTACACAAGCGTAATGATAGGAACGTCTTCCTCTGGCTGCTCCTCTGGTTTTCGTCCCAGTGTCTCCTCGTCAATGAAAATAAACCCCAACCTCTGATATTCTTCACCCCCCTTCACTTTTGCAACAATTAGAGCCTGGTATTGGTCATCGTAACTCTCCTCCGTCACCTTCAATAAAATCAAAGCAAAAAGCTCTGCTCCCTCTAAACTCTTGACAAGTTTCAGTGCCTCTTGCGGAGCATCTTCAGCCGTGAAGTCAAAGTCGAAGCGGGAGTGGATACCCTCCGGTTTGCCGTTTGGCGTACGCACTTTCGGATTGTTGTCATAAGCGAAGCCTGCTTTGTTAGGGTCCCAGTCCTCGATGGCAAGATAGAGACGTTCCATTGGCGCCTGTATCTTGATTCTTGCGTCGGTGACCTCGCCGTAAGGATTTGCGCCTTTCAGATTCACTTTGACGTCTAGTACCTTGGCCAGGGTATCATAATCCTCTTCGACGCCTAGGCCAGGAATTCCATCCATGGATGCCCATGACCAGGAAGGCGATCTGTACTCTTGCACTCGTCTACATCTCAAACCTTGCCACAGAAGCCCTTCAATGAGGTGAGAACGCCAAAGGCCAGCCACGTATTCGTCATCAAGCCGTTCTGCAAAGACGCTAGCAAGACCAGACATGGCAGGGAGTTTATCCGAGGCGTTTGTGAGTTTCCGCGGTCCATATAACCAAAGAAGGCTGTACCATGATCCCAGTAATGCCGCTTTCTTGTTGGAAATCTTGTCGTCCTCACAGCTAGCCTCGTTTCGGGATTGCTCTGCTCCTTCGGGCTCTTCTTCCAAATCCTGGTGCACACTCTTGAATCGGTCTTTGAGGGACAGACCATCTTCCCCTCTAAATCCCTTGTTGCATTCAAAAAACAGTTGTTGAGTGCCGTATAGTAGCATCCGATGGGATAGGACACGCTCCTGAAGACCCCAGGCGCGATCCGAGAGTGGCTCATCCGGCATAGATATGTAGTCGCTGGAGATGGCTTCTTCGTGGAGGGGTAGATTAAACGCCAAAGCTTGCCCTCGTAGGTCACCAGATTTATACCCGAGCTCAACGTATTCCCTAGTCGGCCTTTCTCCAAATAGTCCTTCAGAGCTGTCCTTGGCTCTCGAAGCAGCGACTGTCAGATACGCATTGCGGTAGATGGATAGCATCTTGGCCGATTCCCGCTCCCAATTCTCGTGGTCATCTTGACATATGCAGATGCTGTCTATCCACAGGTATCTCACTCCTAACTCTCGTGCCAGTTTGATAGCATCTTGGTGCGTCTTTGGTAGGTCAGAAATTATGATTTGGCGCTTTCGATCTGCAAGTGTGGCTTTGGTGGTAGTGCATGCCTGTTCATTACCCCAGCAATAGCTTCATGATGGACATTAGCCATGATACTGCTCATAGACTGCCGGCTGAAAATACCTCAAGGATATATATGTTCCATGTTCATGTGCCTCAGTCTCGCGGAGCTTCACGTGAGGACTGTTGGTATCGACACCCACGTCGATGATGCGAGATGGCAATTGTGTCTCACCAGGACTGCAGCTGGGGTGCTCGTTGCACTCCTTCAGCCACTCGCGGGCTCTTGAGATTGCTGCCAAAGTTCCTCCGTGTTGTTCAACTGGTCGGCCCCGAATGATCGACTCGAGCGGGTCCCCTAAGGACGTCAATACGAAATGAGACTCTTGGATGAAGTGTGAAATCTCACCATCTCTCACACAAAGTCCGATCGCCGCCACCAGCCTCACTTCTTTTTTCTCCTTTCCATCCGTCAAACTCATGACCCAAAATCCATCTCCCCCATTCTCTCGCTTCACAATCCAAAGTTCCCATAATGGCCAGTCGTACTTGGTGATAGTGTCGGCTTCCCATTTCGGCTTCAGCTCTTCCAACTCTGATTGGCATGATTCTACTTGCTTAAGGATCAGGCGGCAGAGATCACAGCTCAGCGCTGTTGCGGAATTCCGCAAGGCTTCGAGGCTTTGATGATGAGAGTAACCTCTAACGTCTTCGGGCCATCGGTAGAATGGTTGGAGGTATGGATACCCGCTCAGTTCAACGTCGAGATCGGGTGGGACTGAAGGAAGTGTTTCCCAGGGTATGCCCTTGCATAGATTGCACAAGGTCATGTTTTGATGTCTGAGAAGATCGGCTTGGGGAAAGGATCAGATTGCTTAGGACCCAAGGATTCAACAATGCCCTTCTTAGCTGGGAGGGTGTGTAGGTAAGATGTTGGACTGTTTTCCTAGTGGTGCAATAATTGGGCAAATGATCGAACAGTCAGTCAAGCCAGGCTCTAAGAGGAATGAGAATCGCGCGAAATGCTGACGCCCAGACATTTATATAATGGAGTGCCAAGTGTGAAATAGTGTGGTACGACTCTGACTCAGACGCCAGTTCACTTATGGCTATCATTCTCCACCTTCATTACGCGGAAACCCTGTCATGAAATAGGCAGCATCGAGATGGCCCTCATGTACATGTGCTGACTGCATGCTCGCGTCGGGACTGTCAGCCCGCATGATAACAACCCCACATCGTATTTCAAGTTATTGGGCGGTTCACGCCTTTGTTTCGTGGCCACCAGTTAGAGTGATTAATGGCCAATGACAACATATGTTTTACAAGTAACGCAATGATATATCTGCTCTAGAGATGACCGGTGTCATGATTAAACTCCTTCTATAATGCATCAGCTTCCTCTATACAGGTCAAAGCGTCACAGGAAGACAGATATCATCTGTCTTCATAAAGGTACTACTTAGTGTATTCTAATTGGATTAGCACCCTGTTCACGACCACAGCATAAGCTTATACCGCGGAAAGAGGTAAGGATCATAAGTAGTAGTTTACCTTTCTCACACAGTGTAAGACGAGCCGGATTGATAAGTGTCAGAATTGTCGGGATGACCCCGACTCTGTTCCTCATTTATTGCCTGAACTGTCAACGAGAACACTTTCGGGTACATACTGGCTCATCTGTCTAGTCAATTTGTTTGATTTGAGCTCCAGCCCAAGTCATCGATAGCAAAGAGCAATATGTCAACAGAAGCCACCACAACAACGATGCGCCCTACCCCGGCCACCCGTCACTTGCTCGTGACTTCACCTCGTACCGCATCGAATTTGTTTGTCCGGATCCTTAACTTTGAGGGACAGGGCGCCCGGCCGATAAAGAGCAACGGGTACTTTTGGTTGCCGTCGATCCTCAAGCGCTACGCGGTACAAGGGAAGCCCATGTCTGAGTGGACAGCGGAGGAGAAGAAAGAGATCGATGATATTGAGCAACAATGCTTCGACAACCTGCTTGATTATATAAAGAATGCCGAGAATGAAGGCCAATTGGTCTTGTTCAAGGAGCACGCTCTACTGCTGAACCATCCGTTCTTCGAGTCCGAATTCGCTCACGGGAAAGGCACTACAATTGGCGAACCTACTGTACTGGGGAGCGGCACGCGCTCTCCGTTGAACAAGACTGTACTTTCGGACGAATTCCTCAAGACCTTCAAACCAACATTTCTTATCCGACACCCGGCTTTGTCACTCGCCTCCATGTATCGCGCGGCACGTAGTGACGTGTTGGGACGCCCCGACAAGGAACCCAGCCCCGTTGAGAGGTCTTCAATCTGGAGCAGGGCTCTATTTGACTTTTACGAGGCCCAACATGATAAGGGGGGAGAGCGGCCGCTTGTGCTGGATGCGGATGATATGATGACCTCCCCAGAGCTAATGTCGAAGTACGCCAGACTGGCCGGACTGGATCCCGACAAGTTGCGCTTCTCGTGGGAAAAGGCATCTCAAGAGGAGCTAAGCAACATGTCAGCCATGGCCCGAATGATGCTGAGTTCGCTTAGCGCCAGCGACAGTGTAAATCTTGACAAGGTCGCTGGCGATCTTGATATTGCCAAAGAGGCGGCCAAGTGGCGGGCCGAGTTCGGTGACGAGGATGGGAGCAAGTTGGAGAGCTGGGTTCGCGCAGCTATGCCTGATTACAAGTACATGCGGTCAAAGAGGTTGAAGATCTAGTTTAGGGTACTTAAAATAGGCATTAAGAAATAGAAGGAGGCAAGCGAGAGATGAAGGCTCTGGTTAAGATCAGGAGCGAGGCACTGTTATACCAGCTAACTTCCCTTGTTTCTCGTACTGAGGTTAGAGCAGTTAAGTGCCCCACGAGAGATTTAGCCTTTCATACCTAGTTATATAGCTAGGTATCACTCTTTGACTATAGGCAACAGAAAGGCTTTAAAAAGGGCTCTATTTTTTGGGCATTGGGATATAATGATATGATGATATGATGCGTTGATAATGTGTTCTTGGTTGTAGTTGAAGCCCAGCCTTCGATGAGATAACTGCACCAGAAGACCCGAGTTTCTCTCAGCGGCTTTGAGACTATACTTGGTATCCAGGCCCAGACCAATTAGCACTTCTGTCCTGGAAATCTAAGCATCCAGCAGCATTTCTGAGATACTCTACTGAGATCTTGGGAACATCTTAGAAGGGGATCAGCGTTGAATTGAAGTCGCAAGACTATTTGAATTCTTTTGGGCCCGTGAACTTGCAGAAAAGCACAAGGCAACCATACATGCCGAGGCACTGTGCTTGCTATAAATCACATCCTGGTATTAACTGCCAAGTATATCAACAGCCATACCAATACAGAGCACGTGTGTTTGTCTGATGGTAGCATTGTGGATATTTGAAAAGCTATCGAGATAGAAAAGGTTGATAGGAAAAGATGATAAAGATCTAAATGAGTGTGGTGAATGTGATCCCTTGCGGCACCTGCCTCCCGCCGCTTTCACCTTAGTGTGTTGAGAAATGTCTCAGTCTTTGATGAGGATGCCCTGGAGCGCTAACTCATCCAGCAGCTGCTTTTCATTCTCAACTTGGCGGGTATAAACCTTGTGATTATCCTCCGGGCGTAGCCGAGCCCATTCGGTTTGCGGGCGAGATTTTGAATCGGGGTCGTAATTCAGCGTGACATCAGGCCAACCAGTTGGGATGAACTCCACGGCATCCACCATAGCCTTTGGCAGTACAATCGTTCCGTGTTCGCCGACTTCGATTTCGGCGGCGGGCCCCATGGGCTGACTATCGTTGACTGGCTCCAACAGCTCGAGCGCAATCACATTGGCCAGGTCATTCCCGGCGACATAACCGAGGATGACTTTGATGCAGCTCTCGACCATGTTGCTCCTAGCAACAGGCGATGGACCCATGGCGAACTCATACGGGATGAGAATATTCTCCTCGGGGACGAATTTGAAGACGACTCCATGGATTTTGCCGAGATCCAGGGAGCCGATTGAGGCAGGTCTACCCCACTTACCGGCGATGGTTTGCATCTTGGTTTCGAGTTTGATCTGCCCCTTTGGAAGGTCGTCGTGTTTGTGAAGCAAATGAATGCCGAGCTTCTCACGAAGGTTTCGTTGGGCGATTATAGCCTCGAGATTCTTGACATGGTCCTCATTGACGCTCATCTTGGGATTGATGCGAGGGAGTCCATTGTAGCTTCATCAAGTGGCTTTGTGTTAGCGTGAACGCAACTTTAACAATGAAATTGTTGGCTACGCTCACATGGTGTTGGACCTGTTCATATCATCCACAGTGAGAGTCGTCTGAAGCCCGACGATGGCCGGCATGGCAGCAACGGTGGTGGCCGCCATTATGCCTAGGTCAGGTCTTGATGATCCAGGAGGTGATCTGCCAAGAAGAGGCTGGTGATATGTTGCTATTGCAGCCGTATGTCGGAAAGCGTGTGCTTCCAAGCAGGAGGGCATACAAGGCTTTTTCGAGCCAGCTCTGCTCAGCCTAAATGGTGGTCGTGCCACTTTATTAAATAGGGAACGTCGGAAGCTGCGTGAAGGCCGTCGTAGCGGAGTGCCGGGAACGGTCCGCATCTAGAAGGTTCCTTCACGAATGCTGTTGGCTCTGCGTGTTGGCTTATGGGCCGAGGACCACCTTTTCGTGTTGAAGAGAGCGGGGGTTGGCTTCTGCTGAAACTGCATAACAATGCGTGGTTGCGGCGAGGCACGACCATTCCCCCACTACGCCATTCCTATTCCATCGATATGCTTCAGATTGGCCGCATCTGCGTAGGCTGCCCAACTGACATCCAGGATTATGACTGGAACGGAATGCTATCCTGGTCGCCGGTTGACCCTCTACTCCGCTCCGGTTTCAACCCTAGACTTCTTTTGATCCCAGCGATAAAGCTGCTGTCGCAGGGCCTGGATTGGCCGCCAAAGGTCCTCGCGTATTCGTTTATCAGCAACAAGGTCAGCTACTGAGCACTATGATCAGATTCCAAGCCCAAACACCACGAAAGCTTCAGCACAGTGCACGATCTTCGGTCTTAGTTAACCCATCAAGGGCTGGGCTGCAACTAAAATAAAGAATAGGTTCTCAACATATCATAATATCATAACCTAATGTTAACACAGTGGCCTTTTTTAAACCTTCTGCGATAGCAGAAGAATCATACCTAGCTATATCATCATGAAAGGTCCAGCCTCTCACAGGACAGTACACATTTGAGCACAAGGGGTTAGGTGTTGCAAGAGGAGCTTCTCTCGCACTGCATCGTCCATTGTATGAAGTCAGAGACCCATTGGCAATGTAGATGCTTTTACAAAACACAACCTGGCCAGACCTTTGAAGATTTAGAACTGCTAAGCGATGATCGCAGCCTCAAGCTGGCACCCTCGAGGCGGAAAGAGCGCATCTAGCATGAGTAGATCGAGCATTATTCCACAAGGGACTTTACATTTCCAACCGACAGAATCGCAGCGTTAGCAGGGACCGCAAGTCGCTACCAGCAAACGACGAGTTGTTCGCCGCTCCTGGGCTTATGGAGGGAATAATTCGCTGATGACCTTCTATGGCTTCCAATAGGACCAGCGAAGGAGGTCATCAGGGGCCCTCTGAAAGATCTCCGCTTTCGAATCGCCCCGGGATCCGGATCCAACCCACCTTATTTTCATCTGGAGGGGGAAGAATTGGACTCTTCTAGCCCGGTGCCTTGGTCTTGTGCCGGACAGTTTGACGATCCAACCATTTCACGAGATAGCTTCGATACTTATACCTGCCTGCTCGTACGATCAAGGTTGCAAGAGAAACCTCAACTTCAAAGGGATACGTTTCTTGTCTTGGAACCGGTTGCAAGTTCCTCACATGAGACACCAACTGGACGCCCCAGCTTTCGCCGGATTGGTATTGCTTCGATTTGCGACAAAGAGAGTGCGTTTCTCTTGGCTGAGGAAAAGGAGCTGGAACTCTACTGAATGCAAGAATTGGCTGGCCTTAGAGTGCATTATGTTGTTCAGAACAATCGCCCGACGGTGTTTGAGGCCGCTCCCCTCTCCCTGCCATCGTTGTCAGTACATTATCGGTCCCAAAACTACGTCACAATGGCGCCCCTGGAGTGCAAGTTCATCTTGTCTTGACTCTAAATGCATTTGGGAGTATTGTGTTCTTTGTCATATAACTAAGCCTGTTTCTGATAATGGAGGAGCCTGTGGGGATGCTTGTTCTGACCCAGTCGTGAGCTGCTCGGCAGCTTCTTCAAATTTGGTGCAGAAATATGGACTACCTGTAGCTTGGCGTTTGCGCTGGTGAGCGAAAGTCTGTTCTTTGGCTCTTGAATGGAAGTGGTAACTGTACTTGTTAAGGAAGATGGTGTAAACGAGGCTGGTTTCTTAATAAGCAATTCGGGCCTATTATAATTTAGCCTAGCGGCTGCGATCTGCCGATTTTCTCCACATCTATGCACCCCGGATCTTATTCCAACTCAGGCAGGCCGAGGTGTCAAGTCCCCCTCTTTGGCCCATATTCCTCGGATCATTACCCTTTGGATAAACGTCCCCCTCTTGTCATTCCCGCTTTAGCTGCCGTACGCCAAGCCTGGGGTAGTTCATCACGCGATGTTACCGAGGTATCCACCTCCTTTCTTGGAACTATTGGCTGGTTGTTCTATGAAGGACCATCCGTTCACCCCGCAGGAACCAGGGACATCTATGGCAAGAGTTTATCCCGAGGCATGTATATAATAAAGCTCTTGCCTCTCCTTCTCCTGACACTTCTCAGCCAGGCTCAGGAGGCTGGCAGTGAGTTGAATATCTATCTGTCTGATAGTTGTTCGTCATCAGGCACTATGCGCGTCAACTTCTCGACCCTGCTGCTTCCCAGCCTCCTCCAAGGGCTAGGTGCATGCGCAGCTCCCAACAAAGGCAACGATGATTTTGCCGCGAAATGCGCCAGCCTCAAGAAGTCGCTCAAACTCCCCGGCACCACCGTATACTTCACCCAGCATGTCTCGGCTGGTACCAACATCACTTTCCCCGATAATCACCCGACCTGCGGTCCTAACTATCAGGTTACGGACGTTGAGGTCTGCCGCGTGGCCATGTTAGTCAAGACGGGACCCGCCTCAAACGTTAGCATCGAAGCTTGGCTTCCCTTGAACTGGACAGGTCGGTTCTTAGGAACTGGCAATGGTGGATTAGCTGGCTGTATGCCCTACAACGATATGGCGTACGGCAACAGTTTCGGCTTCGCCAGCGTTGGCACGAACAACGGACATAACGGAACCTCAGGCCTACCCATGTACCGCAACCCAGGCGTGGTTGAGGACTTTGCCTATCGTGCGGTGCACGCTGGTGCTGTTATCGGAAAGAAGATCACCCAGGGCTTTTACGGCAAGAAGTTCAAGTCCTACTTTCTCGGCTGCTCGACAGGAGGACGTCAAGCAATGAAGTTGGCACAGAGCTTCCCCGAGGATTACGATGGCTATGTGGCAGGTGCTCCGGCTATGCGCTGGAACGGTCTTCAGGCACGCTCTGGAAGTTTCTGGGGCATCACCGGCCCCCCTGGAGCTCCTGGCCATGTGACTCCAGACGAGTGGGAAATGGTGCACAAGAGCGTCCTGACTCAGTGCGACGAGCCCATTGATGGCGTCGATGACGGCGTGCTTGAGGACCCCACCCTCTGTCAGTACCGCCCTGAGGCTCTCATCTGCGGTAAGGGCCAGACCGAGAATTGCCTGACCAAGGCCAAGATTGAGACGGTCCGCAAAGTCTTTTCTCCCCTATACACCACGAATGAGACATACGTCTACCCTCGAGCGGTTCCTGGTGCTAACGCTCTCTTTAACTTTGTTGTCGCCGAGACACCATTCGTTTACTCCACAGAATGGTACCAGTATGTCATCTGGGAAGACCCTGAGTGGAATCCTGACACTATTGGGCCCAAGGACTATGATAGAGGTGCCGAGATGAACCCCTATGACATTGAGACTTGGGAGGGAGACCTGTCTAAGTTCCGCAAGCGTGGCAACAAGATGATTCACTGGCACGGCCTTCAGGACGGACTCATCAGCGCCGAGAACTCAGACGATTATTATAATCACGTGTCTCGAACAATGGGCCTCAATAGTAGCCAGCTGGACCAGTTTTATAGGTTCTTCCGCGTCAGTGGGTGTGGCCATTGCAGCGCCGGAGACGGGGCTTCTCGCATTGGAAACAACGCCGGAAACATGGGCGGCAAGACGGCAGATACTAATGTGCTTCTGGCTATTGTGAAATGGGTCGAGGAAGGCGTTGCGCCAGAAACGATTGGGGGCTACAAGAACGTCGGCGGAACTGCAGATGGCGCTTTTGACTATGAGCGTAGGCATTGCCGATACCCACACCGCAATGTCTGGGACGGGAAGGGGAATGTGAAGGATCCCGATAGCTGGAACTGTAAGATCTGAGGTGTGGCCCTAGGCTTTTGTGGCTGTCGTTAGGTGGCATACGTATATAAGAGGATCACTGTGAACATGCTTTATGTTGTGCAAGAATTGATTGAGAATCAGATTGAGCTTGCAGAGCCAAGGCAAATAGACCCAACTGTTGACGAGATCTTGGCCGAAGGTAGAGGCAACGGGGAGAGAGACCATGGAAGACAAGGCGTAGAAAATGGCCGGGGAAGACGGGCTGTCGGCGATGGAGTAGCAACAGCTGTCACTGGTGGTCAATGACTACACTTCTGAGCGGCGAGAGATTATAGGGACCGCACACAGGCCATCATTTCCCGATAACTAATGGAGACGCAATGGAGCGATGTTTAAATGCGACAAGACTGCCATCATCTAGGTACTTCATGCGTCGCTAAACGCACCAATGCTGCGCTGCTCATGATTGTAAACTTAGTTTATACTATCTCTAACCACACCAGGCGAAGGTATTATATATTATATAAGTTTTAGTAATATATTAGTTTCCCTTATAAATTTTAATAGAGGGTTCTTATATTAAGATAATATTATAGTAATAAATATCGCCGAGGGCTAAGGTAATATTATAAGGCCTAGCGCTCTTACTTATATTCGCCTAGAGGATATATAATAAGTAATTGCGTCTTAGTTATTTTATAGTACTTAGTATATCTACTTAGTATTAGAGTTAATCCTTAGCCTCTTATAAGGTAAAGTAATACGGGGGCGAGAGTTAGGCTATTATTACTTAGTAGTATCTTACTACTAGGCAAGATAAGGCCAAAGGTAGTCCGCTAGTATATTGTTCCGTCAAGGGCATATCCCTTTTAGCTGCGAGATGCTCTTCAACGTCCATATACATATCGTACCTAGCCTTTGCGTGAGTTTCTAGCTTCTCAGAAAGTTTCACAGTAAGCTTACGCGTTCATTTCATTAATGGTGAGGGTCTTCGCCTCATCCTTGACTTGATACGTTGAGATGTGTTTGTTAGATGAGAATCCTAATCGACTGTTAGAAGTTGGTTATTTGGCACAGGAGAAGTTCAAGAATAGAAAAAACGAGATCGAGACACGGAGCCAGAAGCTCGTCGACACTCAGATCGGCACCACCGCAGCTTTGGTTCTGGTAGTCTCCCTTCTCTCGAGGGGACACGCAATAATAAGAGAGAAGATTGCCGCCGTTGCATGATGAGAGGATGACCCTATCCCACTTGCCTTCTTGACCGCCCCAGTACTCTAGAGAGGAGTTGAGGGCAAAGTTGATAATGCCAAGCCTGTCGACAGCCTCCCTAGTTACATTAGCATACAGACAGGTACTATCGCAAGGCTTCTTGTGCGGGACGATGCTAAGAATACCACGGACAGTCGAGCCAGCGCCGTCAGCTGCGACGATGAAGTCATGCTGAGCAACGGCGCCATGATCGAAGTTAATCTTGCCATGATCCAGATCAATATCAACGCACTATAAGTTATCGAGTTAACAAATCAAACCAGATGTGTCTTAACATCGTCTCCTCACCTTGTGGTTCACAAGCAACGTGGCTGGTACTCCCTCACCGCCCTCCTCGAGTGCAGTCTCCTTTAACATGGTATGCATATATTGGCGATGGAACATGTTGAAGACATATTCCCAGCGCTCCTTAAAGTCGGTCAAATAATAAACACTAACCAGCTCGCCAGTGTTCCAGTCGTGGTCAATCAGCCTTTTCAAAATCACTGGGTCGCCTTTAGAGACATCTACCTTCCACTCTTTTAGCCAGCGAGTACCATTGGCAGCACAAGACACCGATGCGGCTACCTCGCCAACAAACTCTGCTCGTTCGTAGATGGTAACGTCATGGCCCGCACAGCGGAGGGCAACAGCCACGGACATGCCACCAATACCGCCACCAATCACGCCGACACTTAGCTGTCGCCATCCTGGAAGAGCGGTTGAACCCATGGTGTGACAGTGAAGGATTACTGTTTACTGTGAGTGCTGGGTTGTGTACAGAATTGTAGTTTGTTGTTATGCTGTTCTGGCAAAGGAGATGAGGATCTCAAGAACCTGAGTGCTGAAAAGTATACGATGTATCAAGGAAAATCATCGACCTCTTCTATTACCAATACGGCCGCCAAACGTTCATATTTATTAACAAAAGCTGGCAGTATGGCAGGAAAGAGTTTGTAGTGCGAGGTCGTATTTGCGGTTGTGCTAAGATCCCACCATCGCAGAACCTATAGTGTGGTGGGAACAGTATAGTCTCATTTAGTTGTCAGCGCCATCGGCTCTAGTGCCGTCTTCCATTCCGTAATGGCATCGTCCGCCACATGGCTCGATAAGAAACGTGGAGCCCTTATGAGGATTGCTTCTTCCAGTTCTTCTCTAGGTGGTGATCTGTTCCCGATCATGATGAGAAACCTGTTCGCCAGAATCGGCTTTCCGTCGCGTTCACGTTCCTGGCCATGTGCTTCATAGTTTGTGCAACTGTCAAGGCTCGACTGCCATCGACTGGCAAAAAGTTCGTGCTCCGCGACTACGTCAGACCTATTACGAAACGACCCATGATGCTTACTCTCATGGGCGGGTTCATCTTCTCTTGGGGTATACTTCTGTCGACACATGAAGAGGCGTTGCCCATTACTCTCAGAGTCTTCTCACTGGACTATATGGAAATTGATCGAGTTTCTTGTCAGTGTCTAATGTAGCAATTAAGCCGGTAGAGTACACACGGACGCAAACAATACGTAGGGCCAAAACTTAGCAGCCTTTAATAGTAATTTATCCCTCTAGCCGGTCGGCTTCCGGAGCTCTACCAGACATGAAGGTATGGGAGTGGTATATGCCCTCGACTTCTTCCATCTGCACTTCGACACCTGCAGCACGGGCAACTTTGGTGAATTTGTGGCTATTGTCTTGAAGCGTCTCTTTGGTCCCGCACGAACAGTAGGTTGGCGGGAACCCCTTGAGGTCCGCACAGAAAGGGTTGACGAGGGGATCTATCCCATTAAGAGCCGGGCTTCAAATCTCCGCCATAGACATACAACCCTCAAGCATGTTAACTAGCTCTCTCACACACACGGGCGATATGTTGCGAGCCTGCTCAGCGTCAAGACCCGTGACCATATTGTCCAAACTCAGGGACAGGCTTGCAGGCGGTGGTCAAAGATCTTGTGATGGTCATCATGAGAGCTGCTGACTAGTGGCTGATGGACTAATAAATATTTCTCTTGATGGGCAGTGAAGGCACAATTCAACACGAATCAACCATCAAGCCACCGTGCTAACATCGGGTTATGATGTTGTGAGGTGTTGAAGATCTGTTCTTTATTATAGTTGCAGCCCGCCCTCAATGGGTTAACTGAGCCCGATGATCGAATCAACCATCAAGCAATGGCCGCATATGTCCACTTCAGGGTTATTAAGAAGCGCTCTAGACGATTATATTGCAGAATCACTCTTAACAGCTGTGTACTGACGTGGACAAAAGAGCAAGCTGAAGGGAATTGCCGAACCTCCCCTACCCTAGACTTGGACTCTCGCCCCGCTCAGTGATTTGCTAAAGGTTTGCGCAACTTAATTGGTTCCGCTGATTATGTCAGCAACAGTTGTCCCACCAACCAAGCGGGTCCCTCAACAACAAGCAATGCAGAACACCTAACAATACGACAGTAGTATTCCATAAGACTTCTGGCCACAGGTACCAATCCGTCCCCCTTCGGCCACGCGCGCTATATAAACTAGCTCAGAGACCCCTAGAACCCTCAGCCATACACTGTCGACCCATGTGGTACCTCGATAGCGGTTCCCTGCCTGACCCGACGTCGACATTCATCGAGGCATGGATCAGACAGACCGAGGATTCAAGGCATCTGTACGACCAAGGAATTGAAACCATGGCGTCGCCTCGCACCCCAAGCCCGAGCAAGAAGGTCAAAATTGTGCCTTTAGATGTCGATGCTACCCCTACCCAAAATGGTTTGTCACTTGGACACCCCTCTCCTCCAATGTTTCTGACGATGCTGCCAGCAACAGCACCAGCCTTTTCGGAGCTCTCAAACGCGAGTTTAGGCTATGTGCCCTCTGAGAGCGGGTCGAGCATGTCCATGTCATCAGCAGCCTCTGGTTCATCAAGCCCCCGAAAGCGAGAACTCGTGTTACGTAGCGCGAAAGAGTACCCTCTTGAACGCAAGGCAATCAAGGACATCGACAAGATTAGTCCTCTTATGCGTGATTTGGCAAGTCTCAAAAATGGCCAGGTTATTCCGCACGCGATGAAAGTATGTTATTCATCATCAAACGTACCCTTCCGGATATTAACTCGCCTGACAAGGCCCGCATCACGGAGAAAGAGGGTTTCCCAGACCCACCGCTAGATATCTGGTTTTTGCCAGCGACTTCAGATGAGACTATCATGGAGAACGACGAGTACATTTACCGTCGAATTTGTTCGATTCTCGGTCGGACCGTCAGGTGTAAGACGCGCATGTCTCACGAATCGAGCTGGAACGACAGTGTTCACTCTCCGCTCCTGGAGATTGCACTGGAAGAGGGTGACGAAGATGTCACGTATGAGAACATGTATGTTGCAAGAACACGGTTTGCGTATTGTGTCCCTCTGAAGCGCTGACAGTCAAGCAGAACACAATGTCGAGTATACCCAGAACTACGTGACCCAGATCCCTTTCTGAAAGATGCCAAAGTTGACTACGGCATGTTCATTGAGCCGCCGGAGGGCTCTCGTCTTTACTCGTCAATTAAGCGTTTCAAGTCTCTCAACCAAAACAACCGGATCGCCCACGTCAAGCTTAGTGATGAGGGCAACACGCCCATAGCCATCAGTATTGAGACCAAGAATCCAAAATCTAATGGCGAGCTCACTGGCCCAGCCCAGCTTGGAACATGGGTTCGGGCTCATTTTCGGCATCTTCAGAGCCTACCTCACGTATCTACGGAAGGATTGCCTATTCTTCCCATCGTTTTTGTCAATGGAGCTGACTGGCGTGTTGACTTTGCCGAGCGCAGGCGCGATAGAATGGTATGTTTTGTTATGTTGTCACGTTTGATCCTAGATGCACTGTGCTGACAATAGTGTCCCAGATCATCTGGGAGAGCATCAAGATTGGATCCTCTGATTCTTCCCACGGATGTTATGTCATCACCGCTGCTCTTCGTAGACTGGCGAAATGGTGCCGAGATGAGTATGTGCCTTGGTGGGAGAGGGCTTTGGCTGGTCTGTGAAGGCATACACGATAAGCATTGGGAAATAGATGTTGAGGCACTAAGCGTGAATGTCATGAGAATCAATACCGATCACCTAGGCTAGATGGAAGAATATCAATATAGCAGCAAATTATACCCACCATCCAAGCCAGCAAGAGGTTTCTGTCTTGTAGGACGGCCGGTGTTTGGAACGCTGGCTCATCCTCGATGACGGAGGAAATTGGCGGTAAGGATAAGGGAGTCGTCAAGGCCCCGAAACTTGATGACGGTACCGTGAAGTTTGAAGATGGGAGCCGCACAGGAGGCAGACTGGGGCATGACTCTGAGTCGAGGTCAAGGGCTGCATGCATGGCGGATAGGGCGCTATCGATAGAGTCTGGTGGTCCCACCTCTGGCATGCTAGGCTGGTCAAGAGCTTCATGCATTGCACCTATGGCATGATCAACTTCTGTTCTTTGAGAGTGAGAGATAGTCTCCCTGGACTGGCCCATGAGGGGAAAGTGCGCTACTTGTTCGGCGTCAGGGTATCGAAGGCGCCGGAACTAATGTCTTGCATCCGGAAGGGCTGTAAAGGATCTGACCTCGCAATTAATTACGATAATACAGAATCGATCTGATGCTGCCTAAAAATAAAGGATTCGAATATAATATCTCGGCGAATTGCTAAACTTCTTAGCTGGTATATATTATCTTTGAATACAATGGCTAGTTTCAGCCATGATGCTTTGTAATATGGCCACTTGAGCGGAGCCATGGCGTTGTCACGTTGACTTCGACGTACCATGACTCCGAGCCGCCTCACTATATCGGGCACTCTGCTTTCGCATGTGAGTGATGGTCTCCAGACACCTCCTACGCGTGCACGATGCGTTCTTCTTTGTGGATAATACCCAAGTGAGAATGAGCTTAGTACCAAGACCCTAGTTTCCACTTAAACAAATGTCCCAGGCTGTGGCCCGAAAATCTCTCCTTCAGCCAACTTCAGCCGTGTACAGGTATTTGCTTCGCACCCACTGTCCGCGTTATTGCCTATCCAGTTAAGATCCAACTGGTGATAGCTCAGGGCAAAGAAAATTACGACTGCGGAAATGGCTATACCAGTAGAGAATGCCGCCGAAAGAGTATAATTATACTTTGCCCAGAACGCAAGGTATCTCTTTCGAAGGTATATCCACGAAAGCCAGGCTGGAGGCACAGCGGGCCACATATAACCAATATTGTAGGGAGACCAGGAATAGGCTCCTTTCATCATGACAACGGGATGAACCTTGGTAAGCCAATGTGTCCGGGGCAGTCTTCTTGTAGCGTAGTAATGGATAATGGGAAGTGCGAGGCCGACCGGAAAGGCGGCAAGAAGAGCGGTGTATTGGCCACCTGTACCAAAGACTCTTCGTGGGGCGAGTGAGCCGAAGAGAACAGCAGCCGTGAAGAAAGACTCCATTTGCGGACAGGTGAACTTGTCTTTTTGGCCTGGCTGACAGACATTCTCAATTTTGAGGACCTGGAAGTTCATGACACCAACGCTAATAAAAGCAGACAAGACGGCTAGTATCCAAGTTAGAACTCTGCAGTCCTTTTGATATGACTTGTCTCAACTTACTAGCAACGATCTGACACCAAAATACCTGGCGCTGAGGGATCTTTAGGTAATGGCCAAGCTTGAGATCATTGGCAAAATCAAGGGCATGCGCAATCGTTACCCAACCGAAGTTTTTAAAAAAGTTCATCTAGATAGAGTCAGTACTCGCCATGTTCAAAAATGTCGGCATATAGTTCTTACAGCGAGAGCGTTTCCGGGTTGCCAGGCACCACCGATGAATTCCGCAAGGACATTAAACTCAACCTCGATTCCAGTAGTAGCAAAGATAATGCCTGTTGGGATAGTAAAGAGTAGAGCGAGAGCTATGCCGAAGAAGACGGTACCGACGCTGGTATGAGTGGGCCAGCAGGCCACAGAAACGACTCCAAAAATGATGGAGATAACCTACGAATCTGTGAGCTGGCATCTCAACATGCTCTGGCGGGGCCAAACCGACATTAAGAATGAGGTACCACCATTCGGGCACCTCCCTGTAGGTCTTCATTAGTCTCGAATGGACATCGTCGAAGTCGTCACGCTTCGCATCTTTTCTGAACAAACTATCCCGGAGAGAGCGGAAGCCTAGTTTGAGATCGTTCCAGTGGTAAAGACCAGTATACGAAATGACGGCACTGTAAACGGCGAAGAAATAAATGCTTCTAGCCCAGTCAGCAGGACGACCCTTTGTTAAAAAGAGCATGAACGCACTAATAATTGACCGAGGAAGCAGCAATATAGACTTGACTATAAGACTGATACTTGGCCTCATCGAGAAGCCCATCCTTATTCAAGATTGCCGAGACATTATATTTCGTTGCGTTTTGGTTAAACATGGTATTGGTGTTGATCGGAAGGTATGCGGTATTATAGGTATTAGTCCAATAAAGAGAGATGATTGTAATCCCACCGATGAAACAGCCAATAAACATGTTAAAGGTAACGTGGAATGGCACGAGAAGAGGTTGGACATTGTGCGTCAACACATTCCAGTCAAAAGTAGGTATTGGATTGAATCCGAGACCTTTCCTGAGACCGGTAATGGTAGCTAAGTTGAAGTTATTTGGCGAGATCCAGGCAAGCCAGTTGAAGAGAGAAAGAGCCGACGCAAAATATTCAGGGAGCCAAAAGTATATGAACATGGCGCTGAATGCGACCATAAAGAGCTTATATCGAGAAAGATTGTAAGTCCTTTTAAAGGGACCAGGCACAGGCGTATTTCCCTCTGTTTTAGGAAGCACATGTCAGCCGTACTCTGTGTGATGGGAGTCAGTGGTGACGAGGTTGGCTTACCGTTGTGCAGAGACTGGTTCATTGCCACGGCGGCTAACGAACGAGGCCAGATGCAGAAGGCCGGGTAAACCAAGAATCTTCTAGCCAACCCCGCAAGTCCAAAGCCCATCAGATTCTGAGAGATCTAGGCGTCATAATCAGTTGACATGTCGCGCCGCCACTCCTTTAACAAGTCACTCACCGTAACACAGATTTGGAATCCAAACGACGAAGCAAATGATAAGTTGAAGTACTTCTCAAGCCAAGTTGTAATGACGATGAAGCGGCCATATGGTGGTGTGCCTGCCACGTTCGCCATGATAGAGATCAACATATGCTCCTTTTGAGTGAAATGACCTGGATTAGGCCTAAAACGTAAGCCAAATAGATTAACCTCGCCCGTCGGCACCAGTCTCTCCCAGGCCTTTCCCAGTGGGAAGGAGAGTAGCTGGACTACAGTAGCTCCAGGAGAATAGCCGGTTGACGTAAGGAGAAGAACTGATTCACAAAACTTTGAAGGGCAACGAAAACCAAACCAATCGTCCAGGCGCGAAGTGTTCCGGCTGGGGCCGATGTGTCGTCCTTGTTGCTGACAACGGCTCGGACTTCTGCATAGGGCGAATTGAAGGTCAAGAGAGCCACTTCGGTCTTTATGTCAGAAATATATACTGCGTGGGCGTCCGGCTTTTCAAAGACTTCTGGATGCTGGATAAAGTTGGAAAGGCGATCAATGGACTCGGAGTTGAAATTGGAGTCTTTTTGGTGGAATGTTATGAGGTTCTCGGCGAGCTTTCCATGAGGAATAATCAGATCAAGGAACTCACTGCATATCAAAGGCTACTTACCCTCTTGGTCTCTTCCAAGCTTAGCGTGGTTGCGTGCTCTTCTGCTTCGAGGACGTCCTCAGGGGTCGCGTCGAGCAGTTTTGCCCTGTCCTCGATCGAGCCATGCGAGAGGTTGTGATTCGAAGTGGACTGATCAGATTCCCCAGGTAGTTCGGACACAGCGATGGGGTCTGCCTTGTCCGTCATGGCAGCCATATTGAACGTATAATCGAGACAGGCAGGTAGAGGGCGTGAAGTGAAATAAGAACTGTGATAAGTACTAGCTTGCAGACCGTTGAGCCGATTCCCTGAACCACTATAAAAGGTTGTCGATCAGAGAGGAACACGATCGAGTTTAAATGTCGCAACAACGCCGATCATGCCAGCGCTTGCTCCATAACGTCTGTTGGGGTTTGTCGGAGTGTATCCGACTCTCCCAGGTACCAAATCCTCCCTAGACAAGGTGGAGAGAGCCAAGAGATGCAATCTGATGTTAAACCTGGCCAACATCTAGGGATGGCGTCAGGCCCTTTCGTTTCATTATTTGACTCTTTCCTATCCTGGCTTGACTGTGTAATAACGACATTATTCCCATAAGCTCGACATACACTGCTCCACCAAAACGATCAATCCATCCTATCAAACAGAAGCACTTTACAAATCGTATCAACTGATCAATTGTGTAATAAGAGATGGCCCATAGCGAAATCCACTGCCCCGATTACGTGCTTGTTTAATACTCTTTTCCAGAACTAGTCCGATGTGTTATCCGTGAGTTGAAGGAATAGCAGGGGAGTATCAGTCGCCGCCATGGCGCATCTAGCCCCTCCCACAAGACGGGCGAAGACCGGGGGTTTAATCACGCCTTCAGACCCTGTGAAACTCGCATAACCATTTCAGCGGCTCCTTCATATGCGTAAGCGCGCACATTTTGACCATACAACGAGCCGATATGCCAGCCCCAGTTGACCAAGCGTTTAGCCATCTCTCTATACTCGTCTGGCTTAAGCTAGGTCTTGGTTCAACCCGGCAACTAGGCTGTCCATGCTGAAAACAGCCCCATCTAGGAAGGTACTGATTCTATCTTGTAAAACTTTATTAAATAGACGCTGGATAAATGCCAAGGTGCGAAGGTTGATGCGAGGGGGAGAGTCTAAGGCGGGGAAGTAACGGATGGTGGTCTGAAGAGAATCAGAGATTTCTCACCGTAGAGATGTCAAGGTATCATAAGATGACCTTGGCGCCTTAGATATACAATCATGCTTATCTTTGGCAGCTTTGCTTCGTTGCAACAGTCGAGAGACCAGACGCCCAAAGTGCCTTTCTTTATCATCACATTATTTTTGCCCTCTAGCCCTTTACTCCTGACTGTGTACTTTTTGCCATAGCTATTGCTCTTCATTCTCATATAATCTTTTCTCCTACTCCTGTCAATATTCACAGACCGTCGAAAAGAGTTCTTAACATCTACAAAGCGATGTATAAAACTTTTAGGAAGCTGCCGTTATCGAAGGCGCAGAGGAGGGGAGAGGCTCCCTTTAATCCTATAAGATATTACGGGATAAAGATAGAGCCTTAGGGTTAACAAGGGTCTTATACTATATATCGAGGATAAACTAAATAGATTCTAGAAGTTAACCTAGTAACTTAGATCTAGTAATATACCTCCTAGCTGAAGATTTATTCCTTATCTCCTAGGGGAATATCTTATCTAAGACTATTATATTAGGTCTAATAAGACTAATATAATTAATAAAATAAGAGAGGCTAATATTAATAATTATGTAATAAACCTAGTATTAAAATAAGCTACTAGGTAGCTTAAACTAGAGGAATAATATATAATACCTTATCTCTAAGCTTCTTTCTTATATTTTACTAATATTATCTTACTAAAGGCTATTATCTAATTCCGATAGCTTAGCTAATAAAAGTCGCATCTATATATCTAGGCTATTAACTAAGGTCTAATACCTCTTAGGTTTATATTCTCTAAAGTAATTAATATAAAATTCTAAATTAAATAATTAATTATATTCTAAGACTTATATAAGGTTTACTTTAATAAGGGAGGATATATAATAATCATAGTTAGGTCTAAGGGATAAACCGGTTATATTAGGTTTATATTAGCACTAGATTATTAGCGTTATCTTAAACTAAGATATTATATTATTATATCTAGTAATATATTTAAAAGGTATTAAATATAATTAAGTTATATGAATAATTAAGGTAACTAATATATAAGAAAGTATAATAAATATACTCTATATATTTAATAGGTTATAAGGGGATTATAGCCTTCTAGGGAGCGCTATAATTTAAGGATTATAATATTCCTTAGATTATAGTAATCTAATCTTAGATTAATCTTTTATTAATTAATAAATACTTTTAGGTATAAGGTAATTATATATATCTCGGAGGTTAAGTATATATTAAGTTATAATATAATATCTCCCCTTTTAAGGCTTTGCCTATAAGGCTATTTAAGTAATTACTTCTTATTTCTTTATTAATAAATATAACTTAGATTTATAAATACTCTAGGATATTATATTAATAAAATATCTAATTATATTTCTAAATATTTAAATTAAAAAACTAAAGAATATTAATTTCTAGCTATAAGTATTAAATTATTATATAAGTTTATAGATATATTATATTTATATTACTTTAAGTATTAAAAGGAATATTTAATAATAAAGGGTTCTTCGCGGTATAATAAATATATATATTAAGGTTATTTTTATAATAAGATATAAGTCGTAAATTCTTATAAGTATTATATTTTTTCTTTTAAGTAATTTTTTTTATAATCTTTTTATTAATATATAAAGGTAATATATTATTTAATTTTATAAGAGAAAAAATTAAAGGAAAATAAAAAAAAACTAATATAGATTTATTATAATTTTATAAGGAATTAATAGAGTTATAAGCAAAGATAATATTAACTATAAGTTATTTATTATAATTATAGAAAACTAAGAACTTAATTAAGGAATATTAGGCTATTAAGTTTTAGTAAGGAATCTAAGGTCTTAAGGGCGAGGATTATTTAGCGGAGGAATTAAATTATCGCGAGGAATCTATTCGGGAGGAGCTATAATTATTAAATCCCGAGGGTTTTAATTAGGCTTTTTTTAGTCTAAGTAACTTTAATTTTAATCTTTTACTTAATTCTAGCGGTATTAATAGAAATTCTTTAAAAAGTATTATATATTAATAAGGTATTCTAAGGGTTCTTAGGTATTTTTTAAGTTAAGGTAATCTTTTTATTTTATAAAATATATTATTTTATTATTAATTTTATTTATATTAAGGATAGCTTTTATAATATATTTTTTTAGCTTATTAACTTTTATATTAGGTTTATTATTTATCTTTATTTAGATAATATCTTATATTAATTTAAGTAATAAAATATAAAAGATTAAATAAAGCTTAACCTTAGGTAATAAATCTAATTTATAGTTATATTTTAAGATTTTCTATTTAATTTTATATAATTTAATATATTTATAATTAAGTTTTTTATTTTATTATTTTATTTTAATAT